TTTGAGGTTCAAGTTAAAGGAAAGACTGAGTGGGATTTAGGAGTGGCCAGAGAGTCGATCAACAGGAAGGGAAACATCACAATGAGTCCTGAGGATGGTTACTGGACCATAGGGTTGACAAATGGAAATGAGTATGAAGCTCTTGATGCACCGTCGTCAGTCAGTCTCTCTCTGAAGTCTCGGCCTCAGAAGGTGGGGGTGTTTGTGGATTATGAGGAGGGTCTGGTCTCCTTCTATGACGTAGATGCTGCAGCTCTTATCTACTCCTTCACTGGCTGCTCCTTCACTGAGAAACTCTTCCCATACTTCAGTCCTGATTGTAATGATGGTGGTAAAAACGCTGCACCTCTGATCATCTCTCCTGTCAGAGTAAGACTTTCTTATTATGTTTCTCTGTTACATCTACAACACATTCATTAGATGCATTCATCTCTTCAAGCCTGTATCATGACACACATGTTATGTGGAGAATAATATCCATTTAAACCCATATTTATTTTCCTTTTACAGGGTCGCTGGGGGCTGGAGATGATCCGAGAGGCGGGGGACACCACGGACAGGTCGCCAGTTCGTTACAGGCGTTTTGGGTCAAGGCGGAAGAATCGGATAAGAATGAAGCTGACGCAAGGAGAAGAAGCAAACAGGACACAGAAGGAACCGAGCTGGCCAGCCATTTCTAACCCACAATGATCTTGCTGTGATGTAACAGTGTCTACTGCACCACTGCTCCGCCCAAACATCAAACATCCCAAAAGAAAGTGATGTGTAGCCACAGAAAACACATTGCTGCTGAATATTTCATTGTTTTATAAAGCTTAATTTAAGAGAAAGTTCTTCTACATTCCTATGGTGTCTTTAGAATACAGTATGTGTCATTGTTACACCATAAAAAGTAAATGGACAAAGATGTTTAATAGAATTGATGCCAACAGTATTTTCCGTGTTGTTAATTGGTGGTCACTTTGGCCAATCTTTCCTTTTCCAATGTAAGAGTCAAAGGACCGAGGATGTTGTGTGCTCTATGGATTGTAAAGCCCTCTGAGGCAAAACTGTGATAAATAAATTAAATTGAAAAGACTTGAACACCAAACATTGAATAGAAGAGCCTAGTTTACACATGAATAGTATTTTGTTACTGTTACAGGTTAATGTAACCCTTAAGATTTCATTGCCTGGTTGACGACACCTCCTGGTTACTGGTGGAATCAGCAAGTGTGGTTTAATACAACAGCCAACGCTTCGGAAGAACTACAACAGAAGAGCAGCTGCGGCAAAAATAGACCAGGAGCATAGAAATAGAGCAGAGAGAAAAGAGCTTCTGCTCATGCATCCGGTGAACAGCGTCAGGCTAGAATGGCAGCCGACTGTTTTCAGAAGCGGTAAAGGAAACTAATGAGACACACCTATGTGGGGCGGACACTGGAGGGGGCTGATGGTTACAGAATGTGCTCTTCACTATGCTAACGTGTCCCCTCGATTCCTGTCTCCTTGCATCTTAGTCCCGCCCACGGGAGATGCAAGCTGAGGAAGAGAGGAGTCGAGGCAACAAGCATTTGACAGACGGAGCCGTCATTTTTAAATCAGCTAAATATGAGGCCTTTGTATCTTTAAATGTAAATCAGCTCTGATGTTTTCAGGGAATGCAGCCGCACTGAATTGCCGGCTGGTCGAGGTGTGGCAGCGTATCGGGAACCCCCCAGAAATATCCCCGGGTATGCAAAGTCCGGCAGTTGACCGCGGAAATAAGAGCTCCGTCAGCGAGACTGAAAACTTGCCGCTCACATCTCAACATTTCGGGACGACACCTCGCCAAAATACACCCGTGAGGTTTGGTGAGAGCCGAGACCCCTGAGAGCTTATTGGTGGGAGAGAGACCCCCCAAAAAAAAAATCAACCGCAGTCAGCAGCGGCACCCTGTGTGAACCACTGCCTCGGTCAAACAGCAGGGTCGGGTGTTGCTCGCAGATTAGAAAACCAAAGATTTGGCATCGACCTTTTCCAGGCCACACGGTTCAAGAAAAGGCCGAGCGGTTTCCGGGAATCAGCATGCAGCATGATAGGCAGGTCTGTGGGTTTGGAGGGCCGAGACAACGCACAGGTCATAAATCTTCCCCCCCACCCCCCCAGTCTTTAACACCTTTCCTAACAGCTCGTTAGGACGCAGGCCCCACAAAACCTCACACTCACTCAGAAAACGTATCGTATACCAGCAACGGCTGATGTAATTCTGAGACCCAAGTTCAGCTTACACCACCGTCCGTCCTCCTGAGGGGGCTGCTGCTCAAAAAGTAGGTCCGGGCCATTACAGTCATTATTTTCTAGTTAAGCTTCGAGCTCCCCTCTCTGGAGCGGGGAGGGTCAGAGCAAAGCTCCAAACTAATTAAAACTGGGATATTGTCGAGACTAAAAATAAACAAGGTTTTCCCAGCAGCCCTGACAATGACCTTTACAGAGGGATGAGGCATTTTTAGCCTCGCAGTGCCGGGAGTGTGTGTCACACTGCCAGCAGAGGCCTGCAGAGGAAGGTGCAGCATGTGGCGACGTTTACGTCCACCGTCGTGTATCCCAAACTCAGTGTGAGCATGTGGGACGATCACCGTCCCATAGTGCAGGGTAACCACACTTAAAACAATGTTTACATCGTGTGTATGTTGCAACAAGTATTAAAACCTTTCCAGCCTTGAAAGTTGGCAGATAATACTTCATTAGATTGTTTTGTATCATTTCTTTTGATCAGAAACATCCAGATTTAAACCAAGTTAATTCTACAATACTGACAATATCACGCACTGAATTTGATGTTTGACTTGGTTGTGCTTATTTGGTTAAATGAAGAAAAATGGGTTTGTAATTTTAAGTATAATTCTGGTACAGGAACATCCTGTTGATGCTGCACATCCAACAGTCATTAGAATAAAATAATCAAATAAAAATAATAAATCTAAATAGTTTATTCAAAACTAAATCCTCACCTGGATATTTGCTTTATAACACACTGTTAGAAGCCTTTTCATAGTCTAAATAAATAAAGATAACACAGATGAATCCTAACCAGTCACACGAGCATATTGAAAACTGAAGGACCACTGACTGGTTGATACTTACAGTGCGAGCACATGTCCAGGGCATAACTGGCTTCATTTCCCTGAAAGAGAGAGAAGATTGTCAATAAAATAAAAAACAAAAAGGAAAATCTTTTACCAAAAAAGGGGCAAAAAGCTTTTAAGAGAACAGAGCAGGATTGTCGTCTCTTGGATGCTTGAATTGTGTGTGTGGGCATGTGTAGAGGTGACAAAAGGCCCTCAGTACTTTATATTAAATCCCTCTGATATAATGTACAGAACAGTTCTTCATGGGCCGGGAGAAATCGTCAACTAATCTGTAAAATCAACTCAAATGTAAAGAAAAGATGAATTGAACTATTTCTGTGTCCCGTTCTCAGCCAATTGTTGGTGCTGTTCATAATGCATGAGCGACAGAATGATCCGGACTAAACTAGGCCAACGCGCCGCCTCGATTCTCCTCGTCTCATCTCTCGAGGACTTGAGTCAGGCTGCAGATCCATATTTCACATCATTGTCCGCCTTCCAAAAGAGCAAATCCTCACATTTGAGAAGCTGCGATTGACACTTTTAACAGATAATTAACGGATGAATAGATTAGTTGTTGATTTATGTGTAAAAGTATAATCAGAAAAAATAAAACACCTCAAAGCATAAAAATGTCCCCTGTGACTGTTACTGTTAATATTATATAATTAGCTTATTACTACATAGTATAAAGAAAATCGGTAAATAATAATAATAATAATTAATTTAGAGACGAGATAATATTTGGTATTTTTGCTTGAACAAATTGGCTAAAACAATTAATTGATCATCCAATAAGTTACCAATTATTTAACCGTCGATAGATTAATCACTTAAATATTTAAGTTCCTGCAATAGAGAGCGAAATATTATATTATTTTTGTAAAGGAGGAACCGGGTTGGTTTGGATCTTGAACACGAGCCAGTCTCTGCAAAATTACGGTGAAAAACAACATCGTTCCAAAAAACATTCCATTTTGTTTTCCTCAATCAGTGTCGCTCCACATTAAATGATTCCGTTTGTGAGGTTGACGGAGGCCGACTGAAGAGCCGATTCGGTTTCTTTGGACTGCTGTGGCAGCCGCTCAAACATTCCTCCTCCCTCCTCGGGGAACTCCACATGCAGAGGTCTGCTCCGGCTTGTTTTCTGACACTGAGCCCAACACACACTTGGCTCTGATGGCGGGCATCACATGGGCCGAGGACACTACGCGGGATTCCCTTTTTATCTTGTGAGTTACTCATGACATTGGTATTTGGCTGCATTCTGTTTGGATGCTGTCGTGCGGTTAGCTGATCAGTCTTACTGATTTTCACAGTGCGTGCGTGCGTGCGTGCGTGCGTGAGAGCTATAGGGCTGCCATTAATGACTAATTCTCTATTAATTAATCTACCAATTATTTTACCGATTAGACAATTAATCTAAATGATTAAATCTCCACCAAAGAATCCAATAAAACATTTTATTCATGTTCATTTGATCTTGGCAGACTGCAGTCTACGTCGTTGTATAATGCAGCACAAAAAACACAAAAAAAAAGCTTCCAGAGCCAACAACACAAATTACAAAACCGTAACTGATTTGTTCTCACCGGTTAGATCATCAAAATGAGAAAAAAATAACAGCTTCATTTCGCGAGCAGCTACGTTAGCATTAGTGACAGTTTGTGTGCATACCCAATGTTAAAGCGTAACGATAATGCACCTCAGAACTGATTTAGAGGAAGGTAGACGACTGAAAAATAAGAAGGTATCCACCGTATACCCTGTACTAACAATCTAAACGTTACCTAAAACTAGATAGACCAATCCTAAGATTAACATAGATTATGTTACAAAAATCTTGAAACACCACTGCACAAAATATCCGAAATCTATAGCTAGTGTAGCCTATAGCTACATGCTGCAAAATGAGTTCATGAATGCAATGAGAGTGAGACATCTGGTGGCTGAATGTCATCAAAAGCACCTTTAACTTCCTAACACCAGCTCCAAGCAGCTTATAACAATTAAAACTAGCAATGCCAAGATAAATAAAATATATATATATATAAAAATATGCATAAAACAACAATACAATCATTTATTTCCTGATCATTTGAATCGCGTGTTTTTAATGCAAATAACTACCATCGATGACAATAACAAAGTAAAAGGTGACCATTAACATTTAGAATTTCTTAATTGGAAGTTGGTTTACAGAGACTTCAGGAGGGTTGATGTATTTACAACTGGTCACATGGTTACTTTGGCATGCATTTAACACACCAGTCATAATTGTGTTTTAATGTTTAAATGCATCTCAATGTACAAAACAAACCCTTGAAACTAAATATCGTATTAAGAGGACTACCTACAACCACAACGCATAAAGACCATTCAAACCAATAGAGTGGTCCTCTCAGCCATCTGACTGGACCCAACCAAGCTTTTGTGGGAGGACATTCCCAACTTTTCCACGGTACAGTACGTCAACAACAAATCACTGCACTTCTGACACAGCTACTGTACTTCTTGGAGTGTCAGTAATAGCATTAACGGATTACAGGAGGATTAGAACCGGAGGATCTTTGCAGCCGTTACCGTTACACAGCCCGGTAGTTCAGCAGGTCTTCAGACTAAAGTGGACTGAAGGTTATGGACAGGTGGTTCCCAAAAGAACCGTGTATGTCATTACTTATATCCGAGTTCAAAAAAAAGGTCTATGCAAGTTTAGTTTCACTCCTAGTCATCTGCACGCAGTACTTCAGTTCAGGGATTACAGCAGTTTTACTTAACGTAGAGCGACAACACCCTCGTCCTGTGGATGGTCCATCACACCGACATCCATCACATACCAGCCAGTATTAAACTCATGTTGCAAGAACAGTAAAAATACGCCTTACAGTGCGTCCCTAAATGACAAATTTGCACTAAAAGATATCATATGTTGCCATTTCGTCTTGTCACATATGACCCTGCAGTTTTCACTTGTTTATCTGATCCAGGCAATAGTGCAAGGTGCCATCTGAAGCCTTTTAGAGTTGTTCCACGCTCTACTGTGACGACGACGACGTCTCCGAAACTGTGCAGCTGTTGAAAGAAGCCTGTTCAATTACACCGAAACTAAATACACTGAAATTAAAAACATAACCGTTATACACTGCAAGTGCAAACCGCTAAGCAGGGAAGCTAATCAGGTCAATCGCTCCACCAAGAGGAATTCATTTCATGAATCTGACCTACAATGAAACATGTGCCCGTATATTTAGGGACGGTGGACGGTAACCACACCTCAGCTCGGCTCTTCTGCCACATTATTGAAAATCTCCGACATAAATCTGAGAGACATTGCTTCACGGCGTACATGACAGTGAAGCTGCTGGTGCTGGAATCTCAAACTGCTGACCACTGTCATAAATATCAGGACAAAAAACATCAACTGTCATAGCTACACAAAAATGCACATGGTTGGGTTTTTTGTTGTTGTCCCTCGTGGACATGGGAAGATGACAAAATTCACACCACGCAGACCATTGTGGCCAGGCTGGAATGTCTAATGTGGCTTTACACTACATTGAGCAGGCTGAATCTCAAAATACATGTGAAAATGACACCAATGTTCCCACTTTTAAGACATTTTCATAAAGATCACCATTCACAGAAAATGTTCCTTTTTCCTAGTCGATCCAATCGGATTGGGCGTGATCAATTATTTCATACCTACCTGACATTTTACCGGTCTATACGCTATATGACTGTATGTAACGGTACATGGTGCTACATTCTGAGCGACAACTGGAACCAGCTATTCATATTTTAATGACCAACTGAAGTGAGAATAGCTAGAGTCAGCCAACCTTAAGTTCGCCTAATGTCGTTGCTAACTTCGGGGCTAACCTCCTTCACTTCAATTAGCAGGTGGCAAGCAAGACTCAGGACATTGTGATGGGTCTTGAGGAGTTGAAACGTCGATTCACCGAAAAACTGCACACACACACTGCTACGTTTGCAGCTACAACGTTACTCTCACTGGCAGAGGAATAAATCGTACGGCTATAAACTGCTTTTCTAGTTGGATGAGGACTCAACTGAAGATTCCCCCAAACTCGTCTTGTAACGTTATATTCCTAATACTCTAAGTCGCCATCTTTCTCAGCTCAGCTGCCTGTTCCACCAGTAGCCTACAGACTGATTTGTGGTGCAATACATCCCATCATTACAGCATCGTAGAAAATGACGCGTCTGCATTCATGACAGTATCGAATCTCATAACATCTGGATAAAAAAAATATCCTGGACTACTGTACTACCATAATAGCAGCCAGGCCAAGTCAGCCAACAACAAAACTGTTGATCACTACGTGTGTTCATTAGCTGGCCACACAGCCTGGATCATCTGCATACTGTGTTTTAATACAGACACACATTTACAGGTATCTGAACGAGCAGAAAATAATGACTTGATCGCAAGTCATAAATACTATGTGTTAAACAGGTGAACAGTCATTCCCGTCTGAGGATGGACTGGGAAAAAAAATGTGTTTTACAATTCAGCTGGCTCAGTGTGGGCGTATTCTTACTCATGGCAGAACTAGGGTAATCATTTCCACACAATTTTTGGATTCATCAATCCATTTTTAACTTGCATTAAGATTTGAACTCTAAAGGGAAACACTCACCGGCACCGTACGAATGCTACAACATATACCACCGACCTATTTCCCAGCGTTGACGCACAAGAACTCTCCAAAATCACAGATCACATTTGCTACCTGGTATTGGAACATCCCAGATACCTCAACTACTTCGTCCGTCCGTATGATGTAACGTGGGCAGTGTGTGTGGCACTTGTAACCGTTACCTGCCTCCACAAAAAGAGGAAACCTTCACTGCATGGCTGACGTCCTTCAGAATTTCATAATGAACTGATATACTTCACTAAAGATTAAGAAGGACTAGAAGCAGCCAGAGTTTTCCCATTCAGGCTCCTAATTTAATGTTTGGAGAGTTTAATCCTTGAAACTGTCACGAAGACGAATACGACGTAAATAGTGACGTCTATGGTTTTCTGGGATTTTTGTAGCATCTCATCCCTCTCTCTCTCTCGCTCTCTTTTCACATCTATTTATTATTTTGGGTTCATTTTGCCTGTCATTTGCCTTATTATCAGCATCAGCTGTTGATCAAATCACCTGTATCTATATAGCCCACAAAATCACAAATTGACCTGAAGGGGCTTTCATAGTTTGCCATTTATTTTTAGATCAAACATCATACCAACATTAACTCAATGCATTTGAATTAACAAGAAGATGGTGTGAATGTCACACATCTAATACCCTAAAAAACAAAGAATGATTTTATCTGATCAAACACAACAGAGACGTCTGACTAAACTGCCATTTCTCACATAAGACGAGCCCTAGCCCTAACACTTCCGGTCAACATTTTCAAAATAAAACTGTAAAATGCAGATGAAACTGGCATACACCGTGCGTGTGTGCGCGTGTGTACCAGCTGCAAAATTAAAGCGATGAATACATTAATATAATCCAATAATATCATATACAGATAGTTTTTAAAACGTGTCATTCAGCATAATGAATGCTTTATCTTCGATTATCTTCTTTCCACTTTTACTTTGATGTATTTTTTAATGATACGACACTTCCGTCGTCACTGTGTTGCGCACTTGACGCACCTTCAGCTAGCTAGCTAGCCTGCTAGCTAAACCGTGCTAGTATTTGTGAACGTTATTTCCTCACCAGCTAACTAGCCTTTGAGCCACACATCGGCGTTACTTTATACGTGGATGTGCGACAGTACGCCGTTGAAAGAAGCAAAGAAGCAGAACATAACACAATTTAACAATTAAACAATGCTGTCATATACAAAAACAACCGTAAGCTCTTTTTTTTATGTCAGCACTATGCTAACGATAGCTAGGCTAGCCTGGGGTGCTAGTTCGGAAGCTAACAGTGCAGTCGAAGGAAGGAGAAGCTGTTTTTAACAACGACACATTATAATTTAAAAAAATAAATAATGAAGAACAGATTTATCTCACCATTTTGCTGCAAGGGGGTCTGAAGCTGCTTGGAGAGTAAATGTATAATTTATAATTTAAAGCTCGGTTGACGGATCGACGCGGGCAGATAAAGACGACGTTTCAACGAGGTTTGTGACTTTTAACGGTGAGATACTGACCACCGGCTGACTTTACGGTCTCTGACAGCGGGGGAGAGATTCACTGCAGCGAGAGAACATAGAGCCGCAGAGAGGGGGAGAGAGAGAGCAGCTAGTGGTAGAGAGAGACATAGAGGGAGGGGGGGGAGGGAGAGAGAGAGAGCAGCTACTGGTAGAGAGAGTGAGGGGGGGAGGGAGAGAGAGAGCAGCTACGGGTAGAGAGAGAGAGTGAGAAAGAGAGAGAGAGGGGGGAGAACAGCTAGTGGTAGAGAGAGAGCGAGAGAGGGGGCAGAGGGAGAGAGAGAGAAGAGGGAGAGAGAGGAGGAGGAGTGGTAGGTGCAAACCAAAGCTCGTGTATTGAGAGGAGGAATTACTCTATTTCATAATAGCAGATACCGAATAGATAGATAGAGAGAGAGAGGGTTGGATGGATGGATAGATAGATAGATACTTTATTTATCCCACAAGGGGACATTGGTTCGCCACACCAGCATTTTTGATACAGGTAAACAATCAAAGTAAAAATAAAAATATATTGAGTATAAAAATGCACAATATTTACAATGAAATAGAATCATATTAAATTAACTAACTAAACAGTAGTGCAAAGATTTTTCTAACCACCAACAAACAAACAACAGTAACAGTAATAGTTGTGTGATTGATTTGGCCAGAGGTGATTTATTATAAAGTCTTATTATTAGTATTAGTATTAGTAGTATTAGTATTAGTACTATTAAGTCTTGTAGTGTAAAACACTTGGCCATGTATGTGTACGCATACATGGAATTTGACTCCGGTTTACACATTGCTCTCAACGTACATACATGGAAAATACAAATAAACAAGAAAAATATAAAAACAAGGACATTAAAGACAACGAAGTAGAACAAAGAAACTAAGCATAACATTTAATATTTAACTACTATATAAATATATATCGAAGAATATACATGAACATAAAGAACAATGACAATGGACATTATATATATTATATTATATATCATATTTGTGTTAAATCTTCTCATAAAGAGTGATTCATCATCTTAAACACACAATCTTTGGGGGGATGGTTTACAGCCATAAACTGTATTTTCTCTCACCCGTTGCTGAGGAGAAACCTCACAGATCTCTCATAACACAAACACCAATCATCATGTTTTCATCACAACCCAATCCTGTTGTCTTCTTAAATAAGTGCTGAGCTAAGCTCTATTTTAACGTAACAGTGTGCACAACATTTTGGATGTGAAGCACAATAACCGGCTTCTTATACTACAATTACACGATAGTTTATGTGCTTAATGTTCCGCATGTTACAAGTTTATATGTCAGGTAATTCTTCTCTTCTTCTTCCTCTTACACGTCATGTTGTAAAGCTTTACACTGGCTGAATGTAAGGATGTCCATTTACTCAGGTACTGTACTTAAGTACAAATTCGGGGTACTTGTCCTTTACTTGAGTATTATTATTTCATGCCACTTCTACTGCTCTACATTTATTTGACAAATAAAGACTTTACTTATTATGTTTTAAAACCTAAAAATATGAAGAGTTTTTAAAATATGTCTTGTTTTAAATTTAGTTACCCAACAATAAATACAAATAGAGAGAGAGGGGGGGGGGGAGAGAGGGGGAGAGAGGGAAGGGGGGGGGGAGGAAGAGAGAGAGAGAGATTTTACTGCTTTTAACAAGTACATTTTCATGATTATACTTTTACTGAAGAAACATTTTCAATGCAGGGTTTTTACTTGTAACTGAGTATTTTTACTGTGTGGTATTAGTACCTGTGTGGTATTAGTACCTTTACTTAAGGATTTTAATACATCCTCCACCACTTATAACTTCAACTGTTACTATACAATACTATTGGTTCAGTATTCTGTTTTATTGACAAATACACTTTATACTCCTTAGTTCAACACATAACAAACAGCAAGGTTTATGCATTGAGATATCTTAACAAAAAACAAACAAACACATCATATTTGGCAAAGTGAATCCAGCCATGCACTTCAAGAGACAACAGAGGAAATGAGTACGAGTGGTGGCGGCACAGATTCAACACAAAGTGAAGCACTTGCAGCAATAATGAGCGCCGTGTCTCAAAGTAAAAGACCTCTTCAGCAGAACCAACAGTGGATGTGTCCCTGCGTCCAAGTATTGCGATAGAGCTCCATTAAAATCAGTGAGCCTCACTGTTGTTCCTTCATCTCCATGAACACACACACTGGAGTTTATTTTGACTCAATCACACACACACACACACACCGCCCTGCTGCCACAAACACTAAATGTGAATCAATCCGCCGCTGACAAATAGTCCCCAACAAATGCGCAATTTCCTCCTGTTTGTTTATTAAAGACTACAGTGCGGTGGCTGTTTTTAACATATAACTATACATTTGTTTTTTTAAAGATTTATGGCTTCTTAGGAACCAATGGGCTTGGAGCTGAGAGCCACAGACAGGAAGTCAGAACGTCGTGAGACAGACCTTGTTGGTTTTGGTATTTTCATGGGATTTGTTTAAATTTATAGTAACACCAGCATTATCCTTTAAAGGAAGAGTCCACCATCATCTACTCGCACTGTTAGATCTCTTATTGTCTCATTGAGGTTTGGTTTATTCCAACAGAAATGTTTTTTTTTTTTCGAATGGCAGCTCTCAAACTTTGATTTCTGGTGGATTGATATCAGAACCAGAACGTTTGCTAATTTGTTTTGGGTCCTACCTGAACATGAAAACACAGCATCTGTAGTTGGACAGTTGTCTTCAAGAGGGAGAAGAAACATTCCCTTTTCTGCTATACCTGTTTATTTTAACAGTGTTTATGTGTATTGGGTGGATTTCTCCAGTAAATAACACAATACATAAACCTATCACAATACACACTTTCACACGTAGTCTCTTCTCTCTCACTGATGTCCACGCAGTTTTTATAAATAACATGAAATACTTCTTCCACTCATAGGTGTCTTCCATCCTGGTCTTCAGCTGACGCCGTGCTAGCTGGTCACAATGTGTTAAACTCCACTTTAAAGGTACATTTGGAACATTTTTGGGGATAAAACTTGTTTATTCTCTCCTCCAGAGTAAGACGAGAAGATCAATGTGAATTTCTGTCTGTCCATAAAGATAAGTCCTGTGTTTAGGCTAGATTACCGCAAAGACTGGAAGCGGGAAGTCTACACCTTCCAAAGAAACCTGACATGCTGCATCATGTTTATTGAACAGGTACAGAAATAACAAACCGCTGACAGCAGTGGCTGAACAAAGCACCTCAAAAGTCCCGACCTCACAGCGAAGCGCCGTCCTAACTGTCATCTAAAGCCTGCCGACTACAAGATGCTAACTAGCGTGTTAGCAAGCAGAATCTGACAGCTTTGCATTAGTTGGAAAGTATTTATTTTATTCTCTTTTGAAAGACCCTAACTCAAGGGGGAAAGTCAAAATGTCCACTCCTCTTTTTAAATGTACGTCAAGTCACGTCACATGGCTTTACACGTTGATTGCAAACGTTAAACGTGTTTATTTGCACCCCGGGCGAGAATGGTCATGCGGCAGCTATTTGGCTATTTACACTGAACCGAGATAAATGTGCTGATTAAGAAGTAGCATGCTAGTAAAAGAAATAGCCTCGAACTAGTAGTGGAAGGAGGTTGTGGGAGATAAATGGGACGAATGCTGCATCTTATTTGAACTGGGAAGTCAGTAAGGAGTTACGAGGCTAAATACATCTAGGACACATGGAAGCACTGTCATGAAATGTATATACATCTTATATATAAATCTTCTCATGTGACTGTGTATGTATCTCAAAAAAATGTCCGATTGTTCCTTTAACCCTGAACGCTGAGAGCAGCAACAAAACAAAAAAAAACTTTAAAGACCAGCATAGCAAACAGCTATATGTTCTCTCCTCTTTCGGATAAAACAACACAAATACCTGACCCCTTTGCTTACTTCACGCACGCCTTTAAGATAAGGCCGTCTTTTTATTGGGATGCTGATGTTCAAAGTCCTGGTGTTTGTCGACAGCGGAGGGACGAGCCGGCTCAGTTGAACGCCTCCTTGTTGATCCACATGAGGGTCCGCGTCTCGTTGGGCTTGCATTCGTACTCGATGCTGCTGAATTTGTTGCCGAACTGGCAGTGCTCCCTCTTGTAGTAATTGTAGTATTTCGCCTGCCAGACTGTCTCAAACGTCCCTGCTTTGTTAAACTGGACAGGAAGAGACAAAAAACCTTCAATTCTGCTCTTTGATTTGATGGATCAGAAAAAGATTTCTGCACTTCTCTGAGCAAACGCCCCCTCTTATATCTGATGAAAAGGTCTCTGTGACTCAGTTGTCTTACCTCCATACCGACTTGGACGGGTTGCCGGTCTCCGCTCTTGGTGTGCGGGACGCCCTCGGTGTCGTACTGCGCGTGATAAACCACCGACTCCTCGTCCCTGGACTGCTGCTCCAGAGGGAAGACGATGCCTCCGATGTTCATGTTGCTGTGAGGAAGAGAATAAGGAGGAAGTAGTTTGAAACTGTATTGAGGGGCGTTTAAAGGCGCAGTGTGTTGGATGTGAGGTGAGGTTGCAGATTGCAACCACAGACTGTATATAAGAAGTGGACGCAGTCATCGTGACGTCACCCGTTGTTGTGGGCGGCCATCTTGGAATTCGGCCGTCGCCATGTTGTTGTTTTTTCGAAACCAGTGAACAGAAGTTACCACATTTGGAGTGAGGAGTGACGTAGAGACGTCTGTCTCTGGTAGCGGCAGCAACCTGTCAATTACAGTAAGCCCCGTCCTAAATCATACGCCGTTTTACAGTCTATTTGACTCTAAATGGAGCATCATGTACTAAATGAACATCGTGCTGTATTGAAGATTTGAAACTAGAGATTGAGAGCATAAACTCATGTTTACAATGTTTACTGAGGGAATAAATCAAGAGAGAATCAGACTTCTTTTTGCAACCGGAGTCGCCGCCCCCTGCTGGTCAGTAGAGAGAATGCACGTTTTAAGACACTTCAGCATTGGCTTCACTCTGCAGAATTGGAGGTTGCCGCCTGGTTGCAACCAACTGAAACTTCTCCCGTGTGCCAAGCGTGTAGAAAACTACGGTGGCTGAAGCAAAAACGTGAAAACTTGGATCTAGAGCCAGTGTTTGGTTTGTCCGTTCTGGGCTACTGTAGAAACATGGTGGCCGGCTCTGTGAAGAGAACCTGCTCCGCACATGGGAGAAGTTTGAAGGAAGACCTTTTGGACCAGAAAGGATTTATTTGTCACATAACTGCCTTGCAGTTATTTTCCCAAGCTACGTTAGATACTGTAAGAAAATGACTGTATAATGTTTACAGCGTGGCATAATACTTGTCAGCTTGGCTGTTTTGAGTTATCGGATAAATAACATCTTAAAACGACTATTAAAAAAGCTGCAAATCCTACTTGTATCTCTTTTACTCTTATTCCACTCTATTTGACATTTGTAGCGTTATCTTTGTTATTTGACTTATTAACGCTTCACCTTCCTCCTCACAGATGTGGATACCTCCCGTTGTCATTGAGGCTGCGTATAATTCATCTAACCCAACAACAGCAGAGGCGGCACGAGCTGTTTGTACATCAGCAAAGAGACGACGCTTCCTGTCGCCACGAGCGATGAGAAGAAAAAAAACATCACACACACACACACACACACACACACACCATCCCACCATGATGATTTATTCAGGCGGATATCGGATGCTGCAGGCTGTGCGGGAGGAAGGCCACGGAGCCACAAACATGCGCGGATATTACTGCGTTGTTATATTAATAAACGTTATTAATTGTAATTATGGAAATGGTTTTAGAGGTGTGACTTTTTTATTTCTTATTCTAATTAAATAGGAGAGTGCCCCGCGTGGCCTCCTGCTGCAGATATTCGACCTCATAATGAAGTGAATAATAATAATAATAATATTGGTTTGAATTGGATTTCTTCTCACATGGCCTCGACGTTTCCAGGCTTCAACACCACCTCGATCTTGTATTTGGAGCCCGTGAGCAGTTTGATGGTCCTGGTCTGGCCGAACCTGGTTCCGTCCACCTTGAAGAACACGGGTCCTTCGTTGGGCTGGATCCGCAAAGAGATGGAGATGTTGACGATCGGAGGGACGTCGTCCATTATTATCCCGGCTTTTAACGGTAATACGGGGTCAATATGTAGGTCCCGTGTTGAGGGAGAAAGGCGGCGGAAGATGCGGTGATGCTGAGGGAGGGACCAGAGTCAAACTGGGCAGTGCGGGGCTTCCGGTTACGTCTTTCAAAATAAAAGTTTGGGGGGTGGGGGGGGGGGGGGGGAAGTCATATGAAAGTGGGAAAAAATGGCCATTTTAACTTCCCAATGCCCATTTAAGACTTTAATTATACAATGTATTTTGACAAATAATAGCGACAAATATTCAAATTTGAGAAGCTGATAAAAACAGATGATTAAAATTGTTGCCAATTAACATTCTGTCACTTAGCATATTGCTTATTCTTGTTCCAGTATATAATATTTGAATGATAATGAGATAACAATGATGACATTTCACAACTGAATAGTTTTTGGGAAAATTTAATTCAAATCATGATTAACAAAAATGTATATATCATCCATTTCCCCATCATTCCATTAGTTTCCTTCTGTCCTTCCTTTCTTCATCAATCTGAGAGATATGAGGATTAGCATTTAAAATACTGTTTTATCATTGTATTTTTGTTGAACAGCTGTAGCTTTGTTGTGGTGTGCAGTCCAGTGTAAAGCCACGTGTAGGCTGTGATCCATAAGTTGCGTGGGTCAATACAATTAAGAAAAAGGAAATGCACAATACTCCCCCGCCACTGAATGCAAATAACAGTTGAATTAACTTCTCTCTGACAAACAAAAACAACACATTTATGATTTATTGCAGCTCAGCCATTTTTACATCAAAGAAATTAAAGTTCTCCATGATGTTTTTTTTTTCTTTAAAAAAGTATTTTAAAAAAAACTATGTACAATTGTTTGTGTATATTCGTAAATATAAAATATATTAGAGTAAAAGAAGTGACAGAGGTGCTTTGAATAAAAATTCGAAATGGGCCATCGCTCATCGGTCCAGCTCGGCCTGCAGGATCTCCCCCCAGGTCTCAGCGTCCAGCGGCACCATCTTCCTGCCAATGAGCTCCTCCGCTGATCTCACGTGGCTGTAGCGACCTCTCAGCCAGTCCTTCTTCAAACGGCTGCGAGTGTAGTTCTTCACCAGTGTGACCTGCAGAGAGGTGACGGGCAGGTCTGAGGCATTAGAAATGTGGTTGTAACCACTGATAACTTCTAACCATCTATAACACTGCTTTGACTAGCAGCTTCTCAGGTTAGTTCAAGCCTGGTCTGAGCTCCCCACTTTTTTCTTGGTCTCTGTGGGGTTTTGCTTCTTAAAAGTGGACCCACCTTCCAGGACAGGCCGTCTCTCCTGTCGCTGTCGACCTCCCTCTGACAGACAGCTCCGACCAGCAGACACTGCCTCCTCCACACCTGGTCGCTCTCCTCGATGATGTAGTGCCACAATTTGCAGGTCCGGGAGGCGCTGCACAGACTCCTGGCTTCCAGCTCGCCAAAGATCTTCGCACTCATTTCTGTCGGCAGCGTCTCAGCAAAGTTTTCGGGGGCGGGGGTGTCGCAGGTGGGTCTCGGGGAGGCTCTACTTTTAGAGACGAGAAACACGGGCGAGGTCCTCATGGAGTCATGCTGCATAGTAGCTCAAGAGTCCAACAGTTTGAGACGGCCTGGGGATAACATAGGGATTCAACGTCACAGATTCTGATGCCACGGATTACATTTGAAGCTTCATCTCAGGTGTTCAGGATTAACTTTGTGTATCTGAGGGGCGCTTTGAAGATGAAACAAAGGAGGACAATTTGTTTTGGAGAATATTGTAAAACATTTTGTATTTTTGTTAAGCAGCACATTCCCATGAATATGGAAATGTTTTTTTTATTAGATTTTGTGCATTTTATATTTTCTTCTAAAAAGAAATGATGCTGCCATAGTAGCAAACTCACTGTTCTCTCCTCAGTTGCAAAGATTAACTCACGGGTATATTCTGTCCCTTTGCTCGGTTACACAGGCATATTATATTATTATTATATTAATAGTCAAAAGCCTTTTCCTTACCCAGTTAAAAATACAGACATTGACCCTCACTATACAGTAATATAGTCACACCAGAACAGGCACACGTGGCAGTTATTCGTCACCTATTACTAAACTGCGATGGTAAAATGTACTATAAACTATATTGTCATGAATAAATATTTTCAGATATCAATGATTTACGTGTCAAAATTGGTTGTGACAGGGATTGAACCCATTTCTTTCTCCAGCACCAGGCCTGCATGTAAACACATTCTCCTATAAACGACACTATCAACATCACTGATACAAAATCTGAACGATACAATAAATTAAGAAAGACCGTATTTAATTGCTTACATCATTTTAAAATGTGTGCCTTTTGATTAAAATGTAGAATGTCTCGGCCCCTCTGTTATTACCAAAGCTTCTGTTTTCTGCAACGAAGTGTGAATCTCATTGAAATAACATCTGATTTTACTGGTGTCACACGCTCAGCTGCGCGAGTCTCATCTCCGCCCCAGCTAACAAAGCTAACAGCGACTGAAAAACCTCCGTCCTGTTGCAGTTTACAGGCTAAATACCTTATTTATTTCCGGGACAACGCTAAAAGAAAATGTCTGCTGTCATATATTTAAGCACAGACCGATAATGTGTCGTTTAAATAAATGTTTCTTACAGGCAGTGTGGTCGCTCCGTGTCTTTCTGACAGCTGACTGTTTAAATGTCTCAACGGTTGTTTACACACAGAAATACGTCACTTGTTTTGTAAAAACTGCGCATGCGTAGAGAGGGTCATACGCCGAAGAATCGCACATTCGCCAAATTCCATATTGAAATGAATGGTTGTAAAATAAATCTGTAGACGGTTATGTATGGGTCTTTCATTCGGCATACATGTGATATATTTTCGTGACTTAAGTTTATCAAAATTTCAACTTATTTTGGTTCACATTCCAATTCAATAAAACGTAAATTCAGTGTACTTTATTATGTTTAAATGTATTTCCCCTATGAAATACATGACTCGGTATATTTTCTGAATATTTTGCATGACCATAGACGGACTGTAGCGAGAAGAGTGAACCAACTCAAAACGTTTACATTTGGATAATTAAAGTCGTGCAAAGTACGTTATATGCATGCCGAAATAGAGAGTGATATCTATCCATTCATAAACCGTTTTGGGATTAATTTTTATAAGCTTACGTTATTCGCAAATACACAAGAACATTTTAAATTGAACAAAATCTGGATGGAATTCGGTGTCCAGAATTCTACTGGGGCTGAGCTCTAATGAGCTGCGCCAGACGTCTACTGCGCAGGTTCCCCAGCATCCCGGAAGTTTTGAATAACATCCATGCATTGTAGCTGCATGACAGCAAAAGTTGTAAACGCTTTCTATGCTTTCGGTTTTTGCTTTTCAACCCCGAGAGACCAAACATATCCAGTGTACCTCCACTACAGGTAGGCAGAAGTAAACATATGTATTACTGCGCGGCCCGTTGTGACCATAACGCACTACTTTTGTCTCAGACGGAGCTACTGAATGAAACACAAGTTAGAGGAGCTCTTTAAATCCTGATTTAATTCTCCTCGTAGCTTTCAGGAGTCATTACACTTCATGGTAAACACTTGTAATGGATTGTGTTTTTATACTAATACCTCCAGTGGACCGGGGTGAAGCTCCCTCCAGTCCCGCCCGCTGAGCACATGTCCGGCTTCGACCTCGTCCAAGTGGACGGTGGCGGCGGCGGCGGGGATCCCATCCACCTGCCGCCGGGGGAGACGGTGTTGGGCCGGGGGCCCTTACTGGGAGTGAGTGCACCTGTGGCTTTATTTTAGTTTAATTATTCCAGCAATACTCTCAACAGTGCAGGTTAACAAACATTGCTGTAGATGTAAATCCTCAGAATCAGAATCAGAACCTTTTATTTGCCAAAGTATGTTGCACATACAAGGAATGTGACCTGGTGGATGGTGCATAACATTAAACAATCAACACAATGCAAAATACAAGACATACAAATAGAAACATAGAGAAATTTACAATAAAATATAAAAATATGGTAAATAAACAAACAAACAAAACTATGTACATTTACTCATGTACTGTACTTAAGTACAATTTGAGGTACTACAACGAGTTTATAAAGTATGATGTTTTGTTATAGATTAAACTATCTAACTGTTTGTACAAATAGCTGACAGCTGAAACGATTAGTTGATTAATCAGTTAGTCAATTTAGAGAAAACTAGTTTATTTTGATGGTTTAAGTTATTTTTAATGTATAAAATGGTTCCAGCTTCACAAATGTGAAGATTTATTGCTTGTTGTAATTGTGACGGCACTTCTCACTGTTTTCACTATTTTTACAAACCAAACAATCAGTTGATTAATGGAGAATAATATTAATCCATAATGAAAGTAGTTAATAGTTTAAAATGAGCTCCACCTCAACCAACATCAGCAGTAAAATCCTGCTTTTACGTTTATACATGAGTGATAATAATCAATCATATGATAAATGATAGTTTAACAGTCACAGGGGACATTTTTATCCTTTTTGATACTTTTAAGTACATTTTCCTGAATACTTTTTACTCAAACAACAATTTCAATGCAGGACTTTTACTTGCAGTAGAGTATTGTTACAATGTGGTATTAGTACTTTTACTTAAGTAAAGGATCTGAGTACTTCCTCCTCCTGTGCTGCCTGCTGTGTGATGTTTGTGACCCTGTGGCCGCCATGCAGCAGACGTGTGACGCAGCCAATTAAAGGTACAGACCTACCGGAGACTTCTGGCCACACGTTCGCTCAATTACATTCGGACATTTTACAATTTAAAATGTATTTTTTCACTTATTTATATTCCAAAAAATGAATATCCAAACAGTTTACGAATAAGCTCAAACAGCTCTTTTATTTGGCCTATGTGTAATATACATAGCATGATTTAATTTAATTTAAATTTTTAATTAAATTTTTTATTCCCGAAGAATGAAATGAAGGAACGTGTGAGTGTTTCAGCAGAGCTGCAGGTCTTCCACTGAACCACTGGAGGACTCTGTTTTCCTGATAACATGGAACAGGACGTGTCCTCTCTGACGGGGTTAACATTTTCTGTTTTTTGAGCTGTCACCTAAATGACTTTCCAATAAGTTATTACTACTTTTCTTTGAGTCTCTGAAGCATCTCTGTTTCTCAAACATTATCCTGATTTTACGTCTTCTGGCACCACATGCAAGGATTGTTGTAAAATAGTATTATGAAAATGAAAAATAATATTTAAACAAAAATCCAGATGAAAATCTGGTTTTAAATACACAATTTACAGCAGGAGTTCAGCAGGAATGCTGAAGTTTGGGCATTTATAGTGTTTTGTTCAAGGAATTCTGGGGTTTCTGTTTTTTTTTTAAATGCTTTATCCTGTGATGGAACAAATTGTTGGTCAACTGGGATTCTTGTCCCGATGGTTTTTCTTTTTTTTCCACCTCTAAAAATATGTGAATCACTTTGCACTGAAGCTCTTCACCTGTTGTGTTTGTCCTCACGTTGTCTCAGGTCAGCGACAAGAGAGTGTCCAGACTTCACGGGCTGCTGGAGAACCTGAACGGACAGCTGCGCCTCAAACCGGTACGTCCTCTCACCACACCGGGGATTTGACTTGTTTCACCATTAGTTCACTGGCGACGAGCCTTCTCCAAAGCTTACCGTCAGTTTTTAAAGCTGGAACAAATAACTTGAAAGTGATTTAAGACATGATTATTTATCGTCAACTTCTCTCAGAAGTGATACCCGATCCAGCCATTTGTGTCGGTGTCGGCCTAATATCGGTATCGGATCCCTAATTTAGTCTTTCCTGTGATTGACTGGCGACCCGTCCAGGGTGGCGTACCCCGCCTCTCGCCCAGTGCCAGCCTCTTAAATGAGAAGCTAGTACAGCTGATGGATGGATGGTCTCCGTCTCCGGCATCAAGAGAAACCTCGCGTTTAGTTGCTGCAATCACAAACCGTCGTGACTTCTTCCAAACAGATGCATTCAGTATTCAGATCTTTATTGGTCCTGAGGGAGAACTGAGTCATTCCAGCAGCAGAAGTCAGATGGAGGTCTGTTTGGAAAAGAGTAGGCGGCGTCATCCACGTCAATCACGCCGACATCCTCTGTTTGTCATTCGTGTAATTGACTGGAGGTCAATGCATCAGCACGTCTCAACTCGTCATCTCAGACGATTAATGAACACATCACAGTCGCAGCACCTCAACCAATGTTTTTAATCGTGAGGGGGAATCAGTCGCGTCAATAAATGCGGCCTCCGGATGTCACGCTGGAAAACACACACGGCTACAGACGCTCTTCACCGAGGCTCCGTCGATGCTTCAACTTTCATACCTGCGTCACGAAGCGGAGAAAAATCCGGTATTTTCTCTGTATTTTAATGTCACGACAGAAGTATTACGTTACATCATGTTGTGAGGTTTTTCGTATTTCAATGATGTAATATGCAAAAAAAAATGGTGTAAAATTGGCTGAAATATACGCAAATGACTGCAAATACAGTCCAATCCCCAAAGATCAGCGCTGATAGTCGCACACAGATAACGTGAAATTATTAGCGTCTCCAGAGAGTTGGTGGTAACTGATAAAGGTCCATTATAAAGGAGGTCGACTCAAACTCTATTATTTGTATTTCTTCATCCTCTGGTTTTCATCTCTAGACCCACCTGAACCCGTGCTTTGTCCAGTCGTCCCTGACCGACGACCCTCGACCTCTGCAGAGAAGTTCCTGGTACCCTCTTCATCACGGAGACTTGTTCTCTCTGCTGCCGGGCCAGTTCATCTACCAGGTGGTGGCCGTGGGCGAAGAAGGCCGCACTCCCAGGTACTCGAACGTTAACGCCGTGTGTCAAGATCTAGAGATGAATCTCATTTGCATTTGCAGCAATTAAATCAAGACGGAGGAGGCTGCTCTCCACTGTTTCATTATAAAGTCTTATCTCTTTTATCTTTGCAGAGCAGACTGCGTGGGGTTGAAATGGCTCCAGTTCAAGTGTTATCTGTTGACTCAATTAAAAGCCAAGATTAGGTTGATTCATGTAGTCTGTGGGCTTCGGTAATGTTTTATCTGTGAGTTAGGGTCCCCTATGTTGTCCTGAGGCCCGCTGTCTGTTTGAAGTTTAGATCAAACAAACAGGAAAAGGACACTCGAACAAATGTAAACCAGCCGAGGCTCATGTTGCATTGAATACAGAAACTACAGCTTGTATCTGAGCAGCAGCAGAAGGTTTATTAGGAGTTTTAAAAGTGGACTTCAACCTCAGTTTTTCAGGCTTAAAAATCACTTTATCATTTTCTTCATGTATAACTTCCAATAGAAACAGTCAGATGTTTGAAGAAGAGGAGCTTCCCGTTGATCCCGAGCCAGATGTGGAGCCAGATGTGGAGCCAGAGGTGCAGCCACATCCTCCTCCTGTTGGACAGACTCCTCCGCCACCGGCAGCTCCGTCGAACCAGGAGGAAGCCGTCAACAGAAGCCTGAAGAAGAAGGTTTGTTTAAACTGGCATCCAAACCTGCATCAGCAGAAAAGCGGCGCAGCAGGAAGTCACGTCACGTCCGTCTCTTTTATTGTTTTTGGCGATATGACGTCATTATAAACCAGGAGACGATCCAAATTTGCATCTCTGCTTATTTGGTGTCTTTCCCTTTTAATATTCCTTGTTGTATTTTGGATGAAGTTCTTTGACTTCTCAGGTATTTCCCTCACTGGATTACTGCAAAACACACTCTATGAACAGTTTCACAATCAGTTTTATTTGATCCATATCGCCAAATTCCATCTCTTCTGATGGAAAACGATTGCTGAGGCTGTAAAGATAGTCACCACTAAGCTACGCTTTCTGTACTCCAACACAACAAGCAGAATATCCCGTTGGATGGAAACATGTCGCACATTTAGGAAATAATTGCATCCAGTTAAACTTTCATTAATATCAATAATTTAAGATGATCAGCGTTATAGTGTTCTGTCTCAATGTTACCTGCATTGTTTCCAGCTCTGATGATGAACCCACTGCACACTTCACAAGAACTGTTTTCTGTTTTCGTTTCATGAAGGGAGCCTCTGCACGTCCAAAAGAAGTTCAGGACGACCAGAGGGACGTCCCTCCGTCTGTAACCAAGAGAAGAGTTTTACCTGCGTGGATGATGGCGGCTGCAGCAGCGCCACACAGTTCCTCCTCCTCCAGACCAAAAGGTACCTTCACCTTCCTGTTTCATGGATTTATTTGGGTTTTTTCACACGTCTGTCCACATTTCACACTTGATTGGATCTGTCTTTGCGTCACAATACATTTGTTGGTTCCCTTCTTATTTTACGGGTCTAAAAATGTCTTAAATGTCCAGATTTTTAGGAGCCATTCATGGGTCCTAAATGCTGCCTTACCCATGGTTACCCAGCATGCCTAAAAATCGTCATGCTGGGTAACAGCTTGAAGAAAGAGACACTGGAGATCTTTTTTTTTTTTTGACAACCGCTCATCCGGTTGACTTCACACTTGGCGGGTACATTGCTCAGGACCCAACGGAGGTCAGTGTCGAGTGTGAAGTGGTTTGGATGAGCGGTTCTCCAGAAAACACCTGAGGTCAAGCGTTCAGCCCCCTCCGAACAAGCCCTAAAGTGATAATAAACTTTATTTATACAGCACTTTTCAAAATAATGTTACAACCAGTTGTTTTAAATTGTTGAACCAGGATTAAAACAAATGCAATCTTCCATAATGGGACTGTTTCTAAAAAGTGCTCGAGCTGTGGTGCAGTGGGTCTGGTGAAGGAATGAGAGTCTGTTTTCAGGTGATCTTGTCCAGGTGACGCCACCTGAACGCTGCAGACGCTTGTTGACCTTAAATAGCAGCTGACAGTCAGGTCTTAAAATATCACGGCAGTCTGACGTTAACAAGAGAGCCAATAGAAGTGTGACACAGCGGAAGCTTTTCTCCGTATGTCGGCGTGTTCATTGATAATTACAGCAGGTAAAAGAGGACACTGGACAGCGTATCCTCCTGTGATATTTACTTTGAAGGAGAGCAGACGGCTCTGCTGAGCTACATGGACCCTCAGCGAGCCTGTTACTGCGTCCATACGCTCTATGCTGCACTTAAAGAGCTGAGTTTAACTGGGAAGAGTGGGCAGATGGAGAAGTTCCAGTTTCCTAAAGAGAAACTCGCAATGCTGTCTGTGGCTACTTTCATTCCCGGAGTCTTTGGCGGCGGTGGAAAGTAATTAAGTACAAGTTTGAATTACTTGTATTTTACATTTCTGCTCCTCTACATTTCTGGGGGAAATATTGCACTTTTTACTCCGCTACATTCAGCTGACAGCTTTAGTTACTTTTCAGATTTTTAGAGTAAAATTCTTGTGAGGCTTTTACACAAAATCAGTGTGTAGCTGTGTCTCCTGGCCACGTTCAGATGTCTCTCCGACTTGTTCCACCAAAGACATTTTTCGAAACTGTTCAGCATTTCACAAAAAATGCAAAGATTAGATAAAAGTCTGATAAAACAAAGGTAAAAGTTCATATCAGAACTTAGTTTTTCTTCTTTCCTCTCACGCTGGTCATCTCACGACCCCTCAGATTTATCAGGGACCCTTTGCAGGGGCCTGACCCCCAGGTTGGGAACCACTGGACTAAACTAGCTCCCTGTATAAAGTAGCTCTACCTCGAGCAGCTACACCAGTAAAAAATGACTTGTGCATTGATGTATCGGTATTCATTTAATAACGTCAGTCACAGGGCACACATACGGCAGAACAAGTACTTTTACTTTTGATACTTTAAAGTACATTTTCCTGATAATTACTTTACTCAAATACTTCTTCCACTACTGTAAGTTGTGTCAAATGAATTGATGAGTTTCCTTCTGATTAAAAACCTTTGATATTCTGATTTATACGATGCATACTGGTGTTGATTTTTAACTGATTTTGTATGATGAAATATCTTCTTTTTTTTTTTTGTATCAGTTGGGCTCTTGTTTTCGTATAATCCTCTGAAATCGACATTTGTCTCTCTGTTTCAGTTCAGTCCGCTGTGAAGACAAGTAAAGGACCTTCAACCAGCACTAAACCAGCTGCAGCCAAACAAGCCACGCCCACCAAGACCTCCTCACCTGAGGAGGCGGAGCTCAGCGAGGAGGAAATGCCGAGGAAGAGGAGAAGGAAGATGAGTGATGAAGAGGAGGAAGCAGCTCAGTCTAAAACAGTTGAGTATTGTTAGTGAGTTGTAGTTTTTGTTCCCGTGTTCAAGGACAGAGGATGTCGTATGTATACAGATTGTAAAGCCTTCTGAGGCTGATTTGTGATATTGGGCTATACAAATACATTTAATTAAATGGAATTTAAATTAAAATAATGGCTGTTATTACGTGTTTTTACCGTCTTCTGCAAAAAAATATTTTGCGCCAATTTGGTCCAAATAAAATGAGGACTGTGAAATTACGGTAAATGTCTTCATTCAGTCTTTCTGGACCAATAAAAGCCTTTTTAATCGTCTGTCTCTGGTGTTGACTCTCAGGACGTTCCTCCAGAGCAGCGCTCAGTCAGGCTTCACAGCGAATCCAAGAGGTCCGAGGTGAGCGACGAGTCCGGCGGCTTCACCGTGGAGGTGGACGAGGAGGAGGAGGAGAGAGCGGAGTCGTCTACAACTGACATGAACACCACCATACGGACGAATGTGATCAGTCAATCTGACAACGACGAGGACAACAAGCAGAAAAATGGACGACAGCATACTAAAGGAGTCGGGTCGAGTGGCGCCTCTGCGACCGGACTTCGAGCGCCGTGTCCGTACGGGAACAACTGCTACAGGTAGCGTTTACCTGTGCACGAACACAACAGCTTTTTCCTTTGATGTGCAAAGATGAGATGAAGTGCACTTGAGCTGATAAACATGAACAGAGACAAAAACTGGATCAGGTACAAAAGCTTCTCAAAGCAGCCGCCTCGTGTCTCTCTGGTTTTAGCCTCAAGAGATACTCCTTCTCGAATTTAAGATAAAAGATTTCAAGATCATTAAAGCGAAGGTGTTCTTACACAACCCTAAATCACAAAGTGGGGCTGCAGTGGAGAAAAGAGTCTCACAGACACATTGATTTACCTCTGAGGCTCCCAAACTGACAAAAATCACAGAAACTAACCAGTCAGGTTTACACTGATGAACCAGATCGGTCATTATCCTCCAGCTGCAGAGCTTAAAGGGACAGTGTGGTTGTATGAGTCAGTGTTTTGCTACAGTAGATGGAGTTTATAGAAACAGACAGGTGGAACGTGTGGACAATGCCAGCCGTGCCGCTTTCATCCTCTTATCCACGGTGCTTGGGAGGTTGCGCTACTGTCGCGCCTGCGAATACTAACCAACCAAAACCGTGGACGGATATGAAAAACAGAAAAGATGTAATTGGTTGTCTGTGGTTTAAGTGGATTGAACTTCCACTGTTTGTTCCTTTTTTTTTTAAACTAAGTGTACATAAAGAGGGAGCAGCAGCAGGGACACATCCTGCAGAAATCTCTTGTGTGCACAGACATCAAGCGCTTCTCTGAAGACCTCTCACGACCTTCTCTGTTTGTTCTTCCAGGAAGAACCCGGCCCATTTCCAGGAGAGCAGTCACCCCGGTGACACCGACTACGAGGAGGAGGAGGATAAGGGAGAGGAGACGCAGGAGGCAGATCGGCCTGAGTGCCCCTACGGCACCGACTGCTACAGGTCAGACATCACAGTCAGATGAAAGGGGATTGAAAGGTATGATGGGGAAACCTGGTGACCCGATGAAGCTGACATCAATGGCAGAGACGGTGTAATGTCACGAGATGATCCTCGCAGCTTTTTTTTTTAGATTTAGTCTCATATTTTCATCCTAGTTTCCAGCAAATGTAAAGCATCAATACTATACTATACTAAATGGTTCATCCTCAACAAGTCTGACTGTTATACGGTGAGATGTCTTAGCGCTCCGTTTGTCCAACACTTTGGTTCTAAGTGACAACAGATGAAGGGTTTCTCCCAGAAGACGCATCTCTTGATCCATTAAGTTAACAGATGATGGCCTCCACTATCGACATTCACGTTACAGCAATGGTTCAATATTTAGAGAAATACGCTTGTGTGCTTTCTGGCGGAACGTCGACAGTGACTTTGATTTTTTTTGTTCCCTGACAGGAAAAATCCTCTTCACAGGAAAGAATACAAACACACAAAGACACCAGGTGAGATGTTTCACCTGCTTGATTTCTGTTTGACGGCATCACAACTAAAGACACCGTAAACTAAACATTATTTAATGCTTTTAATCAGTGTATGAATGTGTGTGTGTGTGTGTGTGTGTGTGTGTGTGAGAAGGAGTGAATGATGTCGGGTAAAGTGCTTTGAGAGGTGGGAAGAATAGAGGCGCTGCAGTAATGCAAGTCCATTTACTAAAGCAACGGGCTCCTGGAAGGCGGCGAGACGGCATTTAATAAAATGACAGTTCCACATGCATCGTTGTGGGAAGTGGTTGTGAGTCAGCGATGTGAGTTGTCGGCTCTCACGGCAGCCCAGGAGGATCTACTGGACTGACTGCAAAGCCGCTGGTGCTGCTGTGTTGTCCTTTTAAACCAGAGTCGCACAAAATGCTTCCTAACAAAAGCGAAAATAAAAAAGGGAAATTTCCATCTCTGAAAGGGTTTAGCGACAGATCCTCGACCTGATGAAGAAGAAGAAAAAACACACACTGGATCCGTCACCAGAGCTGCTCACAATCTATAAACCCACTGGGGCCTATCAATTTTGTTGTTAGCGGGTTATAATGTAATCTGGAGACCCTCCAGGACATTACCCCCCCCCCCCTGTTGCAGTGGAAATGACTTTCTGACACACACACACACACACACCTACACCCTTCTTTCTTTAATAAAACACACTTCACACTGATGACAAATGTGATTTCCCCTCCAATTTCTTTTTATGCCTCAGTTGACATTTAGTTAAGAAGCTTCGTTCACACTCTCGTCTCGTCTCGACTGACGGGAGGAAGGGAGACGGAGAAACGACGTCTCCTTATTTCTTCCACTCTGAAAGCACTGCTCCCCATAGAGGAGTGAAGACAAGAAATACGATGTTCTATTGATGATTACTGAAGTAAAATATGTAGTAAAAGTTACAATATATATACATTTATTTAATTAGGGGTAGTAGTATCTTTCTATAATAAGAACAAGAATGATACAGAACTCAAAGGTCCACTTACGAGCTTTTCGAGGGTTAAAAAAGTCCTAAAAAAATCATGAAATCTTTAACTTTTCACAAACATGTCTCTGATATTTGTTGACATGTAGTGGAGGTATCGTGCTGCCGAAACTTTTTCCATTATCTGTCTCTTTTTTTATTCTAACCAAACGTAGAGAAGGAAACCAGTTCATCAGAGACATCTGGAAGCAGAGGAACATGAAACAAAACTCTCCTCGCTTCTCATGTTGCACTTCAAGCTTTTCCTTGTCTCCTTCTGTGACTCACTCCGTTCACACTGCCGATGCTTTTACAGCTCGCGCCACACGCACCGTCACCAACAAGCCCCCCGCTGACGATGACGACAGCGACGAAGACGACAGCTTCATTAACGACGACAGCGAGGACGTGGGCGACGACTCGGACTACGCGCCTCCTGTCTCAGATGACAGCGGAAAGGAGGACGTGACAGGACTGCAGGAGGAGGCAAAGGCCTTCATGAAGAGGAGGAAGTAGATTCAGACCTCCATGAAACTGCTCACAAGGTCTGCAGATTATTTTGAGTAACCGGGTCATGATTTCTTGCTGTTGAGTTATTCAAATGTATTCTTTATTTTGTGTCATCTAGTCCCATTATATTGGAGAGAACCAAACCAACTCGCACCAAAACAATCTAGATTGATCAAAAGCACTACGGGTAATAGTATAAATTATGTTTTGATTTTGGGTTGAACTGTCCCTTTTTAAAAGCCATGAATTGAAGCTTTACAAGAGCATGGAGTTCCCAACTGTTTTGGCACCGTGGGCCCTTTCACATGTTGACGACTGATCCTCTCCAGGACGTCAGCGCTGTTTACTGCAGACACAATAGTATGACAAACCACTAAAGGTTCTTTCTGAACCACTGGAAACACTGACAGCACTGAGAGATACAAGCATTAGTCCAAACTGAATGATTTTGCTAAGTTGTATTTTGTCGCTTAGATTTTATTCCAGATAATCGGTTCCTTTTTTTGGATGAATTCTGCTCGTGTAAATATGTAAAATTGAGTTTTAGGCGTAGCTGTCTTATAATTGTTACTCTAATTTGTTGAGCTGTTTTTCTTACTTTGTTTAAATACATGAGATGAATACAAAGTCTTTCCTGCTTTTTGATTCTGTGGTTTTATTATGAAAGAGAAACCCACTCACACTCATATATTTTAACTAGCCGCCCACCAAACTATGTACAATGTTGTTTTTTACAAGAAAAACACAAGATTTCATGTCATATTTCATTCTAGTGGAAAATAAATTTGTTTCATTTTATTTTATTTTATCAAAATGCTAACGTGCTGATGTTTAGCAGGCTTAATGTTTACCTTGTTCACCATCTTAGCTTAGCGTGTCAGCACGCTAACATTTGCTCATTAGTAGGGCTGCGACGATACGAGGAATATATGCGATGATATTGCAGTAACGATATTACTTGCGATACATAAACGGATATTAAAGTGAACTCAGTTTGGCCTTTCTGCTGCTCTCAGTATTCTGCTTAAATACTGAAAATTGGTTGTTGAATTAAAAACAATCAAAGAAATTAATTTTCAACATGTTTTGGACAAATTGAACATTGAACTGAACACAAAAGGAATTATTAAAATAATAAAGATATATATATATATATCTTGGTGGAATATAGCATTTTGTGTTTATCGTGCAAGTTGACATCACAATAATAAAAACATACACTGTATTGTGCAGCCCGACTAATGAGCAGTAAACACAAAGTCCAGCTGAGGCTGATGGGAATGTTATTTATCTGCAGGTATTTGGTCATAAACCAAAGTACTGGACACATTAAAAGGTTGACCTGATGATGGCCACGATGGCGCTGTTGCTGCTCAGCCGACGACATGTTGAGAGCCGTGTGGAGGCAATGGATAAGCTCTGAATCATTGCGTTTGGCCCCTTTAAGTACAGTACTTGAGTAAACCTGCAGAAGTGTAGCCCAGCACAGATCACAGAGAGCTGATCTGAGGTCTGCTGCCCGTGAGGTTGTGTGTGGTGCGTCGTGAGTCTTCCAGCTGACACTTTGCATTCATTGATGATGATAAACAGACAGGCGGCCTCTTGAATTTCAAACATGATCTCCGTTCACGTCTCCAGAGCTGCCGTCTAAAGGCACAAACAACACAAGTAGAGGATGGATTCATGCAGAGCGCCTCGCAGCACCGTCGGCTACATCTGTAACACACACACACACATGGTCCCACTGGGAAGTTAAATCCTCCACACACTCAACATCAAACCGCTTCACGGTTTCCCATCATCCTTTCCTGCTGGAGAAAGTGAATTTCCTCTCACGAGACTCTCATATGGATGTAGTGTTCCTTTATGTGTCGAGAAAATGAACTATTTAAAAAGATGATCATACAGAATATGATGCTTTGATGTAGATTAAACTACCCAACAGGATATAAAGGAGTTAAAAGTATCAGTAAAATGCAAAATACACATTAATGCAGCAGTAATATTAATCCAGAAACATCAGATACAATAGTAAAACACTGACGGGGAACATTTTACTGCACGATAAGTACAACTTCAATATTTTTTTAAATATTATTAATCATCATTATTGTACAAATGAAATAATAAACACTCCGTCTGTCTCCGGCTGCAAATGTGTGTTCACATGGAGTCGGAGAAGAAGAAGAAGCTGCTTCTTCATTTGTTGAGTCATTGTTGTCACGCTCCCCTGTGATTGGCTCAGCTGTTTCAGAGGGATGTGATTGGCCGAGTGTTTTCATTAATCACCACACCCTCTGCTTCGATACTCCACTTCAGTCAGCATCTTTTTGCACTTTGCGCTGCTGCACATGAACAAAAGCAGCAGATGTGCTTGTAGTGTAGCCGCCATTATGACCCCGGCTTCTCAGTGCAAGCCTTTTTGGGAGAATACATTTCTTTTTTTTTTTTTTTCAACCTGCTTTCATGATCACACGGGTGTTAACTGTCTGACCAGGATGAGAACATCTTCACCGAGGCGAAACCAACGTTTGAATCCAGTATTTCTACAAACTGTACCAAGCATCTCAGAAACAGAACTACAAACATGGCCCCATTGCACTCTTCTTCTACGTATGAGCTACGGACACCACGCCCAACAGGAAGCTGCAGGGATGGTGTATTTTTCAAGGCCAACCAGGAAGTTAGCATTGCGCTGGTCCCCTCGACGTTTATGATACTTCACACATTTTGTTCAGCAAGAGAATGTTTACAAATGAACACCACTATTATGATTTTTGAAGCACGAATGCAATCGCCAGAAGTAAAAAGCTAACGGTAGGCTATATAGGAGCTACACCACGGTCACATGACATCTTGTCATCACCACTAAGCTAAAGGAGGACCAGTGTTCTGCGTGATGGCGTTTTGTGGTTTCATTTGGCCTCTTATCAGCACCCGCGGAAGTGTAAAAATGCTGACTCATTTCTGGGTTTTAGGACTCCTTCCTGCAGCACTCCTGTTGGAGGCACCGGCATCTCTGGTCGGGTAATAAGGGTTGAAAGCTCCCGCTTTTTGTTCGCCTCTTTGACCTGTTTCTGGACGAGCTGCAGCAGATCCAGCCTGCTGTTTGAACCTCTACTTTAGCCGAGCCCCCTCGGCGTCCTCCGTCACCCGGAGGGAGCAGGTCCGTGCCTCGCCGTCATCCACCGACTTGACGGCCACGAACGTCACCAGCCTCAGCTGGAACTTTCCCGCCTTCTTCAGGCGCTTGTTGTTGTGTCGGACGCTCATGAAGCAGAGGGTGTTGATGACCCCGTTGCTCATGGCGAGGCACTCGATGATGTAGAAGACCACCAGGGAGTTCTTGTCCCTGGATATGAGCGTGGGGTAGAAGTCCCGCAGCAGGGTGAAGCCGTAGTACGGCCCCCAGCACAGGACGTAGGCCGCCAGCACCAGAACCAGCACCACCACCGTCCTCCGACGTCTCTGGAGCCTCTTCCGGATCTGATCCGTCTTGAAACCCGGGACGTCCTTAAACCACAGCTCCCTGGAGATCTGGATGTAGCAGACAGCCATGACGGTCACCGGGCCCATGAACTCCAGGGCGAAGATGAGGAGGAAGTAGGAGCGGTAGTAAACCTGCTGGTCCACGGGCCAGATCTGAGCACAGAAGGTCTTGTGGGGGCGACCTTCCACGTGTGGGTACGTCATCTCAGAGGCCATGTAGGCGGAGGGGATGGAGATGAAGATGGGGACGATCCAGACCGTCAGGATCACGCAGTACGCCGTCTGGATCTTCATACGAGGCCTCAGAGGGTAGAGGATGGCCATGTACCTGCAGACAGGAAGAGCAAAGGTTTCACAACACAGAGGAGGACACAACACTCACAGACTTAAAACTGGAACCACTTTGAGCATCCCGGATACACAGATATTGTTTCATCTTTCCTCCCTGCTGATGCTGTTTATACATGAGAGGATGTCAGCCATGATAAATGGAACATGGAGTGGGGCTGCTGGTCCACAAGTGTGAGCGTCAGCCGATGATGGATTTGGTTCAGGAGCCCAGAAGCAGCTTTTACTATAGCAGAATGTAAATCCCCTCTGAGTCCTGAGATCTGTTTGATGTGGAGCGATCATTGATGTTTCTGTTTCTCTGACGGATGAAGCTCTGTAGTTCGGCCAAACTACGTCTGCCTGCGACATGCTAATGTTAGCAGTGGCTTATAGTTGGCTCACTGACATGTTGATATGTTGAATTAATTAAAGCTGAGGGTTAAAGGATTGATGCTGCATTCACACATGGGTAGAAGAAGTAACGTAGACCAACACAGCTGATAATGAGGCTTAAAACTCTCCTTTTTGTGTGTGTATGTTGCTGAGAACAGCACCGCAGCAGCTACTGTAGCAGAGTGTGTTTTCTGTCTCGTTTGTTATCGCAAACCAACCAGAACCCGCGGCTGTTCTCCCACACATGCATCTTGGTTATGTGATCTGGACACAGCGGGCGGTCGTGTGCATGCAGGAGAAGAACGCGAAGGAGGTGATGAGAGGAACACACACACACACACACGTACAGAGGGAGGGAGAGGGAGGGAGAGAGAGAGAGGGAGGGATTCGGAGGGAGATGGAGGGGTGCTGTTAATCTGCAACATGGAAGAGGATGGAAGGAAAGGAGGGTGGAAGAGAAAGAAAGAAAGACATGATATCCACTCCGTCTGTATTACTGCTGTAAACATGCTTCACGATAAAATCATATTTGAGAGAGAAACGTCTCTGGGATCAGCTGGAAAATGCATCGTCACAAAGCTTTTCTTTTTAGAGATAAAACCTACGATACAAACATAGATTAAACTAGGCAATAGAATATAAAGGAGCACTGGAACAAGAGGTCTTTGTGAGTATTATATAAACATAGATAGGCCTCTATAATGTCATAACGTCATAATGTTATATCGGGAATATCGTAGCTTCAAGCGAGGAGGAGTTGTGCAAAAGAGAGGCATCGTGGTGCCAGAAAATGTCCCAAAAAACGACATCTGTTTATGACGTTAAAGACGGCTTCAGGAAGAAGTGGGTGTGGATGGAGGGGTCGACGAAGCACGAGACAAACGGCTGTTCATTTCCTGTTTCCAAGTCGCCGCTGGTTTCTTTTAACCGTGACGCCTGTCATTCCCCAACCGAACCATCTACACACCTGTTCCCACTTTCCTCATCAGCCTCCCACTATTCACCAGCAGCCATTTGTCTTTGTTCCGGTTTCCTGCTCTAGATTCTGACCTGCAGCCTATTTATCACCCGTCTACCTTGTGACTCTGAAAGTGTGCAGCTCCCCCATGACCTCAATGCACTGACCCTGCCATAAAAAATTAAGTTTGTGAAACCAATTGTGGTAAAGATTGACTTAAATGTGTAGGAGAGGTGAATAAACTAGTCTCTCTAGTCTCACACCAAAACCTGATCGCTTGTTCCTCAGCCTGTGATCTAATTCTCCACCAGATCACATTTAAATCGTCCAAAAGTAACATTTGAGATATCTTGCAATGTAACCAAAAACCCTCATGGACGTGCTAAAAACGAATGTTTAATGTAGTTAAGCCGTGTGTGACGAAGGTGCAGGTGGACTCACCTGTCCACAGCGATGGCCAGCAGTGCGTTGGTGGACACGTAGAGGGAGACGGTGCGCAGGTAGTTGGTGGAGGCGCAGAGCAGCAGGCCGTGATCCCACGACAGCTGCTTCACCACGTAGTAGTCCAGCAGGAAGGGACAGCACACCGCCGCCACCAGCACGTCCGACACCGCCAGGTTGGCGATCAGCAGGTTGGTCAGGTTGCGGAGCTGCTTGTAGCGGGCGAGGCTGGCGATGAACAGACAGTTCCCCACGCCGCAGACCAACATGATGCCCACCAGGACCACGGCGATGACGATGGTGGCCACGAAGAAGGCCCGGCCCTGCGTGGTGTCCGGGATGTCGTCCGGATGAATCTCATAGTCCAGGCCGTCACTGGACAGGAAGTAGTCCGACAGAGCCGAGCTGCTGTTGGCCGGGTCGTCCATTTCGGATCAGGTCAACATGCTCAGGTTGGCTGATCCCTGGGAAATAACAATAACAGTCTGACCACAATCTCCATGTTGGTTTGAGTCTGAACATTTAATGACAGTAAGAAAAACACAGGATATTACTCCTATTGTCACATCCTGTACACATTGGCCTATCCCAGCATGCATTGCGTGAAGGTACACTCCCTGGACAGGTCAGTGCATCTCAAGCCTGTCACACACATTACAGCACAGACACTACATTCAGTGTTTGACATACAGACACCTGTTTTGCCGCTCGGTGCGACTTTAACGATGTTGGATCTGATCTTTTGATGATAGTTTTGCTGATGCCGTTGCTACGTGACAGAGTTCATGTAGTCTACTTGTTAGATTTGTCCGCAGCTCGAGGAATGTTACGTCTGAAAAACTCTCTTAGAGCCCCGACACCAGAGCTTTTCACCAAACTGTCTGTGTCGGCTGCATGGGAGCGGGTTTGTTCTCATCACTGATCGCTGTTTCTACATCAGAGGACAGCAGGAGTCAGTGGTGGGGGAAGTATTTTACTTCAGTGAAAGTACTAATACCTCACTATATAAATACTCTGTTACAAGTAAAAGTTCTGCTTTGAAAATGTTACTTGAGTATAATTGACTTAAAAGTATAGAATTGTCCCCTGTGACTGTTATACTATTATATATTAGATCATTGGATTATTGTCACTCATGCATTAATGCAGTGGTTCTCAAACTTTTTCTGTCGCGCCCCACTTTGGAGGAAGAAAAATGTTCATGCCCCACCACCCCAACAAAATTGTAACAAAATGGTCCATGTTGAATTTTTATTGAAATAACATTTTGTGACTCCTCCGTCCGTCCTTTTCAAATAATAGAATAAAGAAAATTGCAATCACTTTCAAGTAAACCAGATTGCTCCATCAGACAAAAACAAATAAAATGTGCAATCACTTTGTTAGAACAATGCAAATAAAGTTCAATCTGTGCAAAAAAGAACTACAAAATAGCTTATTACAATTGGCTGATATGAGATGCTAAGTCATAATTATGAGATGCTAAGTCATTATTTTGAGATAGTATCTCATTATAATGACTTACAGGATCTGTAATTTTTCCTCACAGTGGCGGAAACGGGCTTCCATACATTTTGCCATGTATTTATTAATTACTTAAAAAAAAAAAAAAAAAAAAAAAATTCTGCATTTCCCCCTGCGCCCCACCTGTAATACCACCACGCCCCACTAGAGGGGCGCGCCCCACAGTTTGAGAACCACTGCATTAATGTAAAAGCAGGATTTTACTGTAGTTGGTTGAGGTGGAGCTCATTTTGAGCTATTGATTAATGATTATTTTCATTATAGATTCATTTTTCCATTAATTGATTGGTTTGTAAAAAAATGTGCAAATAGGAAAAAAAGTCACAATTACCCAGAGCCCAAAGTGACAACTTCACACATGTGTTTAGTCCAAACCTCAACATTATTACAATACATTAACATTATTAAAGGAGACATATTCTGCTCATTTTGAGATTCATATTACTTAATACGTATTTTAGGTTTCTAGTAGAACATGTTTACATGCTTTAATGTTCAAATAACACTATATTTATATTCTATTTATCGTTTAGCGGTGACTCTGTAGAGAGCTGAAGTCCATCACTTCCAATCTGACCTTTTTTCGGAAAAAACTTTGTTCGTTAGTCAACGTTGAGACACATAATGATTTGATCCTGATTGAATTGTGCCATGAATTACACGTCTTTATCAATTTAAAACGTATTTTTTGCACATCAAGAAGATTGCATTCTGTCATAAAACTGTTAAAGTATAAGACCACATGGACCACACTTTGGGAACAGAGAGCTATACTTCAATTAATGAGAAATAATGAGAGAAGAATAAGAAACACAAGACAGCGGTGAAGATATGTGCAGCAGAGCAACTATAGCTCAACACATGTTAATATAAAACACAAGACCAAAGATCTCTGCAGGACGCACGTGTTGAACTGCAGAATTAAGGATATGTGACATGTGTGGCTGTTTATGATTAAATAAATCGCGTATTGTAAGACGTGAGGTGACACGTCGTCTGAACACGGAGGTTACATGTAAATAAAGGAGATCATATATTTTGTGGTACAGACCTGAAGCTGCTTCTCCGCGCGCTCTGATCCACTGAATGACAGGAAAGACCGCGAGGCGCGTTCACAACGTCTAGCGACCCAACACGCACAGACACACGCCCGCGCACACTTTATTCCTTTTGAAAATAATATTTAAATGGTTTTTTTTTGCAAACAAACCATATGACTTAGATAATTATATGTGTTGACTTGACTTCTAAATTGAGATTTAAGATGTTCAGTTGGTTGAAACTTATTATTATTGTGGGTTCTTAAAGCATTTTCACTTAGTGTCACATCACCTGTAAGTCATCATCCATTAGTAGGCATGACATCCCCACAGGTAGAAGTATCTTATTAAATTGAGACAGAAGAAGAAACAGGTCAGTTTGTGATGGTGAATGTAAACCAGCTCTCCCATCACTGGGAGGACACCCACCAGTAAATAACCCCCCTCTTCTTCTGCCGCATCCCACAAACATCTGCTGTTGTGCCGATGTCCCGATCAATAAATATCCTCTGGTCGTATACCAGAGCTGAGAACACGTCCCCGTCTCCCGACACGGTGAAATGTGCTCCACACCGACAGCAACATGAATAAAACGGCTGAAATGACACCGATCAGCGACGGCTGGAGGAAGAAATGTGAGTGAAGACACGGTGTACATCTATGACTAGATATTCTCTACTTTTAGGAATGATTATAGTCACTCATAACATGGAGGAAGTTTATGAAACAAGATTTTTTTAGTTGACACTAGCAAATTGAAACGGATGCTCCATAATATGGAGTTAAAAACCCTGAATTTTATCCCTCAACTGGCTACATTAGAGGACAACCATGTAAAATAAAGTCTGGTAATAATCCAGAGTTCTTCTAAACAGTGAATGTATCCCCCTCTCTCTCTCTCCCTCTCTCTCACACACACACACACACACACACACACACACACTTTAGTGTTGCCACAAAATGCAACTTTCTTGACGTGCGTAATGATATTTTAAATTGATAAAAGTAAAAATGAAACAGATCCCGTTTGTCCCTAAAGCTCCAGCAGGAAAACTCACATCAGTGGCAACAATTATGTAAAAGACTTTTATTTTACAAAACAAAATATTGGCCGGGGATTATTTGCTCGACCTCATGAACGACGGCAGAGGATTCAAAAATAAAAATAAAAGCATTTACAAAAAATCAAAAGCATCTGGGAACACGAGGGAAATCCAGGACCGGTCCTCCCAGTCAGAGTGTCTTTGTGTCTCCGGACGATCACGCTACTTCTTGGCGTACGTGATCTTCATGGCGCAGGTCGCTGTGATTCTGAAGCCCTGCAGGGCGTCTTTAGCCACGCCCGCCTGCGTGTCGCTCTCAAACTCCACGAAAGAGATGTCGTGTTTCCCCGGGACGAGCCGCACCTCTTTGAAACCAGGAAACCTGCAGAGGATCGTTAAAAATAAACCCAGTCAAAACACGGTCAACGCATGTTTTTTGAAAAGAACGTAAAAGACAAAGCCCTGACGGTGGACTCACTGGTTGAACAGCATGGAGAGCATCATCTCATTGGTCTCTTCAGGCAGGTTGTTGAGGAACAGGATGTAGTTAGGTGGGTTATCCGGCACCTGAGGAGACAGCAGAGACTCATCACGTTCAGCTTTGCACACAGGGACCCGTCTCACAAAAGCTTTTTATAATCACTGCTTATACGCAAATGATTGTTGTCTGCAAACCGCAGAATCCTACAAGGCTCCAAGTATTGAAGTGTCGATGAGTGAAAGGTAAAATAATGTGAAAAACATGCATATATTAAAGGCAGTGTGAAGGATTTGGTGGCATCTAGTGGTGAGATTTCACATTACATCTAACCGAATGTCCCTCACGTGTCGGAGAACTACGGTGGCCTTGAGGTAGCGTAAAAAGGTGAAAGGCTCTCTCTAGAGTCCGTGTGTGGTTTCTTACCTGTACTGCATTGGAGTGCACAGGCGCTCCTGATCCCTGCAAGCAAAAAACACACCAGTGAAAAACATGAAGAGCAATTTACGGTTTGCTTTCATTCTTACGGAAAAATGGGTTTTTTTGAACAAAGTTTACTAAGAACAGGATTAGTACAGACGGCAACCTCCGGGTCTGAAAAGTGAAGCCAATTGCATTCTCTCTACTGACCAGCAGGGGGCGACTCCTCTGGTTGTATAGAAGTCTATGAGAAAATGACTCTACTTCTCTCTCGATTTATTACCTCAGTAAACATTGTAAACATGAGTTTATGGTCTCAATCTCTAGTTTCAAGTCTTCTTCAATACAGCATGATGTTCATTTTGTAAATTATGGTCCATTTAGAGTCAAATAGACCATAAAGCAGGGGATGCTTTAGGGCGGGGCTACTGTGATTGACAGGTCATTAGCTTAGGTCACAGCTTAGTGTCCCCCACCTACCAGACTGTTGTTTTCAGTTTAAATCAGCAGCACTGTCAGAATCCTCAAAAGGGAACACGACACAACTTGAAACTTGTCAAAGTTACGTGATGTTCAAACGTAGACCGATTGGAAAGGTTTTAAATTAATGTAAGAAATGTTAAAACACACTTAGTGTTAAAAAAATCCACTTGAATGTTTTAATGTTGAAACATTACTGCACATCTGCCTAGCACAAATACATATTTCATATTTGATACATTATATTTTATTCCTATTATTATCCTTATTTTATGTCTTAGATAAGAACATTTTCTTACCGTCTTACTAGAAAAAGCTTTTAAAAAGTGAAAGATTAGGTCCTGGGTTTCAAAATAAAAGTATTCACAGTATGAGAAGCAGTGAAGTCATTTTATATCGTGAGGAACTGTTGACAGCCTCTGTTCTTCTCATCACAAAGTTATTATAGAGAAGCATCGCTCCACAGCTCTGCCTCCATCACCAAACACTTTCCTGTTGGAGGTACAGTGTGTGTGTGTGTGTGTCTTTCCTCTGCTTCTACTTACTGACATAGTTACAATCACACACCGATAAAAATGACAAATCACGAGAAATAAACTGATTTTTGGGAATATTTCCTGCAGCTATTGCTTGTTTTCGCCTGTTTTCTTTTAAATTACAGCCGTCAGTCTTCCTGTTAAATGACAGTAATGTGTGAAGTTCAGTCATCAGTCCTCAGCGGAGGAGGAAACGGTGTCTTGTTGGTGGAGGGCTGGTTAAGATGCATCTGTATCTGTGAGACAGTGTTGGTGTACTGTAGTAGTAGATTTTAAAGTTTTTACTGCCTGGGAATTCACCGCGTTGCTCTTTCCCCACAAAATACTGTGATTAAACGCCGTAAACACGTTTTATTTTGATTATAATTTTCAGATGTATCAAATGTAATATGGTTGAACTACTCTGATCTTTCACTTCAGCAAAAGCAGCAATATCACAGTGTACAAATAATTACAAATTACACTCAACATTATAAACATAAAGGCCGTTACACACAATAATCGGTTTTATTTGAGTTCCCCGCAACTGATACATTTTTCCAGTTGTCATTTTCCCGTTACCCGAGTTATGATCGTATAACCAACATCTCGTCGTATTCAACACCGCTATGAGGAGAAAACTGCCTGTTTCACAAAGTTTAATGGTGGAGTGACATGAACAGAAACGAATGTGTGTTCAGGACATTGAACCAGATGTTGTCACCGCCTGGTGAGACAGAGAACGATGACTTGACTGATGTTCAAACACAAACTCACCGCTGCTGGTTTCTTTAGTAAGCTGACTGCCAGCGGCTCCTGAGCTTTCTTCTTCTTGTCCTTCTTCTTCTCCTTGTCGCCGTACGTGCCTTTCACCTTTGCGATGACCTCGGAGTCCGTCTTGGCGTACTGTATCCTCTGGGGAACAACAGAACACGGGTCAGTTAAAGCCCCAATAACTGCCCACGGAGGTGCGAGGACAGCGTCGTCATTCCTACCATGGGCTTGTTGTAGAAGGGGAAGCCCTGAAGTTGCCTCAGTGCGTTGGTGGACGCGGCGAGCTCTTTGAAGACGACGAAGGCCTGTCCCCTCATCTTCATGGTCTTCATGGCCACGATGTCGATTATCTGGCCAAACTGCGAGAAGAGCGCGTAGAGCGAACGCTTCATCTCTGCAGGAGGAAGACGAGACCCAGCTCAACAAAAAGAAAACAAAACGGGCCATGTTGCTGTTTGAATATAGTGACGACGTTACAAAAACACAGAACAGCAGAATGTCGTCACACAACAAGAGCAGGTCTGACATTTAGCTTCATCTTCTTTTATCAAATAATCTTGACTGCTCATTGAGAGAGCGATGAAATGCACACGTACCTTCTTTCTTGACTCGATCATTGATATTGTTGATGTAGATGGTGTGGTTTGGTCGGATGTCCATGTCTGTGGAAAACAACAAGAGAGCAACAAGAGAGCATGTCAACGTCTTCATTTGCTGAAACACATTTTCAAGCTGAAAAGTTTGGAATCACGTATTATTTATATTTTTCTTCAATAACGGCTTCTAACAAAACTGTATAATCCAAACACCAAACGTATTATTTACATTTTAAATAGTTTCGGCGCCAAAAGAAGAAGAAGTTAATGATTAAAACGTCAATTTAGTCGATGTCCACACCGTGTTGCATGACAGCAGAGAATACTGTTGGAACTTGGATTTTAAATTAGTTTTCTAGTCCAGAAACACGTCAGTGACCCTCGATCATTACTGAACCACAAACGGTGTAACTGGGCTCTAAATATGGAGTTAGTCCGCTTCTCTTTGGGCCCTCTGCAGTCTACTCAGTGTTAGACTGTAGAGGTTTAAACTGTGTTAGTTCACAGTGTGATCAGCTGATATTCTAATAGTGCTAACGCTACACTAACCTTCTATTATGAAGTTTAAAGGAGAGCTTTACTAAAGCAACACAGCTGTTAATTCAAGCTTGTTATTGGCTGAATTATTGTCACTGAAACAAGAAGCTGTTCTTATTTAAATCTGCAGACATGTTGCTGCTAAAAAGCTTCCAGTTTATTTGACCAATGTTTGATTTCTTCTGTTCGTATTCAACTGCTGCTCAGAGGATCTTTGTCTCTTTCAGCGTTTTGTTCTTCATGTGCAAAAATAAACCCTTCATACAAAATATGTATTTTTAAAGAGGAATAAAAAAATATACAGTTGTCCTCTTAGACATCAGACTTTAACAAATCAAACTGCTAATGAGATACTAAACATGTCCAGAGAGACTGACAAAACCTGATGTTATCGCACAAGATAGATAGATAGATGGATAGTTACTTTATTAATCCCGCAAGAGGACATTGTTTCGCTACAGCAGCTATTATGGTACAGGTAAATAAAATAACAGTAAAAAATATTAAATATCAAATGCAAATACACAATATATACAATGAAAACAATATGTTAGCTGGACATATCCCTCATAACTAATGCCATCATTTCCCATCGGACGTGTTTTTTACGTTTTAGTTAGGCTAAAGGCTCAGTCTGGGCTAATGTTAGCATACGTTAGCTTAACGCAGGCTACATTCATTCACACTGATAGCCTAGCGGCGGTAAGCTAGCTAACTACGCGTTGCGTTTTTAACACAATGGTCTTTAATATGAACATAATAGGCATTCATCACTTGACCTGGGGAATCGGTAACACTACAGACAGATCACATGAAGACAAAACTGTGTTAAATATTAAACTCACCTCTCTCCCTCCACACTGCTCATATAAAACAGGAAACACACTGGTGGCGCCGGTAACACTTGCCGCTGCTTTAACGAGCTTTCACCTCTACCGCCACCAGCAGGCCAGGAGGACAACTACAAGCTACAACTTTAACCTACAATTCACATGGTTGAAAAGTGTGTTATCTCCGGCCACAAAGGCTTTATTGGGTCCAGAGAGGATTACTCTATATGTTTTTTTAGGTTGTAAAGAGTCATCGTTATGAATATTTGTACGAAGGGTTTGTTTTGGACGTGGAGAACAATACTAGACTGACAATTGAAAGGGAAGAAAGAGATCCTTTCTGAGCAACAGTTGAATAAGAAGATAATAAATATCACTAGTCAAAGAAAGTGGAAGCTTAGCAGTAAACTGTGTGCAGATTTAAATTGGAACAGCTTCCTGTTTCTGTGAGCACAATAATGCATATGCTAGAATTAACAGGTGTTGTAGTAAAGCTCTTCTTCAAAATTCACAATATAAATAGGTTAGTTTAGGGTTAGCACTGTTGGAATTGGGTCAGGAAATATCAGCTGATCCCACTATAGACTGACAAATCACAGTTTAAACCTCTACAGTCTAACACTGAGTAGACTGCAGAGGGCCCAAAGAGAAGCAGACTAACTCCATATTTAGAGCCCACTTACACCGATGTGGTTCAATAATGATCGAGGGTCACTTGACAACAGAAACACCACTTCAAATGTTGAGTTTCTTAGAAATAAGTCATCAGCATGAAAAAAGAACGTATAAAACTAAATTCATATCAATAATCAATAAAATAAATTGGTCAATCAATAATTGATTGACCAAAATAATTGATTAGTCGACCGTATATCTATACATGCATCTCTCTGTCTCTGTCTCTCTCTGTCTCTCCCTCTCTGTCTCTCTATCTCTCTCTATCTCTCCCTATCTCTCTCTGTCTCTCTATCTCTCTCTATCTCTCCCTATCTCTCTCTCTCTCTCTATCTCTCCCTATCTCTCCCTATCTCTCTCTCTCTCTCTATCTCTCTCTGTCTCTCTATCTCTCCCTATCTCTCTCTGTCTCTCTCTCTCTGTATATATACATATATATGCTTATTTTTAATTGTTATATATATGTATGTATATAGAAAGAAGAATAAATAAATAAATAAATATATACTATATGTGTTTACGGTCGTTTTTCTTCAACCGTCAGTAGTGTGTATTTTGTCCTCTCCGGGCTTCTGTACAGATGTAATGTTTTCATCAGCTGATGCTTCCCCGTTACTTTGCTTCTTTTTTGTGTCATATGAAAACTAACAGGCTAACGTGCTACTCAACAGATTGTGTCACCGGACAACGATAACACCTGTCCACGGTGTTGACCCTCCCTCTCTCCCCTCCCTCTCCCTCTCCCTCTCCACTCACTATAGTCCAGTTTCTACATGTTCGTGTGCAGTCTGTCGGTTATCTCGGCGGCGACTTTTGCTCTCTTTATCCCGCTGTGGCTCATGCTAGCGGGTTAGCCTGTTAGCTTAATTAGCGGGAGGCTAACTTACAAACGTAACTGGACCGGACGGACATGTGCAATGGCATCGGTTCGGGTGGCTGTCCGGGTCAGGCCCATGAACAGACGGTGAGTTTAGGACAATTGTTTTTAATCTTTCTGCAGGTATAATGTCAGAATGTTGTTGTTGCAATGCTAACTGAGCTCATACAGATGTAGCCTCTGGGAGTCATGGTGTTTAAATCACATGCGTGGACTCAGCAACAATATTTGAGACTGTAACAATGAGGTTATATTATCATTGAAAGAGAGAGTTATTAGCCTGCAGGAAGAAGTATTTACTGAAGTAAAAGTACTGCTACCACACTGTGAAAATACATATACAAGTACCTACATATTATCAGCACAGTGTACTTAAAGTATGGAAAGTAAAAGTACTCACTGTGCAGTAATATGTTATGTGTCAGTGTTTTACTATTTTATGATGTTTTTGTATTACTGCTGCATTAATGTCTTTGTTGCATTTTACTGCTGTAGATGTATTTGTACACTGTTCTACATCAATGCATCATATTCTATAAGATCATTTTATGTTCACATCAAATATAAACAACCTGTTTTCAGCTTTGTTATGAAGCATTTTCCAGCTGATCCCAGAGTCTTTTTAAAGAGTTTATTAATCTGAAGAAGTAGGAGGATTTTATCAACGCATAAAGGAACATTTCATCCTTCAGTTTATCACAAACATTCAACATCAACACATCTGGAGATACGCGGTTTAAACTGGACAGGAAGGAGATGAAAAACTGTAACTAAAGCTGTCAGACAAATGTAGTAAAAACTACAATATTTACGTCTGAGATGTAGTGGAGTAGAAATATAGGCTACAGTTGCAGAAAATAGAAATACTCAAGTCAAGTACCTCAAATGTGTACTTAAGCACAGTACTGGAAGAAACTGGAACGATTAAACGCTTTGTATTGTTAGGATAACAATGATTTTAAGTTCCCTCATTATTTTTCTATCGATTTACTCCGAGATTAGTCAACTAATAATTTAATTGCAACACCCTAAAACTGTATCAAAATGAAATACCTGTAAGAATGATTGAGTTAATAATCGATTGATTGGCTGATTTCAGCTTCTGAAATGGGATTTTCTTCATCTTCTATGAAAGTAAATTTTATAGAATTTCACAGACGCCTTCATGTCTGCTTATAAACACAGTCGATGCAGATTCAACGTGACGCGTTTCTGTTTTTGCTTTCAATCCGACATGAAGGGTGTGGTTGAGCCTGAGAACAAACGGGGGTGGAGACGGATGGTTATACTAAGCAAACATGTCGCCCCGCTCATACAATTCATGTTCAGTCATGTGAGTTTATTCAACATCACAATCTATACAGCAGAGTCTCGTTCAGACTGTTGGAAGTATATTTGAAGTTGTAGTTTGGAGGCAAGAGTTTCCTGTTTACACATATTATGTTTTACATATATTATGTTTTACATATATTATGTATTACACATATCTATCACAGAGACGTGTGTGAGTAAAATAAATGATAAGACGTCTAAAGTAACCTCACAGTTGGATGTAGTTTATTATTTTGACCTGTGTTACAGTATAAATAGCTGGTGATATTGAACATGGTTTTAAACGTCTGAAGCTATTGAAACACGTTTCTCCAGTTTGATGGAGCTTCAGCACAAACGATTCAGTAATACCAACAACAAGTATGTGGACACATAAAGAAATGTGACTCTGGTTCTAAGTTGCTCTCGGTGTACTTGGACACATTTCAAGAACAGGAAAGATGGAAATGAACAAACAGCTGAAAACAAGGACAACAAGGCTGCTATATAACAATATAACAATATAACAAGCACACAAATATATGTATTATGTCCATACAGCTGTTTATACCTGTTATATGGTTATGTATATGGGTTAGTCTCCTGATGATCATCAGTGTCTCATCGGTGATGATGAAGAATATCGTTGGGGCCGTTCCAGCCAAGGAATCTATTTATTTTGGTATTTTTGGTAAAAGGTTGGTTGATTAACTCTCACATGAACAGAAACAAAAGAGTCTCTGAACGCTGACGTGATGAAGTTCACAGATCCTGAAGTCTGTCCCGTGTTCTTACATAAACATTATTGATCTTATTCAGGGAGAAGGACTTGACCGCAAAATCCATCATCAGGATGGAGGGAACCAAAACCTCCATCACCAACCTCAAGGTAAAACTGTTCCCACCGTATGTGATTCAGACGGACTGCGATCGTAACGCCGTGTAGCTGAAGCTGTGTCTTGTTTTAATGTCGTGTTCTCCAAAGATCCCCGACGGCATCGCAGCCGACTCGACGAGGGACCGAACCAAAACGTTCACGTACGACTTCTCCTACGACTCCGCGGACTGTAAGAGCTCCACGTTCGTCTCCCAGGAAAAGGTGAAGAACAGCTTTGGATTTCTGGGTCTACGCAGCTCGTTGCTGTTAGACTCTGTGTGTTTACTGAGCTCTGACATATCACATTACAGCCCTGCAACATCAATACCGAGCAAGCGAGTCTCAAACCTAGAGTGAAATGTTTTAACACGTCGACCAAGAAACCTTGAAGAAAGTCTCGGCAGCAACAAAAAACCTATTTTCTCGTTTTCATTTGCAGGTTTTCAAAGATCTGGGCTCGGACGTGCTGCGGGCGGCGTTCGAGGGCTACAACGCCTGCGTCTTCGCCTACGGTCAGACCGGCTCCGGGAAGTCCTACACCATGATGGGGAATCCAGTGAGACAAAACTAACGAGACATATCTAACACTCACACCGCAGACCACAGAGAGATCAGAGTCACTGTCCCAACTATTGATCCGTCTGCTCTGCTGAACTCATCACTGAAGGCTCCAGTCGAGTTTAGCTGACCGTTAATCTGTTGATTACTTTCTCTATAAATCATTAACTCTTTGAGGTGTAATAGTGAAAAATGTCTTTCATGACTTGGAGGCTTCAAACTGCTTATTTTGTCCAAAAGATATGAAGATCTTCAGTTTACTGTCATTTATAAGATAAAGAAAAGAAAATCATCACATTGTGATGTTTGGGGTTTTTAACTTCCACGATTAATTGATTCACTATTTGTTTGCTCTGCTGGACATCGTGAGTTAGTGTCCCAACACACCTCCGAAACATTAGACCAGACACGTTGGAAGTATTTTAATTTTACGTACTCAGTTATAGGATAAAGCTGGTGATGTTTTATTTGTTTCATACTGTCAGAAATCCCATGAAAAGACCAAAACCAACAACGTGTTAGTCCGTCCCTCAATACTTTGACTTCCTGTCTGTGACTCTCAGCTCCGAGCTCATTGGTTCCAACTGAAGACGTAAATCACTTCATCATAAATCAACGCTTCATTTATCTTTTTATTGTGAACTTAAAAATCAAAAACTCTAGAACCAGACCTTAAAATATCCTCTTTTCTATGTTTTTAATTAAAAAATGGAACCCCCCCCCACCTCTCCAAATGTGTAAAGGTAATAGAGGACATGACGTCAGCGGACATGTTTGAGGTGTCAGCAGGTCACATGATCTGTCCGTTCTCAGGGAGACGAGTCCGACTCCAGACGCAGCCGCGTCGGGTTTTATTGTTTGATCTTATCTGATGGATCAGCAGCCACGCTGTCAATGATAAACCTGCAGCCGGCTCCTCTGAGATAACACTGGTATGCAGAGATGTGAGAGGAGAGCAAACGCACGTACAGAACAATATCAACAAGGTCCTTCACAGGAGGGAGGAAAGAGAAGACGTGATGCAGAAGAATATAAAGAATATATAAAAATATGTTTCGTAAAACACGTCTTTAAAATGCTGTTGACCTTGTACGTAATCATTTTATCACGACTTGTAAATGCTTGTTATTCTCACCACTACCTCACTAAACCTCATACACCTTTGAGCCTGTGTGTTTCTACGTCTGAACTTTCTGTGTTGTTGTTGTTGTTTTAGGGGGACGCAGGTCTGATCCCGAGGTTCTGTGAAGGTTTGTTCAGTCGCATCGCCGCGGCGTCTCGATGGGATGAAGCTTCGTTTCGTACGGAAGTCAGGTGAGCCGGACCGGCCGGATGGTTTATATTTTCCACGTCTGCACCAGCTCTCAGTGAGCAGACTTCAATAACACCCAAACAGAAGCACAGGTGCTCAGCGGGCAAGAAGCGTCTTGTTAGATCTAAATCCACAGATATATTTGTTATACACAAGCCATTGTTTTATCCTCAGATTGATCGACAGCGGTGTCTTGAGTTTACTAACACAGATAGAAAAACAGTCATTATTGTAAGAGAACAAACTTGAGATGAGAGGACTAAGTTGTGATTGCAGCCATGTTTTCCTCTGGTTTATGCCTTCAGCTACCTGGAGATCTACAACGAGAGGGTGAGAGACCTGCTGAGGAGGAAATCCAGTCAGACCTACAACCTCAGAGTCAGGGAGCACCCGAAAAACGGACCGTATGTAGAAGGTGAGACTGCACTGCTGGGCCACAACAGTGCTGGAGAATTCTTCTTGTTTGGAGTTTTATCTGCAAACGATTCCGTATAATAATCTAGTTTTTATTTACCCTGCTTTCATTTCGGTTTTACTGTGTTTTTCAGGGATGGTAAAGGGAAAATGTTTGTGTATATGACAGTCTTGTAGTAGTTTTAGGTGATTACGTACCCAGTTAACATGTTTTCTCAGCGTTTTGTTCACGTGTCGACGTCCTGTAACCTGACCCCGTCCCTCCTGGTCTCAGATCTGTCCAAACACCTGGTGCAGAACTACAGCGACGTGGAGGAGCTGATGGAGGCCGGAAACATCAACCGCACCACCGCCAGCACCGACATGAACGACGTCAGCAGCCGCTCACACGCCATCTTCACCCTCAACTTCACACAGGTCAGAAAGAATTTACTGACTTCAGACCGTAAATCATTTCTCCACAGTATGAAATAAACAAAAAAATTCACAGGAGTTTCTACTGAAATGAGCCGTGATTTCATCTCGTATCACTCAACACCTCTCTCCCTCCCACCCTCCCTCCCTCTCTCTCTCTCTCCCTCCCTCCCTCCCTCCCTCCCTCCCTCCATCAGGCCAAGTTCGATGCAGAGATGCCCAGCGAGACGGTCAGTAAGATCCACCTGGTGGATCTGGCCGGCAGTGAGCGAGCCGACGCCACCGGAGCGACAGGCGTCCGGCTGAAGGAAGGAGGAAACATCAACAAGTCGCTGGTCACTCTCGGCAACGTCATCTCTGCTCTCGGTCAGAAACGGAACCTGAAACCCGTGTATCTCGACGTGTGTGTTTCAGTTCACAATGTTTGCTGACCGAAGGGTCTGTTTCCTGTTTGTGCTCCAGCTGACATGACGCAGGACGGCGTGAACACCAACCTGAAGAGGAGGGCGGTGTTTGTTCCCTACAGAGACTCGGTGCTCACGTGGCTGCTGAAAGACAGTCTGGGCGGCAACTCCAAGACCATCATGATTGCCAGTGAGACATACAGACATTTAAAACCTTCCAAAACAAGTAATGTAAATTCTCAAATAGTGTTCGGGGCCTTTATTTACCTCCGCTGCAGAGGCTACCAGGCCTTTCTTATATTATTATAGCAGGCTTATATTAGAGACTTCCTCTGTTTGATGAATATACCCGGTCATATTTTAGTACGAAGCCTCCTTGTTTTCTCATTCTGTTGGATTCTTCTTGCCGGTAATTAACACTTCCTGTATCCATTTCAAACTAAAAGCGGCCTTTTCTTCGCAGCCGTTTCCCCCGCCGACGTGAACTACGGCGAGACGCTCAGCACTCTGCGGTACGCCAACCGAGCCAAGAACATCATCAACAAGCCCACCATCAACGAGGACTGCAACGTCAGGCTGATCAGAGAACTGCGAGCCGAAATCGCCCGACTGAAGGCTCTGCTGATTCAGGGCAACCAGGTAAACACAACGCTGACGGGTCGGGAGGAGGTCTCGCTCTGCTGCTGTCACAGCATCTGTCTCTGCCTTCAAATTTAGGCAAGTTATTAAACAAAAAGATGAAGATGAAGCAGTTTGAAGGAGAGCGACGATAAAATGAACACGGATCATAAAATGTTTCCTTCTGGCTGAAACTGAGCTTGAGCCGTCGTGATTATTCTAATCGTATTAAAGTCACTAATACAACCCGGTCAAAGTGTTTCTGACCCTTGTTTGTGTTTCTGTGTCAGATTGCTCTCCTGGACTCGCCCACTGCTCTGAGTATGGAGGAGAAACTGCACCAGAACGAAGCCAGAGTGAGTTTAACGTTTTCCTCTCGTGATGACTGCTGCTGCAGCAAACTGCACCTTTTTAATTTGACGTTTTAGTAAACTATAAACGTGGCTTTGCATAAGTTGATCTCTGCTGAAGAGTTAAACGTCCGTTACCTGCTGGTTTCTGTCTGGTTTCTATTTGTGTTTGTGTGTTTGCAGGTCCTGGAGCTCACCAAAGAGTGGACCAACAAATGGAACGAGACACAGAACATTCTCAAGGTCCGTTTGTTCATCCTTCATGTTGCTCACTGTTTGTGGACTGTCTGACTTAAACATGTTGAAAGCACCAACAATCTCTGCTGGTGTGTGCGTAGTGGGGAAAGTTTCACATAATGTGTATATTTAGCGTTCTCTTTATTGTGAGCGTCGTGAATACACCTGGTTGTGACTGTGGCGTCTGCAGGAGGAGACTCTCGCTCTGAGGAAAGAGGGGATCGGTGTTGTGTTGGACTCCGAGCTGCCTCACCTCATCGGCATCGACGACGACCTCCTCAGCACCGGCATCATCCTGTACCATCTAAAGGTCAGAGGTCACCTGAAGCACTTGTACATGATACATAACTTTAACAGTTAGTATCAGTGTCGTATCTGCTTACATCTGGATGGAAGAAAGTGTTTTATTCTAGTCTTCAGCTTCTTCAGGGTCAAAAACAAAAAAGAGGAAATAATCAAGAATGCTGACAACAAAAAACACAACTTAAAACATTTCCACTTAAGAAAAAGATTGGAAAAGTAAACCTAGTACACCAAGCAATCAGTAATTTAAAATGAATTTACCCGAGCAGAATGAAGTGATCGACTTCTAAACTTCTTCTTTCTTTTTTCCCCTCTAAACCTCAGGAGGGACGGACGTACCTGGGCCGAGAGGACGCGTCCAGAGAGCAGGACATCAGTGAGTTTGTCATATGAGCCTGTTTTTACATCAACAACCAGTAGGGAGTACTTTCAACAAGCTGCAGGGGAAGAGAAACACAAACGGTGTTAACAAACAAGAACGGCCTTTTTATACCGGCTCATCACATAAATCACAGAAAAGCAGAGATAAAATAAGGAAAACATTACTTTACATACTTCTCATGGTCCAGTAGTCGTTATATAAATGTTAAACAATGTATTTTCTTTTCCCCAAAAGATGATTTTAACCTCCGATGGAGAAACTATAATAAAACTAACTTCTTAAATATTGTTCATGACCCACTTAAAGTTACAGATGCACCGAGCGATCGGCCACCGGTCGAAACCGTCAGCTGATCGGCCGATCGGTGTCATAAAACAGATTTTGTTGACATCAGATTAACACACATGTGCAGCATGATGGTTTTACGTCTCACACACACACACACACACACACACACACACACACACACACACGTCAGTGGTGTGTCATAAAGACAATAAACTCACATTTTATGTAGCTTTGTTTGAGTGAGAGAAGGTCCTGTAACTTGGTGCAGTTTATGAGAAAATGTGAGTTATTTAATAGTTAATGTTTTAGAAAAAGTTACAAAAATGCTAAATTATAGTTTTAAATCTCGACTTGACATTATTTATTTTCTAGAACATGTATGTTGAGCTGTATATTAACTCTTTTACGAGAGCTTCTTATTTGTTTTCCTATTAAGAATGTTCTCATCTCTTCTTTTACACAGAAGCTCTATAACTGACTATTGTTACTGTGCAGAAGTTGTTGTTGTTTTTAGCAGAGAGTAGCATTCATGTGTTGTTTCGTCTTCCTGCAGTCCTGCACGGTCTGGACCTGGAGAGTGAACACTGTATGTTTCAGAACCAGAACGGTAAAGTGACTCTGGTGCCGCTCGGCGGAGCTCAGTGTTCAGTTAACGGAGTTCAGGTGACGGAGTCGTCGCAGCTCAACCAAGGTGAGAGCCGCGAGGACGTCTGAGGAGAAATCTAGAAACCTCTGACATCAGTCGTCTTAAAGTCACTTCTTCTAAAGCTGCACTCGCTGTGAAACATGAGAACATGTTTAAATCCTCAGAGGGTGAAAGAGGAATCTGTCCTGGACAGTTTTCAGCTTCTGTTGTTTGTTTCCAGGCGCTGTTATTCTGCTCGGCAGAACAAACATGTTTCGGTTCAACCATCCGAAGGAGGCGGCCAAGCTGAGGGAGAAACGAAAGGTTAGACTCTGCACCTTTAACCTCTTTAGAGACCTTGAAGGAAACCTGCTCTCAGGTGAGACGGTAATGTTGTCGACCTTTAACCTTTCAGAGTGGCCTGCTCTCTACATTCAGCCTCTCTATGACGGATCTGTCCAGGTCCTGTGAAAGCCTGTCCACCGTGATGCTCTACAACCCCGGGTGAGCTCATGAATTCACTAATAACATCAGCTGCATGTGGTTCTCAGCTCAGACCCTGCAGCGCATCTCCCCTCTGCATCAAAGCCCCCCCAGGACTGTAGATGCTCCATCTTTCAGAGCTGATGTTCGGCTTCTGATCGTGTTAGTTTATCTGCATTCATACAGAACCGCCAAAGAATAGATTTAGCGCCTCTCGCACTCACTATTCATATTTGTGAATACATGTTTTTGCAGTTTGTATGATGCAAACTGCTGGGTATTGTCATATCATTTTAGAGACCGCCAAGCCCACCCCCCCCCCGAAATGTTGCTATTGAGGCTTTCCTGGGGTCTGACGTGTCAATCAAGAGTTTCTTTGATTTGGTAACACCGGTCTTGGCGCTAAGAGCCACAGACAGGAAGTCAAAGTGTTGTTGGTTTTGGTCTGAACATGAGATTTGTTGACAACAAGAAAAGTATAGAATAATGGCAGCCATATATATTGTGAGAATGCCGATTTACTGAAATGTTTTCCTTTGCTCCACCGCCACCAACAGGCCAATTCTTTCATCACGTTTAAACAAAGTTTAATGAACAGATTTTTATATCTACTGAGAGTATTCATGCTCCCTAGAGGATGAACCACCTCGTGAGTTTACCTTTAGTGCCGCCTTCAGGACAAACTGTCAGCTCTGAGATATCTAATTGCTGTAATGTAATGTGATTGTTATTATGAAATGTTATATACATTTTTCATATGAGGATGAACCCCCCTGAGCTTTATTGCCACCTTCAGGATAAATTCCTCTAATTGTTAAACATTGTTCATGAATTTGAGCCCTTTGTTCTCTGTGTAATCTGTTTAACTGTTAAATATAAATTAAGTGATTCAAGGACAAATGTAAAGAGAGCTTTGTTTGGTTGGTGTCCTCTCTCTTTGTAGGCAGCAGTGTGTATTGTTAGATTATCAAGCGCACATTTTCCTTTCATCTGTGCACTCTCTGTGTTAGTGAATTAACTCTTATCAACCCCGTCCTGTTGACAGTCTCTTCACTGAGAAGGGCCCCGTCTTCCTCAGGTAGACTCAGCCGTCCACTTCCTGTCTTAACTGTCCCGTCTTTGACACAAAGACATATGTTGACATATCAAGTCTCTCAACCTAAACCCTCATTGTATTATTTATTTTTTTTTAATTATTATTTTGCACGCCATCTTGCTGCTTCTGTCTCCATGTTGACGTCTGAGAGTAGAGAACGTTTCGTTGCTTTTTGTCACATCGCCTGCCATTTCATTTGAAGTCATTCTGTGTTGATGCTACTTTCACTTAATGCACTTTACTAGTTGTGGTGTTGAATGTTGTTGAGTGTGTGTGTGTTTGTTTTTTTTGTTTTTTATGAGAGTAAAACAAACAAACAAGGTGATGAAGGTTTTTGTGTTTTCAGGCTGGAGTTTGAGAGACAACAGCGAGAAGAGCTGGAAAAACTGGAGCTGAAAAGGTACAAGAGTCTCAAAGGTTACTGAGAGACTTGACCAAGCGCTTGTACACATGATCGTATCAGTTGAATTTCATCACACCTGTACCCTGCATTACATCTTGTAATCCAATCTGAATCTTTTCCAACTTAATTTTAACTGTTTACAGTTTAAAGATTTAAATAGCATTTTTATAACTCAATAAATTCAATTGATATAATCAATCAATAATTGAACCAGATGCCACCCTTTAAAAAAAATACAATTCAGAAATACTTTTGAAGCTCAAGTCATCACCAAGAAAACTGTTAAGATATCATAATGTTACATTATATGTAAAAACATGCCCCACTTTGTTGTTGTTGCTGTAGGAGGCTGATCAAAGAGATGGAGGTAAAGCACCAGAGTGAGAAGGCAGACCTGGAGCTCCTCCAGCAGGAGGTGGAGAGTCAGCGTAAGGAGTCTGAGGAGGTGCAGCAGCGGATCCTCCATCAGGAGGAGAGCCTCCGCCGCCGCAGCCAGGACATCGAGAGCCGCCTGCGAGACTTCCTGGCCGAGAAGGAGCGCTTTGAGGAGGAGAGACGCTCTGAGATCCAGGGGGAGGACCCCCAGCGGGGCAAACAGCAGCCGGAGGGGGAAGCAGAGGAGCAGCTGGACGAGGAGCAGCCGGACGAGGTACAGCGGCGGCAGCTGGAGGCTGCCGAGCAGACCGAGATCTACCGCGAGCTGGAGAGACTGAAGAGGGAGCGCGAGGAGCAGAAGGTTCGCTTGGAGACCGAGCGGCGGCGGCTGGAGGAGCAGGAGCGCGAGCAGCTGAGCCTGGTGGGGCGGCTGGAGGAGCAGCTGAGAGAGAAACACGAGGCAGCCACCACCCTGCTGACCCGGGAGGATGCCGGCCGCCTGGAGGAGGAACGCAGAGCCCTGGCTGAGATCAGAGAGGCACTCCTCCGCGCCAAAGAGACTGCTGAGCGGCCAGATGTGGAGGATGCCAGCGAGGAGGCGAGATCTGCCCAGGCACAATACACGGACTTCAAGGAGGCGCAGGTAAAGGAACTGGGCCGGCTGGAGGAGGGGCTCCGGCAGCAGAGGGATCGCCTGGAGAATGAGGTCGCCGCCGAGCGCAATACACTGCTGCACCTGACCCATGGCCTCAAAGAGCGACATCAGCAGCTGAAGGAGACACAGGAGAAAGGGGCGCAGGACGCCACGGGTGTCTGCCAGGAGGAGCAGCTGGTCAAACAGGCGGAGCAAAGACTGCAGTTTAAGGAGCGCCAACTGGCCAGCGTGGCCGACAGCCTTCTCCCCGCGCTGGCCGAGGAGAAGCAGAGAGCCGCGGAGATGCAGGAGCGCAGCAGCGGCGGCAGCAACGGGAACTGCGACAGCCCACCGGGGCTCGACAACACGCTGTTCCAGGTGGAGAAGGAGCTGGAGGACAAAGAGGAGAAACTGAACCTCCACCGGCACGGCGCCCAGCAGCTCCAGCAGCTCCAGGAGACCTACGAGTTCACGGCCAACGTGGCGCGGCAGGAGGAGAAGGTGAGGGGGAAGGAGAAGGAGATCCTGGAGTCCAAGGAGAAGCAGCAGAGGGAGGCGATGGAGCAGGCGGTGGCCCGGCTGGAGAGGAGGCACTCGGCCCTGAGGCGCAGCGTCTCCCTGGAGCCCGACACCGAGGAGCAGCGACACAAGAGCTTGGCCATCACGAACCTGGACCAGCAGAGGTCAGAGCAACAAAAGTTACACAATATATATCTATATAATAAACAATAACACCATTGTGCATTGAAGAAGCTAAATGAATAATAGAATAAATTACTGTATTCAAGAAACTCAGGAACGAGAACATCCTCGCTTTGGTTTGGTTTGATGTTCCCACTTCTCTCCAGAGTTGAGCGAGAGATCCAGAAGCTGAGACGGAGGATCAGCGAGGGGGAAGAGAACAACAGGACTCACTCCGTCAGTAACGATGAGAAGACGAGTCACAGCAGCTCGCCGGTCAGCCACATGCAGAGTCTGAACCCTCTGCTGCCGCTGTCAGACGACAGGTACACCTTTACTCAGTGTGCTCTGCTGCGTTCATGTTGTTGTCCCACAAACATTAACCCTCTGGACCCCAAAACCCGCCGGCGGGATGGATAAGCATGTTTTCTTCAAACAATCGCCAAAACTACACCGTTTATCCTACAGCCAGAAGCTGTAAAACTAACGTCGTTCTTATTGCTTCTAGGATAAATGCGTACATTGAAGAGGAAGTCCAAAGAAGGTTACGCAAGATGAATCATCTGAATGGCAGCAGCAGCAACTTGGATCTTTCTCTGTCCTGCGAGTCGCTCAGGGTAAGAAATGTCCCTCACACTCCTTCACTTTCTTACTTTGTTTAACCTGTGAGGTGCTGCTGATTTCTGTTGTTGTTGTTGTTGTTTACCCAACCAGCTGACTCGAGAACAGTTTCTCCCCACAGACCTTCACTCTGACGAACACTTAACATCAGTCATACATTAAAACATCCACATATTTCAAGCAAACCTTTTCTGGTTTCAGCGTCTCAGGAGCCAGACGTTGTCGTTAGTCTCTGTTTTTATATCATGGTGAATAAAAACAAGGTCTGTAACGGGTCAGGCGCGAAGCGTCTTTCTCTGTGTAGAACTGATATTCAGCTCTTTAACCCTGCAGGAGGAGGAAGAAGCTTTTGACTGTAGCTCTGTTAGATTAACAGACGAGGTAAGACCGGGATCATCCTGCTCTGTGTGAGACTTTCCCTGCTCTGTAATCTGCATGACTCTCCCAAATACGGTTATGGATTGACTCATTCACACGTCTATCAATCAGTTTGGTTTGTAGCTCTTTTAATTGGGTTCTTCTCCGCCTGGTTTATAATGGATCCTGCTTTTGTTCAATTTTTCCCTTTCTCCTGTCATCATGAAGTATAATTTACAACTTTGGGTTATTCATTTACAAAATGCTTGATATCTCGCAGATTAAGAATGAATAGTGTATGTTTGATATTTAACGTTACGGAGAGTTGATGTTAAGTTTCATTGTTTTTCAGGAAGAGGAAAAGCTTCAAAACATGAATCCCAGGAGGCTTAAATATGAGGTAAGACCAGAATCTTATTCTCGTTTTGGGATTATTATAATTCAATAATCAAATTTACAATGGAGGTTCTGTATCTTTGCATTGTATAAACAAATTGTCTTTTATCGTTTGTATGCATGGCAACAATTACACAAGAAAAATCTGAGCATGATTCCAATGATAATTATACAAATTCAATGTAATCTTAACAGAAATGATGAATGGGGTTCTATTTATGTTGTTCATTTTACCAAACACAGTGTGAGTGCACAGACGGATGCGTGTTTTTCTAATCTATTATTTGTGACTGGTGTTGGTCTTGAAAATTTGGCGACTGTTCATTATTATTGTAAGAGCCGAAGGAAGGAAGCCCGTTCTCCTCTTCAGCACGGCAGCAAACTGATGCATGGAAGTGGAGTGAACAGACAACAAAACACCTTGAAATGATCGAAAACCTAATATTTCAGTTCACAGTCCTTCAGTTCAGACAAAGTGGAATCAAACATCCATCCATCCATTTTCCTCCGCTTATCCGGGGTCGGGTCGCGGTGGCAGCAGGCCAAGCAGGCTGACACAGACTTCCCTCTCAAATGGAATCAAACATGGTGAAACAGTATTTGCAGATGCCTTATTTTCAGTGAAGGTGCCCAGATGGGTGGAGATTGAGCCAGAAACCTACAAACTAAATGTAGATCTGTAAAAACCATCCGTCTAGTCACAGCAATAGATCCTCATAATAATTATTTGCAAATGCTACCTTGCCCACGTTTGATTAGCATTTAGAAAGAAGTTATTTTTGTATACTTGTCATCCTAATTTGCATGCCAAACCTCTTCACAATGTTAATTTTGAATCACTTACAACTTGCCTGTGCACCTGGTGATGGAGGAACTCTAATTCTCAATGGGGTGGATTACGGACTTCAGTGTTATTCAAAGAGGCTTCACGTCCTTCTTGACGATGTAGTCATGGACTCCCCCCCCCTTGTGCACACAGAAAGCCTGCGGGTTGTGGTCTAGCTTGCTGCCTGCCCCGATCCTCGAGGCAAAATCCCCTCTTCACATCCAGGAAAACATGTTGGAAGAACCAGAGCACAACCTCTTAAAGATTCACAGGGAAGACAAACTAGAATCCACAGCTAAAGTCTTGATTAAGAAAGAGGAAGTGCCTTACAAAGATGGTGAAAAAAACTATTGGTGGCAAAGAGGAGTGAGTATCCCTCCAGGAGAAGTGGGCCGAGATGTTTGCGAACTTGATCGTGGTGGCATTGGTCAACACAAGATGTGCGGCACATCTGCAAACTCAGAGACCAACAGAATTGATGAAAACAAGAATATCACTGATGGAAGAAGAAACAATTCTGCCTGCCGTGTTCCCAATGATGATGGAAAGGTTGAAGATGCAGCAAGCAAGCACCAAACATGTGACCCAGGGATGGTAAACGATGCAGAACTTTCCAAGGATCAGTCGTCAAAGTTGCAGAACTCTGTCAATGGTTGCATCGATTTCAAGCAGGAGTCAAAGGAATCCGTTAATGGTCAAATAACACAAGAGAGAGGCACAGAAACTGATAAAGTGGCAGCCAACAGGAGCTTTACTTTGGGGTATTTTACTGGAAAGCTGTCCGAAGCGTACGAAGACGCTGGTAGAAAGCTACAGGGCACACGGGACATAATTCGGAATGTACGAATGGATGATATGAAGGTTGTGCTCTCTCAGTATGTGACCATGATGTCCAAGGAGCTGCCACTGATTCATCGAATGCAGCTCAAACCGGAGCCAGAACCTTGCATCCTTCCAGAAAACAAAGTCACATTGGTTGATCTGTCAAAGGATTGCGCCCTTAGTCTTCCTCAGAATTGCGGCACGTCTGTGATCCCGGGCATCACGGGATGGCCTGAAGGGTCTGTGTTGTCTCTCAAAAACACATGTACTGAAGTGTTTTATCAGAGGCTGGTCCAGCTGCCTCCAACCTTGTCTCAGCTACAGTCACTTTCATCCCAGAAGATGCTGGAAAAGTTGGAATCTCTGACCCCTCGAGCAAAAGTCAACAAGTTTGTGAGTATCTTCTGGCTCCAAACGGCGAACATTAAGCAGCCGATCCCAAATCCTGGGTGCTTGCTTTTGTCAGAAAAGGACATAATAGTGCTGTCAAGTGGAACAAATTCAGATGACACTGTAGTTATTCGTCACCATTTCAATCTCCTGGAAATCAAGAAGGTCCAGATTAGTTTGGCAGGGCAGCACGTTCGCCTAATTGGCTGCACCGAAGACCCCGTCTTGGTCGTATTTACCCACAGCAAAGAGCTCACTCAGGAGTTCTGCAAAGCTTTACTGAAGCTTCTTTCTCCTGAAAACTTCCCTGAAGGGACTGAAGATCACCCGTTACTCTCTGGTGACCTCATGGTCCTCTCTCTGGATTGGACGTCGAGCGTTCCTGACATCTTCCTGGACAACGGCCTTCACGTCGCCTCCAGATTCAAGCGGGTCCTCGCAGACCTGCTCTACATCGTCCACGGGAACATGGACGGTCCTGGCAAACCGTCTCTGGCACACGTTTGTCCTCTGCTCTACACCAGCGTCAAAGTCAAGAACTCTACCCGCGTGCATCCGGACGCCATTTTTCAGTTCCTCCTGACGGACACTCACATGGCTCTTCTCCAGGAGGACGGCGTCTTTCACCCGGTGCCACGGGGCTGCAGTCTGGTCCCTGTCCAGCCCCAGTTTCGGGGACTCGAAGTCCGCAAGCGTTCAGATATCAGATGCCTGTTTGTGAGGACGAATAACAGCTGCCTTGTGGTCGACATCACGTTCACAACTCACAAACCACAAACGCGAGCGAAGAGGGTGGAGTCCAGGCGATGCTCGACAGAAGTGCCCTGCGTCTCTGATCGCAGGCGTCTGAGCGATTCCTGGAAGTTATCTTTTGGTTCTACCTCAGAAGCTGTGATGTTGATTAATCATCTGTCTACCTGAGTAACTCACCAAAAGGCAGTTTTACCTGTATTTTACAGTTGTATTTTACCTGCAATGTACCTACCTGTGTCTTAAAAGTTGATTCATCCTCGGACCAAAGTAAAATGGACATATTTAAAACATCTGTTGGTCAAATGTAAAGACACTAAAGATTGTCTTTTGAGATGAAGACACACAGATCATGTTGATGTGATGTGTGTTAACTGTAATTTTCTCTAGTTTATATGTAGTCATAATGAATCGATGTCTTTAAGAAAGTTCAAACCACTTTTTTATTGTTTTTAGTCACGTTGACGATTCTTGATTATTCGTGTTTGTATTTTTTTTATCGTATTTGGTTTGAAGGGAAAATTATGGTTTTACTTAATCGCGGTTTGGTCTGAAATTTAGCAGCTTGCATTTCGATAACAATGATGTGATTTGATGTCTTGAAGAAAACGGGAGGATTTGTCATGATGTGAAGTGATTACAGATGTTAATGTTAATTGTGTCAACAAGATAATAAAGATTGAACTTCCTGTGATTCCCATTGACTGTTGCCAATCATTCTCAAATCAAGTTCATGAAAATGATTGATATTTTTTTTCTGAGTCAACCCTTTACCCTCCACCATCTTTCTTCTTCTCTGTTTCTGTCTTCTTCCCCGTCCCCCCGGTGACTTCCTCTGCAGCACCTGGTCTGCCGTCCTCTCGGGACGAGCTGCGACGGCCTTCGGGAGCCCGTCAAAATCAGCATTCCTCGCTACGTTCTCCGCGGGCAGGGGAAGGACGAGCACTTTGAGTTCGAGGTGAAGGTGAGCTCACTCCGCCGTCTTCATCTTCCTCGTCATCGTCAGTCATTTACGGTCTGACCTGTTCATCTTTCTTATGCGTGGTCTCGTTTTTCATCATCCATCTCTCTCTGGCTTTATTTGATGTTATTAGTTATTTCGTTTTTTTTATTTATGATGCACTCGTTGTATTCAGATGTTTCACTTAAGTAAATGTTGTACACAAAGATCAGAAAGAGTTCGTACAGCGGAAGCTTTGAGTTGTAAAAGTGTGTCCCGAGTTTTGATCTCTGCATCAAAGGTTTTCTCTCTTTGATCAGATCACTGTGATGGATGAGATGTGGGCCGTGTTCAGACGCTACAGTCGCTTCCGGGAAATGCACAGGAGCCTCAAGTTAAAATACCCAGAGGTGAGATCCACTGTCACATCTGTTTTTTCCGTTGAAACGCTTCACCAGTGTCACTGAAGTGTGTGTGACGTCCTGGTCTCTGCTTTAGCTGGCAGCTCTCGAGTTCCCTCCCAAGAAACTGTTTGGAAACCGAGACGAGCGGATGGTCGCTGAACGCCGGAACCACTTGGAGGTAAGACATTTGAAATACGGTTTCATTCACACAACGAGAGACAAATCATCCTGTTTTCTAAGAAATAGAAATGTTGGAGGTTTGGAAGTAGGAGGGTTTTGTATTTGTATTTTACAGCGTTATCTGAGGAACTTGTTCCGGGTGATGCTGTCGTCCTCCAGCTCTCCTCTCAGAGCCGACGCAGACGGCGGTTTCCATCTCACCAAACACACCATCTGTGAGTTCTCGCCGTTCTTCAAGAAGGGCGTCTTCGAGTACAGCAGCCACGGCACCGGCTGACCCGACCGCGAAAATGAACTCCAAAAACGAAAAGGGAAAACAAAAACAAACAAAAAGAAGCAGCTCGGTGCCTTTTCTCCGGGGCCTCAGCTCGGGAGAATCGGTCAAAAAAAGGTAAAAGTTGCAGGTCAGTGTCCTCGCCACGACGAAGACGTGTCGGGTGCTCGTCAGCTGTTCGTTCATGTAGAAACTTTATCACAAAGGTTAAAGTAGGATATTCAGCACTCTGTTTTAAAGAGTTTCATTTCTACGTTATAGCAATAAACGGCTATATTAAATATATTGACATGCAGCTCTAATATTTATGGCGACTCCCTCATGTAGTGACCTCACTAAAAGTAGAACAAAGACATTAACACTGCCGTTGTTTGAGGGTTCAGTTCCCTGTGAAGCCGCTGAAACAATTAGGTCGTCCTGTAAACGGTTCGTCAGCAAAAAAGTTATTTATCAAAGAAAAATGCCAAAACTTTCACTTGATTCAGCGTCTTAAATGTGAAGATTTGCTGTTTTTCTTTGCTGTTTAATGTCATTATATGTAGATTATCTTTGGACTGTTTAAAAAAAAAAGCAATGCATTTGAAGATGTTAGCTTTGGCTCTGGGAGGTTATTTTGGGCATTTTTCTCTCATTTATGGCATTTTACAGATAAACATTCAATTTATCGAAAGAAAAAAGGAATCTATTATGGCAATGATGATTAATTGTAGTTCAATAACACCATGGACCCTGACTTTTCATTTCCTGTCAGTGAGCAGAGCGAGGCATTAACTCGGGTTTGAGTCTTAGAATGACTGAACGCTACAGAGCACTTTGTGTGAAGATCCGGTTACATTCGGCTTTTGTTCACTGACACAAAGGATGTGAAGTCCCGGTTCTGATGCGGGTATAAATAAACATTGAACACAATCAGTCTCTGCAAACTACACCACAGTCTTTGTGTTTGTGTGCGGCTGGAGATCGCAGCGAAACTCATGCGTGAATGTGTCCGACTTAACGGGAGAGTGAATAATACGGAGACGGAATGTCACGAAGCTTAAGTCCAAAAAAATCAAATGAATCTTGTTTGTAGTTAAAGAAGAGCAGACAAAAAAACAACTTTAACTGTGTGGAAGTGAAGCTAAAACACTCACATGACCGTGTTAAAGGGCGGGCTCACAATGCTTCAGAGTCAGGTGAACGCATGAACATTATAACAGCTTTTTCTTGCTGTGATCCTCAATCATCCTGTTCATACTGGACAGTAAGAGATAATGTGTTTCACTGCTAGTGATGGACGACTAAATCCAGTCGTCATTCTGCACAAAAATGGACAAATTAAAGGAGCAGTGTGTATCGTTTAGGGGGGATCTATTGGCAGAAATGGAGTATAATGTTAATTAAGTTTTCTATCACCTGAAAATAAGAATCGTCGTCTTTTGGTGACTTGAGAATGAGCCGTTTTATTATCTACACACGGAGTCGGCTGCCATGTTCCTACAGACGTCAAACACTGAATCTAGATGATATTTACGCTTTAGCGTCGGCCCCCCCCGTAGTTCACCTACACCCTGGAGAAGTTTCAGTTGGTTACATTCTGCATCCTCACCACTAGATGCTGCCAAATCCTACACACTGGCCCTTTAAGTATCTTTAGTACCACGTTTGAAGCCCCTCTTCTTCTTTAACATTTGTCCACAGCAGCTACACAGGGAAACGTGGAGTGGTGCGACTTTAACTTTGAAAGATACTCTTTTGTTTTGTCTTGTTTTGTTTTCCTCCACAGCTCACATTTAGAAGGAATCTCTTAATGTCCAGTATGAACAGGAAGAATAACATCCGGTCCTCTAAGTTATCATCAGTGCCCTACGTTGACTTTAAGCTGCTGGATAATATCGACACAAATGACTCCGAACAGACCGTGTCCAGAAAAATAACAGTAGTTATAGTTCCACTGCATTTTATTGACATGTTTATAATAACGTATCCACCTTTTATCTACTGTACAAATGGAGGAGCAGCTGTAAGAAAGTGCAATCCACTAGGTTGTGTTTAAAGAAATGTTGTAAAGTACAGCGTCATAACGATCTGTATATTTGAAGTTCATGTTTATTATTCTGATTGTGCTTTGATAGAAGAACAATATTTGGAAGCTCTGTTACTACGATGTTTTAATGTAAAACTACACCGTACTTATCAGTCAAATGTGAGAACCGTTTTGGTCGCTGATAGAAACTGTAAGACAAAGACTCACTCAGAAGTTTAATGAACCGTTGAACAAGTAACACTGACCGATGGCAAAAGTTCAAACGTGCCCTCTGGAGGCTTCACACCGTAGACTCTCTACTGCCATTTGTCTTATTTTAGGTGTCACCTGAAAGGACATTTGGGGATTTCGGAGGGTGCGTTTATGAAGCTACAGCGTTTGAAAATACAGGAAAATATTGTTCCGTTAGCCCTCGTCTGTGCGCTAATCATTTTATTTGACTCATCGTTATCGCACGAATACTCACTTTTGAACAACAGCGTGGTCATTAACATTACATTAGGTGGATGTTTGAAGAAAGAATATTAAAAGACATGAATGGCGGAGTTGTTGGACGGTCCCGAGGAGCCACAGTCCTGTGAAATAAAAGGTTCGAGCCTCAGAAGGCGACGGTGTAGTTTTACTCACTGACATTTTTCTTTCTGTATCGGCACAAATTCAAACGCATCTTTGACCGATCAAATACAAATACGTGTTTTTCCACTTAGTACAAGTACGCAGATTCAAATAATTCACTCGGAGGGAATATTTCCTCCCACTGGCAGCTCAGAGCTGATTTAGTTTTTATATTCCCCAAAAACGTATCGAGCGATTCGATCCCGAAGTCTTCCTGAGCCTCACTGTTGTTAGCAGCTTCATGAAGAGACGACCACTCACTGCTTTGTTCTTGTTCCATAAGCCATACGTTGTGTGTGTGTATAAAGTGTAAATGTTGATGTGCATAAGTTTTCTATACAATATGCTTGTATGTAATGTAAACTATTGACATTGAATGTCAGTAAAGGGAATGTACCACAACATTCAGACTGGTTTTGTCTACCTAGTAACCTAGTACCAGTGTCATGTCGGACAATGATTTAAATGAAAGTGACAGTCACCAATCATAACACCACTGAAGTTAGAATACTTAATTGTTAAAAAGAAGACCAAAACAAATGTAAATGCCCATTGAGGAAATATGAGATTTAGGAAGATACAAATGTCACATAAATGCCTTGAGTCATTAGTTTATTGTTGTTTACCAACATAAGACATCAGAGTTTACCTGGTAAACAGCGTCATCACCAGCAGCATCGATGGAAAGACATGAATTGGTTGAATAACAAGGAGAAAGGACGTCAAAGTTCATTAATGTTATGTGACTTGTAGGAAATGATCAAGAGGCGGAGAGGTCAAGTAGTTTTTGGGGTTGGAAAGCATCCGGGAAGAGCAGGTGAGTGTACACCTGACACCTGGATGACTTCATTGTTTGGAGGCAGGTCCAGGAGAGTCCTGTACCCGAGTCTGTCCACCCAGGAGCCGCTCCGAAGGCCTGAAGGGAAAGTCGAACAGAGGGACGTCCAAATCCTTGAGCTTCTCCTTACAGGTCTGCAGCAGGTCGTCGTACTCCTGCAGGTCACACACACGTTTATGTCATTCAGCTGACTGCGATTACGCTCAGAATTATTAAATAACTGCATGAAAACCCTTTTAAATGAACTGACCGTACAATCTCGAGCCAAGTCGCTCTGTAAGGCCTCGATGGTGGCTTGTTTAGACTCCAGCATTCCCTACAAGCAGGAAAAGACTTTCAGATAGTTCTCTTTAGATTCTGTACCAGTTGATCCACGAGAGGTTTAAAAGTAAGACTGCTGTCGGTAACTAAATTCCCAGATCTTTATAAGATAGAACAACGTTAAAGTCGGGGATATTGCTCTATTTAAATGGATGTAAAAGAGATCTATAGGTTTTTGAGGATTAAACGCATTCAGTGAGTGATGTTCTGCAAAGTCTTCTACGTAACGTTACAGGTAAACTAATCTCGACATTGCTTGAGTTGGATACAGGAAGTGTGTCATCTGCATAAAGACAGAGGATATTGGTCTGAGTTGGAGTGATATTGTTTATGTAGATTGTAAATAATAGCATAGAACCCTGTGGTACCCTCTTGGTTAATAAAAGGGTGGTTTAGTGAAGATCGCATTTCTTCTGTTAGACAAATGTGCTCTTAGCTGCACAAATGTTTGAATGCATATTTTTTTAAATTGTGCAAAGATTCATTTGGTGGAAAAAAACGATACCTGGAGTTTGTTTGCGGCCCTGCTGCCTGCAGTTTGGTCGATGTTGGAAGCCGACAGTGCGGCGCAGAGCTGTGCCTCCTTCTTCTCCACAGTTTCGGTCAGAGCTGCCAACTTCCTCTCCAGCAGCAGCTGCTTCAGTCCGCTCTTCTGCCGTATGTCCAGGATGACCTCAGTCTGTTTCTTCAACAGCTCGTCGCGCTCCTGCTGAACCTGACGAAAGCAATAATATGATATATAATATCCCCGCCGAGCTGAATGAAGGTCAAACGTGCGATGTAATAGTTTACCTTCTCGAACGCCTGCAGCAGCAGCTCGTGCTCCATCGACAGGTCCCTCAGCTCCTTTTCAAGGACCTTCACTCGAGCTTTAGTTGCCTGTCGGACACATTATCAGCAATTTAAAGGGAACATTTGTATGATTTTAGGGGTATTATGTTCTTCTAAAGAAATGTGAAAGATGGACAAATGTATTAAAATAGACTTGTATGTAGTTTCTTTTTGCCTTTAAGCTCGGGTAGTAATGAGCCCTAATGCACTATTTGTAACTCGGGTAAGATAGTGATGTTCCATATGTATTGATGTATTGGTGCTTTTTGAACGGGTGTGCAGCGAACGCACCACGATCTTGGTCTTGGCCTGCTTGTAGTCGTGCTGCTGTTTTTGTAACTCGGGAAGCTTCTGCTGGGCTTCCTGCAGAGCCTCGCTCAGACGTTTGTTCTCCTGCTCTGCCGCTGAAAGCTTTTTCTCCACTCGCGTCTGCAGCTTTGTCTCCTTCGCAAGTTCATCCTAACAAACGACAGACGAACACATGAAACAAGAGTCACCTAAACAGAACTGTGCTGTACTCAAGTTTTCAGAACATCTTCACGACATGTAAACGTTAGTTTGAGTCTTGATTAGTAACTACAAAAATTCTCTCATGAATGTGATACAATTCTAGTTGATTTTTACAAGTGACACAAAAGGCAAAAACCTGTTCGTGAACCAAGTAACAAAGAATATTTGTGAATTTGATTGTAGAGCCAGGAAATGTTTGTGATGGCAAAATAACTATTTATAAACTGATTGTTGACGGCGGAGAAAACTGTCTTAAAGCCTCGATTGGCTGCTAAAAAATATATTTTTTAAACATAATTTCACTTGAATTATCAAATAAATACAAATAATTAAATTCTAGTTTAGATCAGTCATCAGAAGATGTAAAAATGTTAAAACATCTTTATGAAACAATACAAAATAATTATAGAAGTGAATAAAAAATGTTTAGCTGAGGGGGAAAAAAAGTGAGCTATTTGAAAGTTATATATATATATATATATAATATACAAATATATATTTTCATTAGTTTTATTTAAATCTGTTCGTCGTCTCTGTGTTTTTGCTCATCTGTTCAGTTTGCGTTTCTTTCTGTAGCGTCTCGTACCTTCAGCTTGTTCTGGTCCAGCAGCAGTTTCTTTTGCACAGCAGAGTAGTAATCGTCGGCGCGTCTGAGTGCTCTGTCGTGCTCCTCTATCAGAGTCTCAACGCGGCTTTTCATTCTGTCCTCGATGCCGTCGACCTCGGCCCGAAGCTTTTTCGCCTCCGCTTCGGTCATCGACTGCATTTTCTCGTGATATTTCACCTCCATGTCTATTTGAAAAGCAACAGGAGGGAAAATGTTAATTCCAGGTTCTGACGGGAGTTTCTGAATTAAACTCAAGAGATTGGGTTTATTCACCTCTGATTATTTTATCACGGTTGTTTGCCAGCTCCATTAACTCCACCTGGTGCTTCTGTGGAGAATCACAAGGCGACAGGTCTGCGGTGAAGAGAAAACTAGAGAAAAATGTAAGAACTACAATGTAAAAATGAAGCCAGCTCACCAGCTTCAGCTCCTTGATGATGTTTTCGTTGTGGAGCTTCTTCTCCCTGAAGTCGGCCTGCAGGCCGTGCAGTTCCCTCTGAAGCCCGAGCTCCGACTGAGTGTGCTGGTTCTGGACCAGCGTGGTCGAAGCGACGGCGTCCACCTTCAGCCCGGAGATGGTGCCGTGGTGTTCAGACAGAACGTGCTTCAGCTTCTGCTTGTATACCTGGACACCAGCCATCAAAAGGAGGTGTTTAGAAGTCAGATTTAACATACTCCATTCAATCGGTTCGATCATGTCCTGTTATTTATTTTACAGAAAATGTGTGTGTGTGTGCGCGTGTGTGTGTGAGCGGCTCACAGTAATCTCCACTTGGTGGCGCTCCTCTGCCTCCTCTCTCTCCCTGTGTCGGTTCCTCAGCTCGGCCTTCTGCTCCTCCAGGCTCCTCTTGGAGATTTCCCAGAAGGCCTGGATCTTGTCCCTCTCCAGCTGGAAGTAGCTCCTCTCCTCCCGCTCTCTGTCCAGCTCCTCTCGGAGGCGGACGATGTGCTCCTCCAGCTGGAAGGTCGCAGAGACATTTGTGACAGTTCATAACTTTACGTACACTGTGCTGATAACGCTTACATATTTTTACTTAGGCAAGGTTTGGAATGCAGGAGTATTTTCACAGTGTGGTATTAGTACTTTTACTGAAGGATCTGAATACTTCCTCTTCACTGATTACAGCTCTCTCTCTGGACCTGTAAGTGACTTTTACTGGACCACAAAGTGACCATTTCGTGAGCGTCACCAGGCCTTGGCATGTAGTTGATGGGTAAGGGATTGGCCATTCCTTTAACCAGCAATTTGGGTTGTTGGGGTTTTTCCTGCAGGGTCTTAAAACTTTGAGGTTTATGATCATGTTGCCTTGCAAGATTTTGTGCAAATAAGTTTGCATCATATACTCGTCACATACTCTTTTCATAGTCTTTTCATTGGTAAATCAACGGCTGAACAGTTTTGAACCCTGTTGTTTTAAAGAAATTGTTAAACTGAGATAAATGTCTCTCTTAAGTTAAAGGTTCTGAAAACTTCTTCCACCACTGGGGGCGCATATCTATCTATATATATATCTATATATCTATATCCATCTATATATCTATATATATCTATATCTCTATATCTATATATCTATATATAGATAGATAGATATAGATGTTGGCCCCCAGTGGTGGAAGAAGTTTTCAGAATCGCCCTACAGCTCTGACCTGGTCCTTGTGATGCTAATGTTAGCTGTGTTAGCATCGCCCTACAGCTCTGATCTGATCCTTGTGATGCTAATGTTAGCTGTGTTAGCATCGCCCTACAGCTTTGATCTGATCCTTGTGATGCTAATGTTAGCTGTGTTAGCATCGCCCTACAGCTCTGATCTGATCCTTGTGATGCTAATGTTAGCTGTGTTAGCATCGCCCTACAGCTCTGACCTGGTCCTTGGACATCTCCTCCGTTGAAAGGCCGTCCACCACCGACTTCCCCTTCACGGCCTTTTTGCTTTTAGTCTTGGGTGGCTGGAGAGAAAAACACATCACCATGTAGCTACACGATTAAAAAAAACAGTTAACGTTAGCTGAACCTAATTTAGCTTAGCTGGTCTCCATGAGAAGCTGGCATCTGGCTGAAGCTACCACGTGTTAACTGTTCATGACACATAACGATGATATAAAAAGAGTTTACTCACCATCGTCAAATATCGTAACACGCTCTCAAATGTTGGGAGCAAAAAGAAACAGTAGTTAGCCTGTTGGCAAACAGTCATCTAACGGTCCTCGGCTCAGAGCTAACACGAGCTGTCATGCAACGTATCTTTTGTTGTTGCTTGTTGTCATAGATACAGGTGGACCGATAGACAGACAAACAGACAGATAGATGGACAGACAGACAATATATATTCATATTGTACATAGTAGTTAAATGTTTGCATTAATGCAAAAATGCTTAGTTTCGCTGTTCTACTTTGTCTTTAATGTCCTTATTTTTATATTTTTCTTGTTTATTTGTATATTCTATGTATGTACCTTGAGAGCAATGTGTAAACCAGAGTCAAATTCCATGTATGCGTAGGCATACATGGCTAATAAAGCTGATTCTGATATATTAACATACAGAACAACAATGACAATGTATTTGGGATATTAGTGCAGAATAGTGGTAATAGTGCAAATGGAGGTGCAGTATGTCTGATTAAGTGTTCATCGGAGTGAGGGCCAGTGGAAAGAAGCTGTTCCTGTGACTGGTGGTTTAAGAGGAGAGCTCTGGTTGACTGCCAGGAAAACCTGAAGATCAAGGCCCAGTCTCTCCACATCGATGAGGTCATCTGCACCCAGCACAGGGAGACAGAGATTGTGTCAACATGTTTTAGCAACTTCTGGTTAAGATGTGTCCCAATACATGTATTTGAAGCCTTTCATATGACACTTTAGCAGCAACTGATTCTACACTTTATTGCGGGCAATTTTCTAGTTGTGTTTTTTAAGTTGTTTTAAATTCTTGAGTATCATCTGCTGTGTGGGTGAATGAATCAGTGTTTGTTTTTAAATTATCTCATTTGCTGTGGATTTCTAAAAGTGAACTTCCTGTTCCAGGGAATAACGTTCTCATGATGCATTGTTTTCTTCATTGCTCATTTTATTCCAGAGAATATTATAACAACACATCTACCTAGGCTTTTAATTCGGCAACAAAACATAGTTGTTTAAATAAAATATATTATTTACAATCTGCAGTATGTCAACTGTTTATTGGCTCAGGTGGTTCTATGACTTGTTTGTGTTGGTTGGCTGGCTGATCTTTGACAAATCCCCAAACGACACGCTGGCTGAGCCTCGCTTTGCTGGTTTGGCCTGAGAAAGACCAAAAAATTATGTAAATGATTAAACCAGTTGTTATACATACAGTAAAGAGAAGCAGCGTATTGAAACCAGCGAAACCAAAACTGAACACCCGTCTCACCTGAGACTCATGAGGCTTCCAGCCAATCATGTAGAGGATCTCGAAGGTGGCCGGGATGGACCCGTCCTCGTTACCGTACATCTCTGAAACATTTTCAAACAAGCATTTTTGACATTTAATAGAGCTAGGCTAGTAGTTCCCCCTGCTTCCAGTCTTTGTGCTAAGCTAATCTTTGTACTGGTTAGAGGCTAACCAGAACTTCATCGCTAAATTGATAAGTGACTTAATGGTTTGATGAAATGGACCATTCTGCATCAGAATCAGAACCATGAGTGTTTGTGGCAGCAAGACGGTGTGTATGTGTGTGTGTGAGATTGAGTCCAAATAAACTACAGCCAAAGGAAGAAGATATATCTGTAGTCCAGCTGTGAATAAATTAATGAATGTGTTAAAACTGGAGACTGATCTAATGTAAGAAACTACTGGACAAAGCTGCTGTTGGTCTTTGTGTGTTTTCATCATTTAACAGGAAGTGCAGCAGCCGATGCACTCACCTTTATAAATGGCTGCTGCTGCTAATATGGCGTCTCTGTGCAGCAGCGATCTCCTGTTCCAGGCACAGTTACTCTCACCCATGCCTACAGAATATGGAAATAAAAGTTTGCAAATCATGCCGAGTAAAAATGTTGTCAGACTTGGTTTGAAAGGCCTGAAAACCATAAAGTCATAGTGAATCACCAGATTTCAATTGAACACATTTTAATATAATGAAATAAATACAACACCACACTTTTCTGATCTCAAACAATGTCAAGAAAAACACATTGTAAGCTGCTCAAAAGGTACAGAAACTGCACTGGTGGAACCAATAAAGAGTCTCTGCCAGTCTATGAGCTCTTTAATGCTACTTGGAGCTTAACTTCTGCATAAAGCTTTGATATCCAGCTGGATTCAGACTCTGCGGGAGTTTCGGGCCTTACAGTCGACCACTTTAAGACAGTTTGATGTTTGATGAATTAAACAAAGTCACATATTAACACAGAGCGGTTTTTCTTACCTTGAAGGTCGGTCATGACTTCAATGATTCCTGGATACTGAACCTGAACTTCATCAATGTCCTGAAACAGAGTGAAAGAAAGTGACAGACGAGGAACCTGGACAAGTTATGGAGGCTAACTGGGTCTGACAGCGCTGGTGTTTCTCACCACAGTGAGCATGGTGAAGCCGGCCCGGCCCAGCAGGTTGCCCAGGTCTGTGACGGCGGTGTAGGGGGAGATGTGGGGGGAGAAGCCTCCCTCCCTCTCGATCTCGGCGAGCTGGAGGGAGCACCGCAGCTCGTAGAGGGTCTCCCCGCCCACCATCGCCCCGATGAACACCCCGTCCGGCTTCAGCACCTGGTTGATCTGAGCGGAGGAGGAGGAGGAAGAAGAGGATACAGTTACTGTCAATGTAAACAGCTCAATCCTCCAAAAACTCTGGTATTCACAGAGGCGACTAGCCTCTACAGCGCTGTGCAGCCCACAATCATTCATGATGTTGATACGTTATCATTCGTTTGTGCTCGGACGACTGAAAGTTTTTCCTCTTTTGATTCTCACCTGTTTGAGAGCTCCAGGCAGGTCGTTGATCCAGTGCAGACTGAAAGAAGAGAGAACTAAAAGTTTAATCAAACGCACTGTAGACATTAAAAATGCTAAAAACGTGAGCTACAGATGCATCAGTGGAGAACATCTACCCGTCTACAGTGTCCTGTAGTTTAGATTAGTGTGGATGCATCTGTTGTTTTTTTTGGCCAAAGTGGAGTGACTGCAGTACTTAAGACAGTAACTCGTACTACTAGTACTACCACCATTGGGGGTTTCAGTTTTATTTGCACAATTTAAAAAATACACAAAGAACATAATTAATATACAGTGCAGGAAGAGGCAGAACACCCACTGGGCTTATTTGATGCTTCGACTAAATAATGTTAAAATGTCACAACGTCAAAGAGAAAACAAGACAGAAAACAATATGACGACATAATAGGAAAAGTTATTAGTGTTGTTTTTAACAGTTCAGACAAAGTAATTGAAAGAGAACACATTGAGCTTTGAAAAAAAGTATATATATATATATATAAATATACAGTACATAATATATACACATATATATATATACATACACACAGGATGTATATATATATATATGTGTACGTCATAAAGAAACATGTTGATAAAATGGAGAGGATGAGGTGAAAAACAGGATAAAAAGGGTAGGTAAGATTAATAAGTAATGTTTTTGTTTATCAGAGAATATAATTATACGTAATTTTGTGAAATATTCATAAAAAAGTCTGGACACTAACTTTTGGCAGTGAAATGGCTTAGCAGCGTCTTCCTCCTACAATGTGGAGAAAAGCTTTAAGCAACATACAGAATGAAGTATTAATCACCTCAAGCTGCTCACCACCAGGTCAAAGGTGTTTTCTTTAAACGGCAGAAACTCCTCGTCCGCAAGAACGTGATGAGTCGGGATTTCACCCCGTCTCGTTTGTTTCTGAAGATCAGAGACATCAATTAAATTCATATCAGCCGTCATGTATCAGTAGCATCCACTGTATCATCAGTCCAGGATAACTGTAGTAAGTGATCATTCTCACCAGGGTTCCTTCATCTTCTATCAAAAATCACATAATGATCACATAACTGTTGTACACATAGAGGCTTTAAGGAAACCTGCCTCACACTAATGTATACGTGATCGTTTTATGATTCGTTTCAACTCTCACCAGAGCTTTCTCCGAGATGTCTGTGAGGAACAAGCGCTCCACGACATCCTGAAACACCAACAAGCACAAAACACAAAGTCACTTGTGGCAAAGCGGGAATAACTTAAGCATTTAACTCAAATAATGGGATTATTTGGGCCACTGAGAACCAGTGGTGCAGCTGAAACTAACACACATGTACAGACTGTACCTTGCTTATATGCTCTGCAATGTGACTTTTTCCACCGCCGATGTCCAGAGCCAGAGGAAACGTCCTGAGAAGACAGGACAGAAAGCAAACCTGTGTATGAGTGTGTTGGTGTGTGTTTGATTGGAAACCAGATGTCTCGTCATACACTCACCTCGTAATGTCATAGACCCGATCTGCCACTCGACTGCCAACCTGCACAACAAAGATCAAACTTGTGTCACTGTGTTTGTATGGTTAAACTAAAATGTTCTGTCCAATGAAAACTATTCAAATAAAAACCTCAAAATTATATTTAAAAAATACATTTAAATACTTAGGAATAGCAGCCAATTTTCATACAATGTGTTTATTATAAATAGTTGCCACTTCATTTTCTGTCAACCGGCTAATTGATTAATTGACTGACTGTTTCAGCTGTAGGCTACTTGTATAAACTGTTGGGTGGTTTAATTCATAAATAAACGTAATATTTCATAACCTGTTGGTGTGTTTTATGTGTAAAACCTGACATCCTCAACTGTGTACTTAAGTACAGTAAAATAATATAACATAAGGGAAGTTATGGGGTAAATTAACATGATTACAGCAGCATAGTGGATAGTGCAAACAAGAGACATAGTAAAAAAAAAAAAAAAAAAAGATCAAAACAAGTATAATAAATAAGTAATAAAACAGTAAAGAATATTAAATAGGTAAAAAAAAAGTAAAAAATCCACAATAACTAAAATATTATACATGCAGACAGAATACTTGTAGTATTGCACAGTGTATTTATATCGCACAGATTTGAACTACTTGAGTAAAAGTACTCTGCAGCAGGTGCGTACCTCGTCCCTCAGGTAGTCGTACTGGTCTCCGTCCTGCAGCGACGCTGCCCAGTTCTTCTGCCTCTTCTTCATCTCCCGGTTGAACACGTTCATGGTGCCTTTGCCGCCCGACGCCGACATCCCTCTGCGGGGTTCACACCGCAGTCTGCAGACGGAGGACGTGATCCAGCTCCGGCTGGCCGAGGAGGAGGCTGCAGGCCAGGAGCCGGCTGCCCGCAGGACTCTCCGACACACTCCGCTGCTCATCGGTTTGCTGCTTCAACGTCCCAATTTCAGTTGTGAATTTAAAACATTGTTTTACAACAGCTGAGCTGACTTCTTCCTGTCCTCCACACGGAGTGACCTCCTGGAAGAGGAGGAGGGAAAATGTGGAAATGGATTCCACTGAGCTCGTTGGAAACAATGGAACTGGATCACAGACTGGCTGTATACTGAAAATGTCATTCAATATAAACAATACTTGTACTAATACAAGTAGCGCTAAAAAATATTTTTGACAACGGTCAACAGTGTGAAGTTTATTAAATACGTGTTGTAATAGTTTTTGATTGATGGACATGCAGAGGGAAAAGTCATATTTTGTAACCCATTTCAGCGAGAAAGTCTCAAGCCCAGTCAAGTCTCGTTTGTCCCACCTCGCTTGCCGTACCAAGAAAGGGACAGGAAGTTAGAAAGGGCACCAAAGCGTTGCATGCTGGGAAAACACGTGTAGCAGAACACCAGAGAGGTATCTGTACATTTTTTTCGTTAGTTTTTAAATTTAAAATGCTGTTTAAACTAATTTATCATGTATTTTCGGATGTATGTGTTAAGTATTGTATGTAGTCTCAGCAGCTGGCTGGTTTTCCCGCCGTTACTGTCCGTCTTCTCCGTTCGGACATTTTGTTTGCATGTTGTTTACTGAAACTGAACACATTATTTAAAATAACAGGGTTGTAAACGGCTGAACAGTTCTCCCAGTGAATGGGATGTTTAAATACTCCACTACAAGTATAAGTCTTTACGTATGAAAAGAGTGCAGTAAAATGTTACCTGTCTCTGTTTTGTTTTTATATCTGATTAATGGATTAATATCACTGCTGCATTAATGTGTATGTTGCTTTTTCCTGCTGTAGATGTTTTTAACTCCTTTACATCCTGTTGTCTTGTTTAATCTTCATCAAAGCATCATATTCTATGAGATTATCACATGTTCGTAGCGTCTCTGTCCTGTGAGAGCTGTATCTTCTCAACACATAAAGGAACATTTCATCCTTCAGTTCATCACAAACATTCAACATCTGGAGATACCAGGTTTAAACTGGACAGGAAGGAGATGAAAAACTAACTAAAGCTGTCAGACAAATGTAGTGAAGTAGAAAGTACAATATTTACCTCTGAGATGCACAAGGAGTACTTACATTCTCACTCAGGATTAAATCTGTGTAGGTTCCACCAACACCAAAACAATACTTTTTTCAATAACTTACTCCAGATATATGAACATGGTTTACATATAATAAAAGATGCTAAAAGTTCTCAATTCTTAAATATTATACAAACACAAGCTTGTCTGTCTGCTCTTTGGTGTTGTGGAGGTAGTGTACAGTGGGTTTATCAGAAAACAGCTGCTGGAAACAGACACTAAAATCAAACAAAAAGTGGCTGAGTGTAAAGGATCAACAATTTGTTGGAATCAAGATGCACATGATAAGAGAAAGAGGCTCAGTGCTTGTTGTCCATGTAACCTAACAATATGTCCCGTTCTTATTTGTCAGGTGACACTTGAAGTTTGCCACCATGTCGTCCAAAAAGAAGCCGGACGGCGATGACCGCTTCCTCCGGGTGCAGAAGGATCCCAGGTTCTGGGAAATGCCTGAGAGAGAACGCAAAATCAAGATCGACAAGCGTTTCCAGTCCATGTTTCACGACGACCGCTTCAAGGTGAAGAACACGGTGGACAAACGAGGCCGGCCCATCACCCAAACCTCCACGGAGGACCTGAAGCGCTTCTACAAACTCTCTGACTCAGAGGACGAGGAGGACGTGAAGAGCAAGAAGTCAGCAGAGGGCAAGAAAAAGAAAAAAGGGAAGGAGAAGCTGGTGAAGCTGGTGAAGGCTGACGGAGAGGCCAAGAGAGGAGAAGCAGTGCAGAGAAGAGATGTTGAGGGAGAGGAGGCTGAACGAGGCGTCAGAGTGGTTGAAGAGGGTGAGTAGATGTTTCTGGTGCAAGCTGAGCAAACGAGCACAGATTCTTTATTTCGACCAGCTACATGTTGTCAGCTCCACTAATCGAATCTGTGCTCATTTGCTTTTTTGCATGAAGTTGAATCTGATTTAGAAAAGCGTTTATGAAGTCTTTATAAGTCAACAACATTTACACTGGAGCAGTCGTTGGCAGTCAAATTATTGTTCCCGTGTTCCCTCTAATAATACTACAATATAAATAACCCAAGACAAAAAAAACATAAAGTAGCACGTTAAAATACAGGATTGTAATGTACTGTGTATGAAATAGAATAAAAGAAAATAGAATTCTGTTGTTGAATCCAGATGTCTCAACTCCAGACTTCCATCAAACGTACTTTCATTTCTATTTGTCTGTTTATCGATTGAGAGAAAATTAATTGTAGCTATTTTACTAACGCATCAATTGTTTTCATACAAAGGTGGCAAAACTGTTTACATCCATGTTTACATCAGCTCACACCGTGCATTACTGTTACAAACCGTCTGTTAAGGCTGCACTTAAAAATGTAACCATCCTTTTTTTTTTTCATTGGTGCCTTTTGTGTTAATGTTAAATTTGGTCTTTAAAATACTTTTAGAAATACAAGTTGTTGTATTTTAGCAGAAACTCAGAACTGAATTCACTTAAATATCAATTTATTTATCGCAAGTAATACCGTTATTGTGATATTGAGCACGATGTGGCCTGTTTTACTCACATCGTGCCGCCCGACTGTCTGTCTGTGCGATAGTGCAGCTTGAATGCTCCACACATCTGCAAGAATAAGCAGCTTCAATGATCTTTTAGTTGTGTTAGTATCCGTACAGTTCATCCTCACTGCGGCTGTAACACAATTTATTATTTCACGCAGAAGATAAAAAGGACGAGGTGAAGAAATCTGCAGAGGATGATGATGATGATGATGATGATGTTGACCTGGGAGACAGTGTAACAGACGACAGTGAAGATGAATATGACGATGATGATGCAGATGATGCAGATGCAGAAGAAGAGAGCGATGTGGGGAGTGGCTCAGATTCGGAGGAGGAGTCCGGGCTGGATTCAGAGGACAGTGACAGCGAACCGGATCTGGCCAGAGGTAAAGGAAACGTAGAGACCAGCTCGGATGAAGACGACGACGATGTGGACGCCATCTTGAAGAAAGAGGAAGAGGATATCGAGCACGACTGGGGAGAGCTGGCCAAAGACGCCCAGCGGAGCGACGAGGTGAGGCGGCGCCTGGTGGAAGAGGACGTTCTGCTCACCTGAACAGGAAAAGCCATCATCGCTCTTTAACTGTGCTTGTGTTTTCTGTATGTTCGCGTGTCAGGTTTCTACCCGACTGGCCGTCTGCAACATGGACTGGGACCGGATCAAAGCCAAAGACCTGCTGGCTCTGCTCAACTCCTTCATACCTAAAGGAGGAGCCGTGCTGTCTGTGAAGGTAAAGCCAGTCAATATCGCTTCACCAAACAGGTGAAGGGTGTCTGTCAGAGAGATAAACAGCAGTGCATTCTGGGTATTGTCTTAGGTCTACCCGTCAGAGTTTGGGAAGGAGAGGCTGAAGGCGGAGGAGACTCAGGGACCGCTGGAGCTGAGAGCTCTGCCCGATGACTCGGAGGACGACAACGAGGAGGAGAAGTAAGACGCAGCTGGCTTTTGTTACTTAGGAGGACTAACAGTTTCCGAATTCCAAAATTATTGTGCCAGAAATCCATTTCTGCTTCTAGAGGTTCATGTTTTTTCTCTCTGTGTGTGTGTGTCTCTCTCTCTCCTCTCTCTCTGTCTCTCGCTCTCTGTGTCTGTCTCTCTGTGTCTCTCTCCTCTCTCTCTGTGTCTGTCTGTCTGTCTCTCTCTGTGTCTGTCTGTCTGTCTCTCTTTCTCTCTCTCTGTGTCTGTCTCTCTTTCTCTCCTCTCTCTCTCTGTGTCTGTCTCTCTTTCTCTCCTCTCTCTCTCTGTGTCTGTCTCTCTCTCTTTCTCTCTCTCTCTGTGTCTGTCTCTCTCTCTGTCGCTCTCTCTCTGTGTCTGTCTCTCTTTCTCTCTCTCTCTCTGTCTGTCTCTCTTTCTCTCCTCTCTCTCTCTGTGTCTCTCTCTCTGTGTCTCTCTTTCTCTCTCTCTCTGTGTCTGTCTCTCTCTGTGTCTGTCTCTCTCTGTGTCTCTCTCCTCTCTCTGTGTCTCTCTGTCTCTCTCTCTCTGTGTCTGTCTCTCTTTCTCTCCTCTCTCTCTGTGTCTCTTTCTCTCTGTGTCTCTCTCTCTTTCTCTCTCTCTCTGTGTCTGTCTCTCTTTCTCTCCTCTCTCTCTCTGTGTCTCTCTCTCTGTGTCTGTCTCTCTTTCTCTCTCTCTCTGTGTCTGTCTCTCTTTCTCTCCTCTCTCTCTCTGTGTCTCTCTCTTTCTCTCTCTCTCTGTGTCTGTCTCTCTTTCTCTCCTCTCTTTCTCTCCTCTCTCTCTGTGTCTGTCTCTCTTTCTCTCCTGTCTCTCTCTCTCTGTGTCTGTCTCTCTTTCTCTCTCTCCCTGTGTCTGTCTCTCTTTCTCTCCTCTCTCTCTCTGTGTCTCTCTCTCTGTCTGTCTCTCTGTCTCTCTCTCTTTCTCTCTCTCTCTCAGAGGTTACAGGGAGAAGATGCGTAACTACCAATTCAAGCGGCTGAAGTATTTCTACGCCGTGGTGGAGTGTGACTCGGCCGACACCGCTGCTAAAGTCTACCAGGAGTGTGACGGCTACGAGTACGAGAGCAGCTGCTCCGTCCTGGACCTCCGGTGAGAGGAGAAGGAATACGAAACTGACTTCCTGAAACTATTCTGGAAAAGCACATATTTAAATTTACTATCAATCCTTTTGTTTGAACAGGTTTATTCCCGATGAAGTCAAGTTTGACGAGGAGCCCCGAGACGTGGCGACGGACGTGAACCTCTTGGCCTACACGCCCAAACAGTTCACCTCCTCTGCAAACGCAACATCAAAGGTAAGAAGAAGCTACTTCACTGTCATAAAATATATTGTTAGAGGCTAAGTTACCCAGCAGTATATAAAGTAATTCAAAAAATCTAATCTAAACTAATGTGTGCGAGTCTGTGTTTAACCAATCAGGTGCAGCTGACGTGGGACGAGACGGACAACGACCGCGTGACCGCCCTGAACAGGAAGTTCAACAAGGACGAGCTGCTGGCCATGGACTTCAACGCCTACCTGGCCTCCTCCAGCGGAGAAGAGGAGGAGTGCGAAGAAGGGCGCTTTGTGTTTGGAGAGCAGGAGAGTGAAGACGACGACGTCACGACAGCAGAGGGTGAGACCGGCCACTCGAGACGCATCACTGAGGAGACGAGCGACAGCATTCAAACGTGTGTGTTGTGACTCTTTGATGAGACGAAGCAGCGCTGATGTCTGTCTTGTTCCTGTTGTAGCGAAACAGACAGAGGAGCCCGTCGTGGGGAAAAAACTGCAGAAGGAAGAGAAGAAGAAGAAAGGCGAGCAGCAGATCTCCAAGTACAGAGAGCTGCTGAAAGGCATCCAAGTGAAAGAGAAGAAGCTGCACGAGGACAGAGACATGGAGATCACCTGGGTGCCAGGTACGAGGAGACGTGTGAAGCAGGGTTATTAAAGCTGTGTCTGTGTTTTTATAGTCTCCAGTGTTTCCATCAGTGACCAGTTAGAACAAAGAGTGTATATGACTATGAGTGTTTGCGTTACAGTAAACAAACGGTTGTGGAAGTCCTCAGTTAGCAGCAGCTTTTGAGCTCTAGGTGGTTTATTAATTGTGCATTTTTATCTGTCTGCAGGACTGAAGGAGACGACGGAGCAGCTGGTGAAGAAGAAGCTGGAGGGAAAGGAGAAGCTGACGCCCTGGGAGGGGTTCTTGCAGAAGAAGAAAGACAAGAAGAAGCAGAAGAAGTCTCAAAGCAAAGAGGTAAGAGGAACTGTCCAACACAAACAGCACTTCACGGTTAATAACAGCGGCCAGATGCGTAGAACTCTGTTGAACGCACAAAGACTGCATCGGCATCCCTCTCGTCATGCTGTTTTATAAATGTCCATCATTGAGGACAAACGTGCACGAGTCTCATTTCCACTCCCACAGCTGGTTATGAATGGACGGAGAAATGCTCCCGAACATCCGTCGATGGGAAAAAAAGTTTCACAGACGTGTCGTGGTAGCGAGGTTCTCTAAGAGCGGCTGAACTATGAACTATACACACATTATTAATGTATCGGGTCTCTTTAACTATACACACATTATTAATGTATCGGATCTCTTTATTTAGCGTCCTAGAACAGAACAGGTAAAGGAATATGCTGTCCATGTAACCGCATGTTGAAACAGACGAGGAGGCGATGGCTCAAATGTAAATACAAAGAATGATGTAATTCATCGCTCATAAATAATTCAAATATTAAAATGATCAAACAACACAAAATCTCTCACAATATATTAAATCCCCAATATATCGTTTCACCAGCAGCTAACTCGTACAATGTGACACATTCACTACAAACAGCGTTTCTACATCTGGTCCCTGGTGAGTTATATATTACAGATGTTGTGAGATGTTACCACAAGCACTCTGGTAAATACTCACCGCATCTTAGAAACAAGTAAACAGCTGTGAACATGATCTTAGCCGACATGTCGCACTAACTGAATCTACTTTAGAAACCGATGTTTTTGGGCAGATTTTACGGTTCCCTCTGCGGTTTCAATAATCCGTTTTCTATTTTCTTTTGCATCAGGGAGAGGATGAGGAGGAGCTCAGTGACGAAGACCTTCCTCCAGACGTCGATCTCAGTGACCCCTTCTTCGCCGAGGAGCTCGCCGCTACAGGTGATCAATACCGTCGATCAGTCTCATGCTCTAGTTATTAATATAATAAAGCAACAATGGAAAACAATACACAGTTTCTATAGACAAAGTAACTGTTTCTGTAAATTGTTAAAATGATTAAAAAGTGCAGAGAGCGCTGGAACAAATATTGAATAGTTAATGTTACAGTTTACTTTATATTGACAGTTAATCCTCGTTTTTCCACATGCATTCTAGTCTTATAGAATTAAACAACAAGAACATGATTTAAATGTTGCAGCAGATCAAATGCCATTTAAACGAGCTATTCAGCTCAGGTCTGGTGTTAATTAGTGAGTGTGGAAGTGGAAAGGTGCTCAAGTTGCTTCCCAAATCTACATTATTATGGACATTCCTCCAGCCATGCATTATATTTCATGTCTATGTGGTCAGATGCATCTGAGACATTATAACAAGAGCACGCTGACACTGAAACAAAGCTCTTCTGAAAAACTTTACAGAAAACTCACGTTGATCTCGTGTACGTAGATTTGAACATGAAAACTCATTCTTAATCTTTGCTTATTATAAGTTGGTACAATTTTGAGTTTAGATTATTATTTAGTTTAGCAGCATGTTGATGCGGAGCCACGTTAATGATCAGTGTTGTCTGATGTGTTTGCAGACATGAAGAAGAAACAGAAGTGGGGGAAGAAGAAGAAGCAGAAGGAAGAGGAGCGGACAGCCGAGGAGGCAGAGGAGCTGGAGAAACAAAAGGTCAGAGTTCAGTCCCCAAATCACCACAGCTGTAGACCCTAGCGCCGACCACCTCTGAACCTGTGTTTGTGTGTGTGTGTGTGTGTGTGTGTGTGTGTGTGTGTGTGCGCACGCGCAGGCAGAGATAGCTCTGCTGATGGAGGACGACGGCAACGAAGCCAAACACAAACACTTCAACTACGACAAGATCGTGGAGCAGCAGAACCTGAGCAAGAAGAAGAGGAAGAAGCTGCTGAAGAAGGGCGAGGAGCCGGCGGAGGGCGACCAATTCCAGGTCTGTGCAATGAGAAGCATGTGTTGTTGGGCTGGACCGGTACTTAAAAACATACTGTCGGGACCACCGGTTCACCCTAAATTATAAAACAAGCAAATATCTTTTCATTTGTGGTGCTTTACTGAAGCCCCCCTCCTCCTCTTAGTTTATAAACACACATAAACATTGATGTGTGTTTAGTTCAAGGCTTCCTTCATAACATAAGACATTTGCATGCTGTGCAGCTTCTTTTTTTATAAGATATAAGTACAAGTCCTCCTGCAGGCACCCTTAGGTGGTGGCTGCTGTATACAAATCTAATGAATGCCGACATAGTAAAACACAGTGGGGAGTCTGCTCGCTCTGTTAAATGGATGAAACATACAGAAGTACGGTGATTTAAATGTCTCCTGACCTGTGTCCTCATGTTCTGTGTCCAGGTGGACGTTAAAGACACTCGTTTCCAGGCCATGTTCACCTCCCACCTGTTCAACCTGGACCCGTCCCACCCCAACTACAAGAAGACCAACGCCACGCAGAGCATCCTGGTTGAGAAGCAGCGCAGACGAGGGGAGGAGGAGGAGCGGCGGCGGACGGAGGACGCGCTGAGCACCGAGGCTGGCAAACAGGAAGTGGAAAATGACTCTAGCGCTCCGGCGGAAGAGGGCACCTCGAAGAAATCCATGGACCCCGGTTTGTCTCTGCTCATCAAGTCCATCAAAAGCAAAACGGAGCAGTTTCAGGCTCGGAAGAAGCAGAAGCTCATGTAGGTTTGACTCACTGTCACAAGAAAGCGGACCGAGACTCTGGTTCAACACGGTCTCCGCTCACCTTCTCCTGATGCACCGACGTGTTTGTAGAGGACCAATACCACGAGATGAGGAATCAAGCACGATGTTTTTAGTAAAAACTGAATCCTGCTGCATCAGATCATGTTGAAATGTTTTGTTACACAGAAAATCAGTTTAGTGAAAACATTCTTCAGTCCTTGTAGATAACGGATCGATTGAGCCTCATGCAAGAACAAGAAGCACAACAGATTCCTCAATTTAATATTCAGATTGTTTTTTCTTAAGTTCGTGTGGTTCCGACCCGTCAGACGTCAGAGGGAGAGGTTTTGTTTGCATATTCTGACAGCCTCTTAATTCTTAATCCTCGTCTCCTGTAGTTCAACAGAGCGAGACGTCTTCTCTCTACGCCACGTCAGTTTCACGAGTCGCATTCTTCCCGTTATACTTTCATATCAAATCATATTTTTTAACCAGGACCTCCAGTATTCGGATCAAGTAGCTTGATTTAGGAGCTGCAGCTGTCATCAGTGTGTCAGATGCACATTTAAGTAAAAAATAAGGAGACATCAAATGTTGAAAGACTCACATGGACATCCCCATCATTCCTTCTTTGTTTCCTTCCATGACAGCAGTGCTATTAATATCTTCAAACCGTTTCCAACATATTCAGAATAACACTTTGGTCCACTAATGCGACGGCTGGCGATGTTAATTCATCATGTTTTCGTCCGCTGACATCAGACTTGAAGTATTTACTCACATTTTTGTGAATAAAACTTGCCACAATTGGATCACATCGTGGAAGCTTTGTTTGGCAATTGAATGGGTTTAGATCAGGCTGACGAGGAAACTTCAAGAACCCACACGTCCTCATTAATCGGGCTGAAACGAGTCAGTTTGTTGAAATGGACTTGGAGCGCTCATAAAAGGTTTAGGATATGAAACGCTCTTGCATGAGGCCCATTATCTGTTGATTTAATTAATGTTAGATTGGTCCTTAGATTTGACAAAACATAATGTATACGTAACATCAGACAGAAAATATAACTTTCTTCACACACAAATTCCTGATTTTTGCAGCTAAATATGAAATGGTGTTTTGATGAGTGGGAATACTAAAGCCTTGATCTACAGTTCATTCAAGCCATGCTGCAAATTAGTTTCCACATGACGGCACGTCTGCGTAAAAGAAGGTTGTGTTTTTTTAACTTTGAGGACAGTTTACAGAAAACAGTAAAAACCTGTCTGCAGCTTTTCTATCTGCAATATTTACCTGTTTTTAATTGAAGAATTAAAGGAAAACAAGTCAGTGGCTTAATTAGCAACATGAAGTCAAAGGCACTTAATCAAGTGCTGTTTGAAGTGTCTCTCCTATACAAGTACTAACATCTAAAGTACAGCAGCGTTAGTTCAAAGGATGCTCTCTGCAGATACAGACATCGGCTTCTCGTGCCTCATTCTGCCTTTAAGCAGCTCTGGTTAGTCGGCAAAAACATTTAAAGTGTCACCCTGTTGTAATTGGTCGCCGTGCTGTCTGAACATCTTGATGGTATGTGACCACTCACACCTGAGCCGTATAGAAAACATTATGAGGTCTTAAGGAGGCCGAATACTTGTCATGTCTGAAAGGGGCTTTTAATCAGTGAGGTGGTCTTGATTTGGCTCCTGCGGTCCGGGGTACTCGAACACAGCGGCCGCTCCCATCCCGGTCCCGATGCACATGGACACCACGCCGTACGCCCTGCAGACACAAGAGAGGAGCGCCAAGTCAACGCGCGTGTCGGTAAGAAGAATGTCGGTTGTTTGCGGGTTTGAGACGAACCTCCTGCCTCTACGTCTGAGCTCGTTGAGCAGCGTCACCACCTGTCGCACTCCGGTGCAGCCCAGAGGGTGACCCAGAGCGATGGCGCCCCCGTTAGGGTTCACCTTCTCCAGCGGGATCCCCAGCTTCTCCACGCAGTACACCACCTGAGCTGCAGCAAAGGGCCAACAAAAACACTCGCGTATACTGCATCCCAACGTCTGTTATCTCCTCAGCGTGGCTAGTTTCTTTATCTTTTAGTAGAAAATAGATTCTTAGTAACAGAGATACTGTTTCGACAGAGTCTTAAGCTTTGTTGTGCTTGTGTATGTGTAGTGAGATAAAAACAAAGTGACTTATCTCCTTAAACAGAAACCACATCACTGTCTGAACTCACCTGACTGGCAAAAGCCTCGTTGATTTCAAACACGTCGATGTCGGCCACAGTTAGTCCTGAGGGAGGAAAGAGTTTCATCAACTCGGATACATAAACCGCTAATTGACAAGAGTACTTTCAGGATTATTAAATACTAATAACTATATTTACTATTTTTCTGACCAACAGCAGAACATCTACTATGAGAACTTCCAGTTTTACACACTAAATATAACACGGAGGCAGTGGTGGAAGAAGAACTTAGATCTTTGTTAAATAAAAGTATTAATACTACAGTGTAGAAATACTACGAGTAAACGTCCTGCATTAAAAATGTTACTGAAGTAAAAGCACAAAAGTATTAGCATCAAAATGTATTATATGTACCAAAAGTATGTCCAGAATACATTATTATATAATAATAATGTGTTCATCACTTTAAAAGTTGCAGCTTGTAAACGTGGGGCTTTTTAAAAATGTATTAATATATTTTTAAAACACATTTTATTTGTTGATATTTTGTATTACTCTCCATTTAATTTAAGTTGAACAAATAAATGTAGTGCCCTAAAAAGTAGAATATTTCCCTCTGACATGTAATAGTATAAAGTACAGCATAAAATGAAAATACTTGAGTATAGTACTTGAGTAAATGTTTACACACAAGTCTTACCAGCCTGTCCCAGAGCTGCGGGGATGGCGAATGCTGGTCCTATACCCATAACATCCGGGGGGACCCCCACCACCGCACTGGCCCTCAGGACCCCCAGGACCGGCAGACCCAGAGCCTCGACCGCAGACCTGCGACCAATCAGCACGGCCGCCGCCCCGTCGCTCAGCTGGCTGGCGTTACCTGCAGACACAACACTTCGTTTTGAGAGTCGGCAGCGGCCGGGAGAGGTGAGCGCGTTCAGCCGGTGAAGCAGACCGACCTGCTGTGGCGCTGCCGTCGGGTTTGAAGGCCGGCCGCAGTTTGCTCAGTCCCGCCAGAGTCGTTCCCGCTCTGATCCCTTCGTCCTCGGAGACCACCGCCTCGCGCTCGTTGCCCTGCTCGTCCACACACCTGACGGTGACGGGAACGATCTCCTGCCGGAACAGACCCGCGCTCTGCGCCCGGGCTGCTCTGTGTGAAGCAGGTTAAATGTGTTGGTGTCCTGTCACAAATATCACCCATTATAATAATAATAATTATGCATTAAATATATATACACACATCTCCTGCAGAGGCATCAGTAAGGTCTATTAGTAAGATAATCAATGCATTAATTAGGAAAGCTTTCATGACATAAAATACTGACATTTTTCCTGATGTATAATAATATAACTTTTTATTCTAACATATTAATGACTTACTTTACTTTTTTTAAATGACATTTAATAAAATGCTATATTATGACTTATTTATGAGGTTTTTATAATAGACTAAAACCTGCTTTTACAATAATGCATGGGTATTAATCTAATAAGTCACAGGGGACATTTTTATGCTTTTAATACTTTAAGTACATTTTCCTGATACCCTATTACTTATCATTTTATCCCATTAGACGTTGGAGTGAAACAGTCATAATTAGAATACAAATTCTTCAGTTACGACCAAAAATGTGTTTTGTGAAGACATAGTGACCGCTGACCACCAAACTCTAATAAGTTCATCCCTGCACGTTTGTGCCAAAGTCGAAGACATTGCCCAAAGGTCTTCCTGAGAAATAGCGGTCACGAGAAAGGGACGGAGGGACGGACACCCTGAACAGCACGGAGGCACAAAAACTTTGACTCGCTCACTTTTGCTGAGAACTGAGAGCGAAGGCGTCCTGCTTTTCTCTGGAGACCCCGAATCTCTCTGCGACGTTCTCTGAGGTGATGCTGTAAAAACAAAGAACATTAGTTGCTGACATTATGTAGTTGCAATAGACATTCAGTTTGGGATTATAGCTTTCGATTGAAAGTCAGTGACCTTCAGTTAAAACACAGTATTCTGCAGCATGTGGTCTGTTGTGTGAGCAGCAGAGGTCTCACCCCATCGGGATGATGCAGTCTTTGGCTTTGTCGACGGCCGTCATTCTGGAGCTCAAATCTCCTGGATCTCCTACCTCGCGCAGAGACATGCTCTCCACGCTGACACACACACACACACACACACACACACACACACACAGTGTAAAAAAACAGTTGATTTTAACTGCATCTTTTTACAGCCTGAATGATGAAGAAACGTACCCACAGGCGAGGCCCAGGTCAATGGATCTGCTCCGGATGGCTCCTGCACAAACAGCGTTACAAACAGAGTAAACACACGGTGTAGTTATATATATATATATATATATATATATATATATATGCGATGATTGAGGAGTTTGTACCTGCGATGTTGAACAGAGCCTGCAGTCCGGAGGAGCACTGTCGGTTGACGGTGTAGGTGGGTACCGTCTCTGGAAAGCCGCTGAAACGAAGACAGAGCCGTGAGACACACTGTGACTGAATGAAGGAGGAAGAGCGTGTGAATCAGTGATGATGTCTGACCTGAGGAACTGAGCCACCCTGGCCATCAGCGCACCGGCACCGGGCTGCAGCACGTTACCTGCAGACAGCAACACACACAGGTCAACGAAGAGTGCATTAGCCTGTCAGTATTCCCATAATGTCTTAATATATCTTAATGTTTTATATATTAAAACTTTTATATAAAAATAAATGCATTAAAGTAGAAAGTACAATATTTATCTGTGAGAAGTAGAAGTATAAAGTAGCATACAATGAAAACACCACTCAAATGAAGTACAAAGTTGTACTTAAGATCAGTACTTGAGTAAATGTACTTAGTTACTTTCCATTTCACAATGCAGAGCAGTTTTATAGACATCTGAAGAATTAACATTAAATCAAATATTAAATTAGTATTTCAGTCGACGCCCACAACATGACGTCGGTCAAAGAACGACGTAGAGAAATGAAGTCTCGTCTCACCGACACAAACGTCTCCCAGCTTGTCGGGTGAAAGGCCAACATCTATGAGCACAGCTGTCATCACTGCACTCAGCAGCTCGTCAGGCGTCGTGACCTGCAGGCGAACGGAAGGGTTTAATTAGATCAGTTCTCTCTGCAGCACGGTAGTAGTGAAGTTATTCTCAGCTTCCTGCACTAAAAGTAAAGAAGCATCATCAGCTTCATGTAGTAAAAGTACTCGTGCAGTGAAACGTCTCCTGTGACTGACATCTGGTTCTGTGTGACATTATTAGAGAGCAGTGTGTGTTGTTATTAAAGCTGCTCAGAGTGGAACTAGTGTGAACTACTTTATAAGCTACGATGGTCCTGTGGTTCCCAACCTAAGGGTCGGGCCCCTCCAAAGTGTCACCAGATACATCTGAGGGGTCGTGAGATGATTTACGTGAAAGAAAGGAAAGAAGAAGAAAAAAGTTCACATACACAAATTTGTTTTCAGTCTTTGGATTTTCCACTGAACTTTGATTTCTTTTAGTAAAACATTGAATAGTTTGACCTCAGCTTCATCATTAGTTTATTTGCAGAAACCAGTGTTTGAATGTAACGAAGTGCATTCACTTGAGTATGACTAAAATAATCCTTTATTAGTCCCTTAGTGGCAGAAATTTACAGGATTACAACAGCATAGTGCAAACAAGAGGCATAGTAAAAACAAAAAACAATTATAATAAATAAGTAAATAAGTAATAAAACAGTAAATAATATGAAATAAGTAAAACAAGTAAAAAATCCACAATAACTAAAATATAYATACAGAGAGAATAATTGTAGTATTGCACAGTGTATTTATATCACAAGTAAAGGATCCTACTAATTCTTCCACTCGTACAGTACAGTTGGTTGTTTTCCTCCCTGAATCAGCTTCATGAACCAGTTAAAGTTACCTGAAATGCTCCTCTCTTAAAGTTACCTGAAACGCTCCTCTCTTAAAGTTACCTGAAACGCTCCTCTCTTAAAGTTACCTGAAACGCTCCTCTCTTAAAGTTACCTGAAACGCTCCTCTCTTCGCTTTAAAGTTACCTTAAACGCTCCTCTCTTCGCTTTAAAGTTACCTTAAACGCTCCTCTCTTCGCTTTAAAGTTACCTTAAACGCTCCTCTCTTCGCTTTCCCGATAGCCGTCCTCCGTCCGTGCACCACCACCACGTCCTCCGGACTGCTGCTCCCCGCAGATCTGCACTCCGACAAGTGGCCCGATATGATTTTTATTCTGTGCATGTCGACACTAAAATAAAACTAGAGTTTAATCTGCGACGTTAACGCGGCTGCAAACGGCCTGTTTAGTTTGCACTTCGCTCTCAGCTGTCCACTGGCAGGATGGAAAGCGCGGAGGGACAAACCGCAGCAAAGCGAGTCCGAGCGGTTTTTATCTGCGTTGTGTCCGACTGAAACATTTCCGGTTCCGGTTTACTTCCCTAGATGTATTTGATGCCACATTAGTAATACTACGAAGAAATACGCTGTAGTACTGCAGTGTAGAAATACACGGTTACAAGTCCTGCATTCAACATTTTTAGTGAAGTAGACTAAATGTACAAAAAGTATGAGCATCAAAATATGCTTAAACTATAAAGAGTAAAAGTACTCATTGATGTAACATTAGTAATACTTCAATAATACCAATAATACCACACTGTAAAAAGACTCTGTTACATGTTAAAGTCCTGCATTGTGTTATTTAAGTAAAAGTATGTAAGTATAATCAGGAAAATGTACTTAAAAGTATTATAAGTATAAAAATGTCCCCTGTGACAGCTATACTACAATATATCATATCATTAGATCATTATCACTCATTATAAAGTTAAAAGCAGGATGTGACTGTTGAGGTGGAGCTCATTTTAACTATTACTTAATGATTATTTTCATTATGGACTAATCTGCTCATCATTTTCTCCATTAATTGATTGATTGTTTGGTTTGTAAAGAAAGTGAACACAATGACGCAGAGCCCAACGTGACACCTTCACAATGTTTGTTTTGTCAAAACCAAGTTATATTTTACAAATCAGTTTCTGTCAATTGACAAATTGACTCAAGGACTAATGGTTTGAGTTGAGTCGTATAAACTGTATTCTTCATGTTTTGTGCAAGGAAATCTTAATTTGTAAAGTAACTGACGCTGTCAGACACATGTAGTGGAGTAGAAGTAGAAAGTAGCATGAAAAGAAAATACTCAGGTAAAGTAAGAGTACCTCATATTTGTACTTTAGTACTTGAGTGATTGTACGGAGATACATTTTCACCTCTGCTCGGATGCGGGATGAACAGAACAAAACCGCGTTCTACATCTCAACCTTTTATTTCCAAATTTGTCACAACAACACATTCATAAGGCCACCAGCTCACTGCACACTCTGGTTGGAATCAGATAACAGGAAACAAAGACATCCAAAAATATGTTTCTTCAATATAGAATCATATAAAACTGTTTTCCCTCCATTTTCAAAGAGAACAGATGAAGAAGAAGAGGACACGAACACAGAAATATTTACAGGACTGCAACATTAATGAAACACTAAGTCAGGATGCAGTACAAACATGTTATGTTTTTCAAAATAAAAGCATAGAAGTTGTTGACTATCTGTAGGAATGATGTCTGAGGAATACTGTTCTTTAAATACAACACAAACAAAAAGGGTAGTTACGGGTAAAATCCTTTCATATTATCTATGAAATGCTCCTTTAAGTTCCCACATTTCATAAGAGAAGAAGAAGACAGTACAGAGCACCAGAGGAAGGTTACAGCATGTCTGAAGTAGTGTGTATAAAAGAAGTCAGGAGTGTGATCAGCTGTCATATTACAAATATAAAGAGCTATTATTCTGCTTTAAAGGTTTCCAATACAAAATTCAGAGCATATCTATCGCCTCCACACGGCGACGGCTGAGCCGGCGGCTAGCGGTGCTAACAGCGCTAACGACGGCAGCAGTGCTGACAGAGGAAACAGTGTTTTACTGAAAACCGCAGGTCGGGATGGCGTTATCAGCTGTAACCGGTCAACAAAGCACCGAGACGCTCAGAATAGTTCTGCTATATTGATGCTCCGAACATCGTAAAGAGAACCTTTAAGAACCAAAACAACCAGCAGTAAACACCTGTTAAAACATCAAAGGAGTGCTTCATTTGTTTAAAAGTCCTTCAGTTCTACAGTAACAGCAGGAATGTTTCCAGATCTTTAAATTTAAACTGAATGAGCTTCATTTAAACATTTCAACATCTCTGTGATTCATGAAACTGAACGCATCATCTTTAAGGCAAGAAACCGAAAACCTGTTTTGTTTTGTGGAGCCGATGGCAGAATGTCAACACTCAAACCGAACACTTTAGAGCTGCTGGGTTCAGTATTTTATTTATTCATTATATTTTGTTTGTAAGTGATCTTACAAACATAAATCTTAAATCTTTTTGCTGCACATTTAAACCCACATTTAGAAGTCATTGAGTGTAGTTTGAGTAAAATGTGCTGTGGAAGAGGATTGTGCTCAAATGTTTAGTCGACTAATCCGTGAGATGAACAGTTTAAACATGTCTCCGAGTTAATAAAGTATAATAAAAAAATGGATTAATCATCAATGAAATTGATAGAGAAAATAGTACAGATGTTATTCAGAGATATGTGTACAGATTTTGGGTTTAGCGTTAATATGTCATTAGATCAACCAATCAGCACAAAGCAATGTTGAGATTAGGAGGTGTGTGTATTTGTGTCGGATTATGACAAAATGTATGTTACCGGTGCTAACATAGTAACTCTCCCTTTAACCCCTCAGGGTGTTTTCGGACATCAGGACTGCTTTGTGTCAATATTAGATGATAAAAACTACAATGAAGTACTTTGATTTGTCAGGTATTTAATTCACTGCAGTAGACTGTCCTGTCCGGGCGTTTTATCCAATTTCTCAGTAAATTCTAAAGTGAAACAGCGATAACCCGAACTCAACAACAGCTGCTGTAAACAAAAACAACAACAGAGGTGTGAAGGAATGTGAGGTGTCAGCCTTCTTCAATAGCGCCTTCATGTTCCAACCGAACCGTCGTCTCGTCTCCGAGGCTCAGCAGCAAATTCAGGAGTCCCTCCCTCCTCCAACAGCTACCCGAGAACTCGTCTCCGCACTTTCAAAGTAAAAGTCTACGTCCTCAGGCGTAGAAGATAAGTTCGGGGATCTGGCCCCCTTGCACCCCGGTGCCGTTGGTGCTGTCCGAGGAGCACTGGAACTGGAAGGTCACTTTCCCACACTGCACCTCTGTCATGCCCTCCTGGCCGAAGTAGCTGAGCTCGTTGCCGTCCAGCACCACGCTGGCGGTGTAGAAGGTGTCGGGCTCGATCTGCACCGGGTAGTCGAAGGACACGGGGAAAGTGCTGCTGGAGCCGTCCGAGAAGTACTTGATGTGCCTCTGGGCCATCGACACGCCCTGGCGCTTCAGCTCGATCTTGGCGCTGTACTCGGCCGAACCGCAGCTGGAGCCGTACAGGCCGAAGCCGGCGATGAAGACGCGTTTGTCCACGGCGAACTGGATGCTGTCGCAGCGGCCGCGGTACCGCCACTGGTTGCTCCGGTAGGCGCAGGACTGGAAGCGGTGGCAGCGCTGCGGCGCCAGGCCTTTACGAGGTTTGGTGCAGAACAGCAGTTCGGGCTTGTTGGCGGCGGTGTACCACAGGAAAATGTCGTTGGTCTCGTTGAGCGTGAGCACGCCGGACTGCGCCGCCCCGTTGGCGAAGTCCTCCAGGACCATCGTGGGGATGCGGATCAGGTAGATGGCCTTCCCCAGCATCAGGCGCTTGTTCTCGATAGTCGGCGTCAGGTCTTGTCTTTGACACTCGGCCTCGGCCCAGTTCAGCGCCGCCTCGAACACCACCATCTCTTTGGCATTGAGGGTCTCCCGCCGCAGGATGCTCTCCAGCGTCTGGGTGTCGATGTCGCAGAAGCCTTCGGAGCGCAGGGCGAGCTCGGCCTGGGCGTCGATCACCTCCCAGCAGCGCTGCATCAGGTCGGGCTCCTCGAACAGGCAGCTCTGAGACAGCAGCACGCAGGCGTTCTTGGCGCTCAGGCTGGTCTCCAGGAAGTTGACACAGGCCCGGGCCAGGTGAGGCACAATGTACTTTTTGGCGGCGTAGAGGGTGGCGAGCACGGTGTCAGCACACAGGTCGATCTCATCACAGTAGATGTACCTGAGAAGGTGGAGGAAGGGATCAACTCGACGTCACAAACTTACATTTTGCTCATTTCATGGCGCAGTACAATTAGGTCCAAACACCTTTAGCTGGTACTTTTTATATTGAGAAGTATAATGAGTATTTGTCTTGTGTCAAAGACACGCCCACACAGCACCATCACTGTCCATGAACACTGAATCAGAGTTTGACATACTTCAACATGGCCAGGAACGAAGGAGGCTCCACGTCGGGGATCCGGATCTCTTCCTGGTCCTCCGCCAGCTCTCCATAAAACATGGCGTGGAACACGGAGCTGCCGACGGCCAGGACGTACTGACGGAGCAGAAGAACAACATGGACGACATAAGAGACACGATCACCTCTTATAACAGATACAAATCTGACTCACTCACTCAGGCCTTTAACATTGGACTACTACTTGTAAAATTCACATTTCTGTCAGATATTTGGTCCTCGGCCTGATTTTTATGACTGAACTTATGAATTTTTAACAATTTGTTATCATAAGATGATACGGTAAACAAGTTGTAACCATCCAAAGTTTGCCTCTTGGCCTGGTCTGAGTCAAACTTCTTCGGTTGAAACGGTTGGAGAGTGTCGTGCGGTGGGTTCTACCTTATGTCCCGGGACTCGCTGCGTCCCGCCAGGCGGCCCCACCACAAAGTGAACATCTGCCATTATCTCATTGTTGAACATGACTGAATTCCTACAAGGACACAAAACATTTTATCTTACAATATGAAAATAAAAGAATCTTTGAATCCACACACTAGAACATCTAAACTTCTGGTACATGATACTCAAGGTCTTGTTAAATAAAGTTAAAAGTAACAGAAGCGGTATATTTTGGGGAACAAACACTCAGGATCTATTGTTTAAAATCAAGTCCTCCAACGTTCACATGTAGCTGTAAAGCTTATACTTGGTTAAAAGGTCCTCTGAGACAAACGCATAAATAAATCTGACTTGACTCATTACTTTTACTTTGGTGGAGCCAAGCAAAGAATGTTTCCTTATTTAAAAAGAACAAAAAAGGAAATGAAGAATCATTGAATGATTCTTAGTGACTGTTCGTGTAGTTTCTTCTTCTTTTCTTTTTTTAAATACCAAACAATGACGTCACCATTAGAGCTCCGTGGTGTTTTCTTCAGCTTACTTTTGATTTTAAGTAGAAATACCATCGTCTAAAAATACACCATTACAAGCAAAAGTCCTGATCTCAAACTTTTGATTATTATCAGCAAAATGTACTTAAATTATCACAAGTAAAAGTGACATTATTGTGTTTTATCACTCACAAATACATGAAGTTTGTCAATGTGGAGCCAGTTTGAGATACTTTGTATACTGCTGGGTAGATTAGTAGTATAATTCAGCATCATATGAACATTTTGTTACTTTTTAGATAAAATAACATACATGCGTCTAATAAATGTAGTAAAAAGTATACTTCTCAAGTCATATTTCTCTCTGAAATATAGAGGAGAAGTTAAAGTATATAGTAGCATAAAATGGAAATACTCCAGTAAAGTACAAGTTTGTATACATGTACTGGGTACTTCCACCACTGACTATACATCACAGCTGAGGTGTTTTTTTAGTGACAGATGAGTGGAACTCAAGAGAACCAGTTTCTGTACAGTCCTGGACCAGGATAACAGCTGACAACATGGTCTCTCCTCTCCTGGTGACCTGTCAGCCTCCATCACTATTTGGAGCAGAGCGGGTTCAGACCGACCTCTCTCGGATGGTCGGGAACAGGCCCTGCCAGCTGCAGCAGCCCTGTGCGGCGGTGGTCCTGTTGTTGTTGGTGAGGTTCTGCTGCTGGATGGAGGAGGAGGAGGAGGTGGTGGTGCTGCTCGCTGAGGCGGAGGGGACCAGCTTCTTGGTGGGAAGCAGCTCTGCAGCCATTATCTTCCAGTCAGACTGCAGGCCGGGTCATGGCAGCTCCGGGGCCCGGCAGAGTCTGGAAAGCACTTCCGAGAAAAGTGATTTATATTCAGACACTGAAAAGAGCCGCAAAACTTCGCTTAAAAGTCTGGATTTTACGATGTTGTTGAGCTAACTCACCGTTAACCAAGCTAGCCACACACCCAAGTCCTTTACACCAGCTGCTTAACGTTACACCAATCAATACTGACTATATATATAATATACAGTCAAAATAATTGAGTATAAAACACATAGTTAGCTTGTCAACGTCCAAAACCCCGGATGTGTCTTTTTAGTCTTAACTTTAGCATGTTCATGCTAGTTAGTTAGCTGACTAACTAAAAGGCCATTTTTTCGAGTTAACTTCTCCGTCAGCGTTCAACTATTTGATGAATAACTCAGTATCCACTTACTTTACTGTTATGTGGACGTTTTTATGATCATATCTTCTCTTCACATCACGCAGGTTTTGAGTTGTTTGACAGACTAGCGGCTCAGCTTTGTTTACAGTAGCTAGCTAGCTTCTTCTGTTACCGTTTACGGCAGAGTCAACTCATTAACGGAACCGCGCTGCCACCTGGTGGCCGGAAGTTACAGTGACACTTAGCTGTTACTGAAAATAACTGGTGCGTGTCCCCCTGTTTATACTATAATACGTATTATACAAGTCATTCAAAGATATTCTGTATTTATTTTTCTTCATGTACTGTTTTTGTGCCCTTATATATTATTTTACACCTCAAAATGAAATAATTTGCATTTCATTTTGCACTATTGGCACGATGTCCTCCTCACACATGTATATACGTAGAGTAAAATGTGTTGATGAAGTTATATGCATGCTTGATGTAAGAATGACTCATCACTGTCTTTCAGCCAGACTTGTTCATACTGTATATGTTGCATATAAAACTAAAAGAATAAGAAACTATAATACAAATTGTTGATCAGTATGATTCCATTTATTTCACAGACTTTGAATTTAGGCTTAAATTTGATGAGTAAAAATACTTTAGTTTTATGCATTTTTACCTTTTTTCCTCACGTTTGTCTGAGGTTTATTTTATTGTCAGTACATTCAATTATTGTAGGTTTACTTTCTACTTTTGTCTCTATGTTATTCAAATGTCTTCCATAATTAATTTTAATGTTTTTTCGGTGAGAAGCCTTAATAATGCAAAAATTGCTTAACTTAAATTAAAGACAAATTCGTTGTGAGCAGCTTCCAGTGAGTGTGTTGCTGTAGTTTCAACATGAGGCTGTAAAAAAAAAAACAAAAAAAAAACTAAACAAACATGATGATATACAACGTATTTCTTTATTGTTGTTACTGATAAATCACTCTCCCATTTTGAAAAACAACCCAACAACAATGGAAACAACACCTGTATGTACTTTATGTACTTTATGTACAGCCAGATTAGCATCTATAATCTCTCTTTGATAGTTTCACTGTACACATTGAAGGACAACAATCATTTACAGGCAAACTGAACAGGTTTTATTCAGTCCAAAGGTTCAGCTCTGAAAACAAAACAAAATATAAATCTGACAAGAGTTCAGCTGCCTACATCACGACTGACTAGTGTTACTGCTTTTGTAGTGTGGGTGACCATAGTCAGTGTAAAATGGTAAATTAGATTAAATGAATGGAAAACACGCCGATTCTATTGCTCTGAAAGTGAAATAAAGTAGACAGATGTGAATAGAGTCTGGTATTATTGAGGTTTATTCTGATTCAGCTCTTGTCGGAATATTTGAGTACGGAAATAAACCAAAATATGGAGCAAAAAACACCTTTATTTTATTTAGGCTTTACTTTCATTCATTTGCAGACAGGAGTGTTATAACGGTCACGTTTCTGCAACGCCGGGATTAACAAACAAACAACCAGACTCCATTCAAAATCATCACAAATCTGTTTGTCACTTGCAGCACAGTCCCAACGTGATTCTGCTTATTTCCTGCATCCACTTAATGTTTCCTGTCACTTTAAATCAGCGGTTCCCAAACTTTTCTTTTGGCTCATGGCCCTTTAAAAAGGGCCACACAAACCCTTTCGTCTCAAGTGATGTTCAACTCTCTCTCAAATCATTCCAGTTGTTTTGTTTTTTTGAGGTCTGCAGAGATCCAGACTGCAGCCGAGTCTACAAATGTTCTGGATGTAGTGTAAAGAACATTTGCTGTTGGTTGAAAGCTTTAGTACGTCCACAAGAAGCCAGCTTTATCTTTTTCTCTCCGTTTTGTTCCTCTGTACATGTTCAAATATCATAAATATTATTGTAAGCAGAGACGAGTGTTATGGGTAATTGCAAAGAGTGCATCATGTGCCCCTGTGAGTCTCTCTGATTGGTTGATGGAACTTTTCCAAATTTGTCGGACTGGATAAACATGAAAAACACCGCTCTCTTGTGTATTTTATTGTGGGGAGATTCTTTAGTTGTGTTCATCTGGATTTGAAGCAAACGCTTTGGATACAGACATTTCAAAAAGTGCCAGAATCAAAGTGTAATGTGTCGTATCGTCACATTAAAACAGCTGTTTTAAAGGAACAGTTCACACCAAAAGGACATTTCTGCCACTGAGCTCAGACTGAGATGAGGTGAAGCGCCAAAACAACCAGACTCCACACATTTCACAGGAAAGCCGCGTGTTTATACGTGTCGCATAAATAAAGGTTGATCTTTCGGCTCAACTAGAAGTCGGTGAATGATTTGCTGACTTGCTCACTTTGCGGTTAAAATGTCCCTTAAATTACACCACATTCATAAATAGATCTGCTGTAATACTTAAAAACTGTACACATATCCGTTTACCCTTTTTACACCGTTTACGTTAAAAAGAAGAGAAACACAAACTCCCCAAAAGTTTCCCTCCATCCCACGAACACGGCTGCGTTTTTGAGATGATAATTTGGTAAAAAGCAAAAACAAAGTGTTATGTAGTGCTAAGAGGTAAAGTCATGTATAAGTACTTCTTACAACACCAGCAGGAACCCCAAAGGAATAAACTTCACTTTTCAAGTAAAACAGAGAACACGCCTTTAAAAAAAGAAAAGGTCTACTTGTATCTTTACAAGTCTGTCACCAAACACAAAGAGTCGTTTAAAAAACTAGTAATCGCTCCAAATAATGTAGTAATAATAATAATGATAATAATAATTACACAAAGTACAATATCTTCAGGCAGTCAGCATAGAAAGCGTTGAGGGGAGCTCGTGTGCAGTTTGGGAACTAAACAGCTGTTACTAAAAGTGTTGCACTACCGTTATTTCACAACAAAATGAGCTAATTAGCGTTAGCAACAACAACTGTCAGGTTTAGTAGGAAGCGTCTCGTTGTCTCGGTTCAATGTTTTGGCTTTAAATTTGGCGTCATTAAGTAATTAATAAATACTTTACGTGATCAAAAGTAAAACAGAAAAATGAGAAAAGCTTCACTGCAGGTTTTTTTTCTCTCTCTCGCTGCAGTTTGTCACAAATCTTCAACTATAAATACACAGTAAAAAAGCAGCAGGTTTTCAAACGGAGCCTCGCCACCACAACGTCGATCAAAACTAACGAATCAGAAGAGATTCAATCCTAAATATTTGGCCAAGAATTAAAACCTGAAATATTTCTGTTAATTCAGATTCATTTGTTGTTGTTTTTTCTACCTATTTCCCTTCGGAGAGAAGCTCTTGATTTGATCTAGAGCCATCAAAGTGTCACATGACAGCAGATGTGTGGGGTTACATGTAACCAGTGTGTCTGTGCATGTTTGGTGCTCGGGTGGGAATGTGGAGGACACAAATGACCCTGTGTCGACTTTAAACGCTACACCAAAGAGCGGCAGCACAGTGTTGTCGAATTATTCAGACAGGAAGTTTGACAAACCGTCCAATTCCTGATGTTCTGCCCCTCAGCAGCTCTCCTGCTCTTAAAGGGCCAGTGTGTAGGATTTAAAGGGTTCCATTGACAGAAATGGAATAAAATACATGTTTGTATTAGTGTTTATATCACATGATACTAAGAATCATTGTGTTTTTGTCAGCTGAGAATGAGCTCTTCATATCTATCAGCGCCATGTTTCTACAGAAGCTCAGAACGGACAAACCAAACACCGGCTCTAGAGAGAACCTTTCGCGTTTTTACCTGAAGGCCACCGTAGTTCTCCGACACACTTGTGAACGGGTGGGGTGAGCGGTCGGGTATTCAGTTGATTGCAATCTGCAACCTCACCACTAGAGGCCTCTATATCCTACACACTGCTCCTTTAAATTCACAACTCAAGGCATTTGCTGCTGCCAAAATCTATTGATTTGCCATCACAACTACGACACCGATCTCTCTTTTTCTATGGCGAACCACAGCCGACTGTGCAGAAAATAAAAGCATGAAAATTAAACTCCAGATAATTGTCTGTGAGTGTTGTTGCTCCAACTATATGAACGGAGGGACACATCTTCTCTGATGAAAGGCTTTCTCACTTTGAAATAAAACTCTTCCGATGTTTGTGATCTGACCTGCTGAGTCTCTGTCACTGTGACTGTCCACCCAGCACAAGTGTCACTGATTCCAGACCAGTGACCAGACCTCCAGACCTTTACAGGATCTCCAAAATCAGACTGATTCAACGTCTTCCTCAGGCTGCGGGCAACGACTTAAACGGGAGAAAATTAAAATTACACCAAATTAAGCAAAACTTCTTGTGCAGAGTGGGATCTCATCTAGAGCGAAATGAGGGGATTTAGTCTTCACTTGTTAGAAAATGAAACATTTTGAAGACAGAATTGTATTTTTTTTTTAAATTGGGTCGTTACTTTTCAAAAAAGTCGATCTTCTCGTGAACGAAATAAATTTTCCTCAACACCTAAAATAATTCATGTTGTGAAGAAAAAAGGCACGTTAATCATGAACAATGTTTCGAAGCAACATCAGCACACGCTGGCTGTTGTTACTGCAGTGTTTGGGGTCAGTGATGGCGGGGAGTTTTTATGTTAAAGAAAAAAAGAATTCCAGCTTCACTAAAATGTACCGAGACTTCCTGTTTATTCATATTTTTTGCCACTTCCTGTTTTCATTCATCGTCTCATCCAGAGGTTTGTTTGTTTCGGGACCCGGGCCAGCCTAAGTCCGAAGAGGGGGGGGGTGAATATTTGACAAATCTTAAAGGAGCAGTCCACGTAAACAGTCACCTTCAGTTTTCTGCTTCCTCATCCAGACTCGGAGGTGGAGACGAACTCCACCCTCTCACTTCTCGTTGCCGCTCCGCCCACTGTTGTTTCAGGTCATACGAAGACCTTGGCGAGCGCGTCGGCCCCGGCGCTGCCGATGTAGCACTTGGTGGGGTGGAACGCCACGTCGTGGATCGACTCCTCGGACTTCTTGCGGTGAGCGGTGAACTCCTGGATGCACGTCTTGCTCTCCATGTTCCACAGACGGATCGAGCAGTCGTGACCTGGGAGGAAGAGAGAGAGCCAATGAGGAGGGAGGACGGTGTAGATCAGGTTCAGGGGGGCGTGTCCAGGGATCCCAAACCCTGATTGGCTGCCTACCCAGAGAGAGGCGGGACTTAAGTTCGTATGTTGTTGTTGTAGTGTAGATTTTTGTAGAAGTTTTGCACAATTTAGTCCACACAGGATTATTTATATACATTTTGTTGGAATTTTATTCTATGACTGTATTCTTACACGTTTTGTTACTTTCACTGATTATTTTTACGTATAAAAAATTGCCACCAATTAAATGTTTACATTTTTAAAAATCATCAACAGTGATATCTTCTGCACACAGAAAATGTGCCAAACTGTGGATTTTGTGAACGAATACTAAACTGATATCGATCTTCTCATCTGGCTAAGAGAGTAACTAAGCGTATTTCCCAGCACTGGTGGAGACCGGTGTATCAATCTGAATATATATTAAATATCATTTTTTGGGAAGTTGTCAGACAGCGTGTGATCGAGTACTCACTTCCAGACATGAGGTAAAGTCCGTTTGGATCCACAGCGAGACACGTGACCGAGTCCAGGTGAGCAACCATCGAGTGGATCAGTTTACCTTCAATTCAAAACAGAAGAAGAAAAATGTCGCTTTGATACGGATTTATACGAAGAGAAAATATAAAACATGGTGAATCACAATGAGTCACTTTTTATTGAGGTGTATCAAAAAGATAAAAGGACTATATCTCTTGTAATCAACGTTGTAAGTGTGAGGTAATACACACAGTACATTGCTGAATATGTTAAATGTTATTTTGTTATTATTAGGTTACAGTGGTCTGCAAACTCAAGCTGAGATAGCCCTGATGATGTCAGACTTGACATACTGTACCTCCTGCTGAGCCACCAGACGATTATACAACAGTATTCTCGAGCTGAGTGGGATTATTCATGACAAAGTAAACAGGATTCGACATTCGAAAATTGGTGGCGAGTTGCTTTAAATGTAACAGAAAAGCCTCCTCTGCAGCAGCTGGTGGTGACGATGATGACGATGAAGATGATGAAGATGATGGTGATGATGATGATGATGTAATGTTACCTGTGTTATTATCGAAGAACTGGATGTGCCGGTCCTCCTGAGCTGTGATGGTGATTGGCAGCGTGGGGTGACTCAGCACTTTATTGATCTTGCACGGAGCTTCTGTGTGGAGGCGGACGTGAGAAGGACAACATTAGCATTTCAATACCTACAATCTTCAGTCCATCAGGACTGAAAGCACTTTGGAGGAGATGGTTTCCTCTCATGGCCACTGCAGGAAACACAGACTCCTAAAGCATCAAGGGAACCCGCTGCAGGAGAGGTTTCACTTTATCTTTGTACAAGTAAAGTTATATATTTTTATTATAATAAACACGTCATCAATCCAAACCAACAGTGAATGTATCGTGTGTGTTTTAAAGCTTTATACTTCCTCTTCCTCTGTGTCGTAGAGCTCCATTGTAACACATCAGTGAGCTGTGTCACTGGGTGACATGTTGCTTCATCACCATGAACACACACACACACACACACACACTGTAGTTTATTTTGACTCAATCGCACACAAACCGTCCTGCTGTCACAAACACTAGAGCAACAAATGTGGATTCATACGCCGCTGAAGATAGTCCCCAACTTATGCACTCTTTTCTCCTGTTTGTTTGATTAAAAACTACAGTGACCAGCTGTTTTAGGAAATTACTGAGCCTTTTTTAAACATGAAACTACATATTTGCGTTTTTAAAAATGTGCGTCTTCAGAAGGAACCATTAGTGATTTTTTGACCATAATAAAAATACAGAATAATGCCAGACTGATCCTGTCATGTGGACAGAAGAAATGTGAAGAAAGACAAGATGATTTTCAGTTTTATAGCGTCTTAAAAGACATTTTGCACTAAACTAAATACAATACAAGATGAACAAAAGCATTTTAAACAGAGTTCAGATCCTGTTAAGTAAAAGATCAGTACGACAATGTATAAATTCTCAAGTAAAAGTATTGTATTCAGTAGTAGTAGTCTGTTATTCAGCTGTTTGTGCAACCTTGAGGTCTAATTATCTGACTTCTCAGCCTCAGATGGATCGGTACTGATCCGATCAGATACCATCTTTTCCCTCCATTAATGGAGGTCGCCTCGTTTGGACTCGTGTGATTGGTCGGTTGATTTACCTGGCGGTCCGGCAGACTCCAGCTTCAGGACGAGCTGCTGCGTCTCCATGTTGAAGAGTCCGATGTGGCCGGTGGTGAAGGACGTCACCATGTGAGCCGACTCGCTGCTCACCAGGTCCACCGACGTCGGCACGCCGAGCTCTGACACAAACACGGGCAGCAGAGGTTAACCGTGTGAAAGAGACACCGATGAATCAAGTAAACGCAACTGTTTAAATGTGGAGATACCAATGTATACACTGGCTGAGTACTTCGTGATGAGTATTCTTTGGGATTTTTGTAATAATGTCGCATGTTACGAGTTACAAATCCAGTGGTGAATATAAATATGAACATTTTCTCAAGTAGGTAGAAAAGACTGTGAATATTACGCCCTCTTCCAGCTCTTTCATTATGTTTTTCTTAATTACCTCAACATCTACAGCATACACAATAATGCAGCAGTAATATTAATCCAGAAACATCAGATCAGAACATTTTACTGCACAAAGCATTTACTTTACGTACATTTTGCTGATACTACTGTTGTGGAAGATTTCTGAGTTTTTGTTCACAAATCAATAATAAAGTCTTCAGAAGATTCAAAGTTGTCTTTTCTCCGTTTATTTGCTTGCAAGGGAAGAGCATACAACAGAGTACGTATTCAGCAGTCTGTGGTAAAAGCTTCAAAATACGTAACCTTTATTTATACAGCAACAAATCAGATTCAAAGTGCAGCCCCCCCGAGGGCTTGTCTGCTGCATCCAGCCGACTTTTTCAACCACCAGTTCTGATTACTGCTTAGTCTGCACTTTTACTCCATGCAAGGAACAAGTTGTTCTGCCACTCTGCAAGTAGTTTTGCTACTTTTTCAGTCGCCATTTTCCTTAATAGATGACACGTAAGTTTTCGAGTTCACTGCGAGTTCACATCGAGGACACAAAGTTCAAATGCATATTTTACCATTACACTACTTACAAACTAAGTAAAAGTAAACTTCAGTTAATTTTAAATGCAGACCTTTTACTTGTGGTGGAGTATTTTCACGGTGTGGTATTAGTACTTTTACTTAAAGGATCTGAAAACGTCTTCCACCGCTGTTCAAATCAGAAAAATCAAAATGTATATATAGAAAAAGAAAATCTTCATTTAGTACCAGAGACTTTCACTTTTTTACGTTATCAGAAGGCAGGGATGGGAACCGAAACCCGGTATTAAAGGGACCCGGTGCTAAATTCATGAAGACCTTAATAAGCTCCGACTAGTGGTTTTTATTAATACTTTTTAATGTTTTGGTGGAATTTGTTATCACGCTGCAGCGAGTTGTCAGGATTTCCTGTCCTGAAGTAAAGTTAGTATTTTAACCACAGGAAGTCATCATGATTCATCCACTGGGGACCGTGAATGTGCACACCCTCTGATCGCTTCCTGCTGGACCAAAGTGTTGACACTGATCTCTTTACCGGCTAACAGTAACAAACCCACTGCGTTTCTCACCTCCTCTCTCGTTGAAAACAGCGAGAGACGGCGAGGTGTCGGCGGCGTTCCACAGCCGGACCGTCCCATCAGCCGAGCAGGAGAGGAGGCGCTGGTGGGCCGAGCTGTAGACCACACCCCACACCGAGTCTGTGTGACCACACAGCGCCCCCCGCAGGACGGAGGGCTCTGCAGGGAAAAAAAAAAACAATCAAAAGTGAGGTGTCGAGAATACACTTCCTGCAACAGCCGTCCTAAATGATTGCTGGGACGTACCATACGAGTCGTAGGGGTCAATGTTGGGGTTGGGGGTGTTCCAGCTCTGGACGGTACCGTCCACCCCCCCGCTGAAGCACTGCTCACCACTCGAGCTCATGGTGACGCACAGCACAGCACCGCTACATAGGGGGGGGGGGGAGACATCTTTTATTTTAACAACGTTTCATACCAGTACCCAAACATCTCTGTATCAAAATTAAATAATATGTACGAGTGCTGTTTGCACAAAAAACTTTTTTAAGACTTTTAAGGAGCGAAAGTGAATATTATGACTCGACTTTTAGGATTACTCATGGATTTATTCTGATAGTAAATCTATATTTTTGGTAATTTTCTCATATTTTATTTAACTTTTTTTCATGGAATTAACCCAAAATGTGTCTTAAACTCGAATGTTGTGTGAATGTTCTGGTGCTGAGCTCAACCTCTGGCCTGTAAATTGAGCTGTTTTCTATAAAGTAATTGTAAAGTAGAGTAAGATATCAGAATATGTTTAATACTCAAACAAAGATGTGTAATAAGGAGTATGACTTGTGTAACGTGCAGTACACAGTTTTGCGAACCTTTACAAACGGGTAAAGAGGATCTCACCTGTGAGCTCTGAATGTATAGATGGGCTCCACGTCTAAAGCAGCACATCTGGAGGATTATAAACGCAGAACAGAGTTTGTATTAAGAGAAAACACTAAAACATGATCAGATATACGATTAGAAAAACAGAAACAAAGGCCCGTCTCTCGTATCAGACTGCTTCAGATCACTGCAGTTGAGGTAAATGAAGTATTTACAGCGTACGAATGAATTAAATGTATTTTACACTCACTTCTTGGCGGGCGCCGTCTTCTGGAGGTTCCACAGTTTGAGGGTGTGATCCTCGGAGGCGGTGACCAGGACGGGCTCCACCGGGTGGAAGGCCAGACTCCGGACCGAATCAAAGTGGCTCCGCAGGGTGAACTTTGGGTTCCAGGTTTTCCTCAGAGTGTCTGTGTTGTTGGTGATCTGAGGGGCAGAATCCACGTGATGATGGTGGTTTGTAGCCTTTAAAGCAGAATGACACAACTCTACATAATCAGAGATCTCTAAAGCAGTGAGAGGAGATCAGGAATGTCAACAAACATTCCTGATCTCAGGTATGTTTGCCAACACAACTGGAATGTAAAGGAGACCTCACTTGTTGCTGTTTGGGAGAAAGTTAGGCTGTCATTTCTTACTTTTTCTGCTAAAAAACTAAAATGGATCAAACGGATATCACAAAATAAAAAAGGTAAATAAAATTGAAAGTCCTTACAAAGTGAATTAAAAACATTCAAATGAAAAACACTCAATTGAAAAACTGTTGAAAGCTTAAAGGTCTAGTTCAACATTTTAGGAAACACACTTTGGTTCAGAGCATTAGACGTTGATGAACGTGTCCGTAGATAAATGAGGCTGCAGCCAGCCGCTGGTTAGCTTAGCTTAGCATAACGACTGGAAACAGGGGGTAACAGGTAGCCTGGTCCAACCAGCGTTTCTAAAGCTCACTGATGTGTAACAGGTTAGAATTTGTTTTGTTAAATTAGTGTAAAAATGTAAAGTTTTGTTTCCTCAGAGGGACGACAAGACTCGAGGAAGTCTCTTTAAACTTTAAAAAAGTGTTTTTCCAAGTATTTCTTAAAATGGGAATAATAATAATAATAAAATGATAAAAATAAAATGGAATAGCTGAAATGAAAATGCTTAAATAATTAAAGCATGTAGCTTTTTATGCGATTTATCATTTTTCATTAGTGTTTTTGAGGGGGAGGCCTGACGGCTGGAGTTCGGTTCTGAAGCCGTCTGGCTGCTAAAGAGTTTTTTGTGGGTTCTCTTCGCTTCTAATCCTCTGTAAACAGTCAGACTGATGGTTTGCTTTACTCACGTCATACGCCAGGCTGTCGGCCTCGTTGGCGACCGTCAGTCCGGCCAGTTCTCCCAGTCCCAGCTCGTTAGAAACCGCCTCGTCCACTCTGCCCATTATGAACGACTTCCCAGACGACGGCAGGAATGTCATCGCCTCTACGGAGACAAAACAGGCAGCGGGGATAAGAAAGACCTTCATGAATGGCATTATTAATAACCAACTAATAATGATAAGTCGGTGCAGAAAACACAAGTTGGTTCACAGAACCAGAAGTGAATGCAGAAAGAGGGCAGGTTACCGTCTTCAGGGCGCCCCACTTCTTGCTCATTGAGTCTGGGTACACTGGGGCGGGAGGGGGGCGTTACTGGCGTCTGCATGGAGGGCTCCTCATTATCCCGCAGGTTAGCCAGCATGTCCTGGAGCCGAGACCGGTTTGGTCCTGGAGGAGGAGGAGGAGGAGGATGAGGAGGATGAGGGACAGCGGGAAAAGAAGAAGGAGACAAGAATCAGAAGAGGAAAACAGAAAGGCCAAGTCAGGAAAAAGGCAGAGGAACAATGTAAAGAAAAGGAGAGAGATGGAAAAAAAGTCATCAGCACAATGGAGGCAAAATAAGTCTTATGAGTTCATATTGTCACAAAAGAGAATAAAATCAACATGAAGGATGTAAATAAAGCAGAAGATGCAGCAGCAGCAGCAGCAGCTCTGTGCAGGATCGAACAGAGGAGATGAAGGCAAATAAAACCAGAGAAACAACGTGACAGTAAACACAGAAATAAGAAGAAGAAGAAGAAACGTAGATGAAATGTACCGGCTGCTGTTTGGTGAACTGCAGACAGTGAAGAAACACACAGGAATGTTTAGAGATGCACTCATATCGTTACCAAATATCATCACAATTCATCAATATCAGAAAACTGCACGACTGTGCCATTATGTCAACAGCATAATCCAATTCGAGAAAAGACAATTAAAAGGATGACGGATCTCTCTCTGGTGCTGATAAATGGATTTAAACTCTAATGCTTCACTAAGAATCAGAGTAAGAGATCAGACTAAATGTGATGGTTTAAAGTCAGTGCATTCTACGATCTACAAAATAAAAGGAAACGCGAGGATATCAAAAGAGGAACACAAACGTAACCAAGACCAGAGCTTTTCTCAAAGGAGACAAAACAGAGGAGGCGGAGGACACAGGGAGGATAGAGGGACGTCCACATTAGTTCACTCCAACACTAAACACCTTTAAACCTCCGAGGGACTCTGAGACAAAGCAGAGTGAGATCAGAGACAGATGTCTAGCTATGAACAGGTGGTTAAAGTGAGACTTTAAGGGTTGTAGTGTTGGTGAGGTAGAATAAATGTGCTGGTATGTTTAAATGTTTATGAATAAGCCAAACAGATCAAAAGTGAAGTGACTGCACAACCCTGAACACAAGCTACCTGAGTTTATTGTGACTAAATGTGAACTAATTGGTTTGGCTTTCTAGATACTAATAAACATCTGAGAATGCTGAATCAAATATGTGTCAGACTGAGAGGAGAGAAAACAGAAAAACAAAGTGATTCAAAGGAACAAAAATAAAAATGCAGGATGAGGAGAGCGGATGAGCTGCAGGCCTGGTACAGGACTTACTCTTTACCCCCTTCTTGCCCTTGCGCTCCTTCCTGTACCGCTCCTTGAGCTGGGCTATCAGTTCCTGGTCCACGTCCCAGGCCACTTCACCCAGAGGAGACTCTTCCTTCTCTACAGGCCAGCAGGGGGAGGAGGAGGAGGAGGAGGAGGAGGAGGAGGAGGAGGAGGAAGGTGGGGTAGAAACCTGTTATAAGTGTCTGTATGCACTACGGCATATCCAACTTGACTTTGACAAACCTACTGAGGCAGATGGGATGAGGAGGAAGGGTTTTTAATTTTCACAACCTGTTTCTGGGTCTTTTGTAGTTTTGGCCAAAAATTCTTTCAGTTGTGATGTGAATGAATACTTAAAGCTCGGGTTGGTAATGTTGAGAAACTAGCAAGAGTATGCAAACTAAATACCCAGCAAGAAGCAGCAACTTGCTCCAAAAGTCACTAAATCTTGCAAGAAAGTGGCCAAGTCTTCAACACTGACAGTCCGTCCCGTCAGGCCTCCCTCTAAAGCCCCTCCCCCAAAGTTATCATCAGGAACGTACACAAAGAACATTGTCAGAACATTTGCTGCTGTTGGAATGTGATGAAGATTTCAACAAACACAACATAAAATGTTGTTGAAGAATATTACCAACCATAGCTTTAAAAAAAAAAAAAAAAAAAGCTGATTAATTTTCTTTCCTGGGAGCCAGATGAAAAGATCAATCTTATGTTCGTGTGTTATGCACGGAGTCAGGACGTGGTTAGCCTAGCTTAGCATAAAGACTGGCAGCAGGTGGAAACAGCTAGCCTGGGTCCGTCCAAATCAAGTCCAAAGTGAGCTTTAGAGGTGATGGTAGGCGAATTCTTTTAAATTTTGGACTGATGCAGTCTTTATGCTAAGCTAGGCTAACCACTTCCTGACTCCAGTTAAAACATTAATGCTCATCTTCATTTTTACTTCCAATCAATACCTTTGCAGCTAACCGACGGCCAAAACTACAAAAAAAAGACCCAATATAAACTTCCTGTAACTTTCAGCCTTTAAAATTGTATTGTGTCTTTTGTATTAGTATATAAATACCACGTAATGAGCAATGTGGGACGGACACTGTTAATAAACATGTAAACGTCATGAATACTTTTAGACTCAGCTGAGGCTCCGCTCATTAACCACAAAGAGAAACAAGAGGAACACCAACACAAGTCTCTTCTGGTGTCAAACAAACACATATGAAACAAATACGCTGTTGAATACTGGGAACACAAATGGACACAAAACAGAGTGAGATATAACAAACAAGTAAATAAAAAAAAAAGAACAGCCGGCATCCAAATGAAACTGTGACGGTTCTCTGCAGTTCTGGAAGTGAGATGTTAACGCAGGAGAGCGACTCTTTCTCATAAAGAAGCCACAAAAACCTTAAAGGGATAATTCTGCTGTTCTGCAGTGGGGTCGTATGAGGTACTTCTACTTACGAGGTGTTTTTAATACAGTGGATGGAGTTTTGAACACATATCAACTCTCTCTGCTACCCTCAGGTCTTCCAGCAGGTCCTTTCATAGGCTGGGGCCCTCAGTTAGATGAGCCTTTTCTTTTTGGGTGTCTAGAATATGTTTTGCTGCTAACCTCGTCCACAGCAGGACATTATTTTGCTCCCGTGCTGTCTCTACAAACTCCACCTTACTGTAGGTAATACACGGACTATGAAGTACCTCATACAACCACACTTCAAAGCACCTGAACTGTCCCATTAACAGGGAAGCAAACACCATTTCACCAAAACGATCACATGTCTATCACGGACGGTTTTGAGACAAAGATTTTTTTAAATGTTAAATTCTGTTTTTTTTTCTCCAAGGCTCCGTGATTTTTTAATATTTTTTTTGCAGATCAGAGGGCACAAGAGCAGATCCAAAGATGAGAAACTTGCAGAAACAACACTGAGCGGGAGTCTGCAGGATCTGCTGCTGCCGTGATAAACAATGGGTCTCATCATCCGTCCTCGCAGCCCGGGGCGAGTGATGCGTTTGGGTGGCGGAGGCGGCGTGGGGTTCAAGAAGAAAAAGCCTTCAGAGTCAGAGACGACAAGCGTGTTTCATAAGGCAGCGGCACGCGGCCTGAGACTGGTTTTAAACTGTGGAGGGAAAAGACTCCAAACAACGGCAGCACCAGAGGACGGTCAGAGGAAATCTACAAAGATGGTTCTCCTCGCCCCTGAGTGTGTGGTGAGTCAGCACTCCTTTACAACTATCTGGACCGTGAAGTGTTGAATCACCGACTGCGTGGGTGGGGGGGTGCTTCTCTGTTGTTCGCCGAACGACACTGAATGCGTTGCTAGGAAACAGTAGAAAATGGAGGATTGTTGAGTAAACTGCGGGGGCTGCCGGGTCGCCAGCCGGGAACTTTATTTTGTAAAGAGAGTTGTATTTATAGATTTACTGTTGAGAGGAAATGCGTCGGCCTTGTGCTGCAGCTCACAAACATATTCCTTCTGAGATCATTTAATTAATTAGAATTCTACACGAAGCAGCCGGACCTACTCCACAGAATACTCCTGTAGATTCTACTCCATCTCAGAAGACGTTAAAACTCAGAGAAATCCCAAATTTTAACGTCCGCTTTCATTTGGTCACACGTCAATGTCGTCACATCCCCTTTGTGCAGCGTCAGCGCTGTGCAGGTTTAATCCACATTTCTACGATACACTTTTTAGAGCTTGGATGGTTTTAACTTCATGTTTTAACCGGATGAAGGATTTTAGTTATCGGACGTCTGGATCTCAATTTAGCAGAGAAACAAGCTGAGCGAACGCTGTTTTCCCCGGTTTTAATCACCTCCGCGGTGAAAACCTCCTGAACGATGAACACTGAAGGACTCTTAACTGTGAGAAGATGACTGGAATGACAGCAGTGGTGGTGAGTCCATGATCCCACGCTGCTTCAGGACTCAGATCATCAGGGTGGCCGTGTCTAAAAGTCCTCTGGATTTCATTTCCAACCAATCACAGAAACCTGCGGTCATTTGGTTTCAACACCTTCACACGTATGATTGAAAACCCCTTCATCTAAACGTGCCCCCTTTTCTCACCCCACTCTCCGCTGTCCTCCCCACTCCTGGACTCCGGTGACCCGTCCAGCTCGTCTGGACTCGCCAAGAAATCGAAACCCTTCAGAGCCTCCTCCGTGTCGGGGTCGTCGCTGAGGTCCGAGGTCGTGGAGGAAGGAGTGGACGACTGTTTCTTCCTCACCATCTGGTAAAAGTTTAAGAAATGAGGAAGAATATTGAAAATCTGTCTCCTATTATCGACAACATCCGATGGGAAACGAAATGCTGATGTTGAATGTTTGTGATGAACTGAAGGATGAAATGTTCCTTTATGTGTTGATAAAATCCTCCTCTTCTTCAGATGAATAAACTCTTTAAAAAGACTCTTGGATCAGCTGGAAGATGCTTCATAACAAAGCTGAACACCTGATTTTTAAAACATCACTGTGAGGCTTCACAGCATTAGTTTGCCAAAGAGTGTGTTAATGTCTTACTGTAGCCAGGTCTAAGATGGTCTTGTCCCTTCCTTCGCTGTCCTCCTCCTCATCCTCGTCGCTGAATTCTGCTGCAGCGCTCTCTATGAACTTAAAGGCCTCCAACACGGTGGCCGAGTCCGACATGTCGGGTTTACTGGGAGGAGAGAGCGAAGAGAGGAGGTGAGTCTCGTGGATAAAAAAGCAAAGAGAAAACAAACCAGTGTCTCATCTCATACCTGAGCATGCCGCCGTCCTTCAGGGAGGACGGTTCGGTGCCGTTGACCATCGGCTCGGCGTTCCTCTCTGAAGGTTTCTCCCCTGAGTCTCCGGTCAGACCGAGCAGCGCTCTCACTCTCTGAGACTTCACATCCAGGATGGTGTCTGTGTATCCGACCTCCTGCAGGTATCTGAGAGTGGAGACAAGAGACAGGAGACAGATCAGAGGAGGCTCAGGGGGAAGAAAAGGAACAATCAGTATCCACATACTATAAGTCATGGAATATATTGGAGTTATTAAACGTTCCCCTTTTCCCTGAGAGCTCCTCTTCATTCTGTTTTTCAGTCTCTTCCTCCTGCAGCGTCGGTGCCTTGCTGTACCGGCTGAGCTACACAACACTACAGTTATATCAATGGAGCGGCACCCTTAAAGGGCAATGCTACCACGTCCAGGAACGAAGACACACCGACTGTCCTCCCTGTAATCGGTCCAGTCAATGTTTGACAACATGCACACAGAGGAAGAAAACGCACAATGTTTGCCAAAAAGTTGGCTTTCAAATGATGGTTTCGTTCAACCGACAATAAGTGAGTTATTAGAAACTCATTTGAGTGCAAGAAACTAACATCATCATACATGTTAGAAATGTTAGCACTTTATTTCATGAGACAAATCAAAGACAAAGCTCTGTTTCGTCTCACATGACAAAATGCTAAAGTTTACCCTTTAAGGTGGGCGATGTCCAATGAGAATCCAGATGTCCAAACAGATGTTTAAACTAATCTCTGTGCTGTAACTTCACCGTGAGACACCAAGAGAGGCAGGACCCGGCTGACCCGAGAGCAGCGGAGGTTTAATTCTCAATAGCATCTAGTGTGTTTGTTAACAGAGAGAGAGAGAGAGAGAGAGAGAGAGAGAGAGAGAGAGAGAGAGAGAGAGAGAGAGAGAGAGAGAGAGAGAGAGAGAGAGAGAGAGAGAGAGAGAGAGAGAGAGAGAGAGAGAGAGAGAGCGAGAGAGAGAGAGAGAGAGAGAGAGAGAGAGAGAGAGAGAGAGAGAGAGAGAGAGAGAGAGAGAGAGAGACAAAGAGAGAGAGAGAGACAGACAGACAGAGAGAGAGAGACAAAGAGAGAGAGAGAGACAGACAGAGAGAGAGAGAGAGAGAGAGAGAGAGACAAAGAGAGAGAGAGAGAGAGAGAGAGAGAGAGAGAGAGAGAGAGAGAGAGAGAGAGAGAGACAAAGAGAGAGAGAGAGACAGACAGAGAGAGAGAGAGAGAGAGAGACAAAGAGAGAGAGAGAGAGAGAGAGAGACAGACAGACAAAGAGAGAGAGAGAGGGAAGGTCGGCCTCCCTCCCTCTGTACCAGCCTCTCCGATCGCAGGAGGCTTCAACACTTCCACACAATCCTCCATTCACTGTCCCCACACACACACACACACACACACACACACACAGAGAACCCAATGAACCCAGAATATTTTTACAAAGACATAAAGATAACAAATCACTTCAAAAAAATAGATAAATAGAAGACCGGGAGCTGAAGAACGGCGAGTTTTGATTGGCAGACGATCGATTGATGCGTCTCTGGTTTGTTTACAAAGGTTCTGGTTCTGAAGTGATGGCTGCTTCAACAGATCTTGCTGTCGGCTCCCTTTCGGAAAGGGCTGTCTGGTGGCAAGACGCAGCGGAGAAAATACTAATATACTCTAATATATCATTCACTTTAACTGATATTGATTTATTTTAGGTGCTGCTGCCCCCATCCACAGCAGTTCACTGCTCTGGGCCCTTTTACTTAAATACATTTTCAATGCAGGACAGAGTATTTCTACACTGTGAGATTACTACTTTTATTGAAGTAAAATATCTGAGTAAACTAAAGTAAAACTAAAACAGTACATGTACATGTACAGTCTTCTAAAATAAAACTTTAGTATAATAATAATCCAAACACTACGAGTACTTTCACTTTTCATACATACATTATACACATTTTACATCTCAACACCGTCGGCTCCAACTGGTCACAGTGGATTAGTGGGTTTTATTCCCATTAAAAGTGTTAATCTCCATGAAGAAGATTGACTCTTCTGCTTTCAGCTTCTGGTTCTGAGACATACACACACACACACACACACACACACACACAGAGTCAGCTGTCCCATGACACAGTGGAAGTCTAAATTAGTGTGTGTGTGTGTGTGTGTGTGTGTGTGTGTGTGTGTGTGTGTGTAAACTCACTGTCTGAGCAGCTGGCGTCCTTGTTTCCAGCTGAGCTGATGGCTGCTGTTTGGAGGACTGGGAGCCTCACTGTCATTCCCCTCATCTGTGTGAGTGAGAGAGAATCACCAACATGTTTCCATCCATTCATTCATCCAGACGTCCTTCTCCCCCGCCACAGCCTCCAGCTCCTCCTGCCGGGTCCCCAGATGGGATAAATAACGTCCCCACAGCGTGTTTTTCTTCTTCCCATTAGACGTGACCAGAATAAATCCACAGGGAGGCGTCCAAGAGGCATCCTGATCTGAACCCCCTCAACTAGCTTCTTTCACACAAAGCTTTTGGCCTAAACGTGGTTCCTTCTTGAAGTTTTTAGACCATGTGATACAGTTGAAAGCTCCACAATAAGCTAGTAAGTGGACCTTGAGTTAAGATTGTTTTGTCAAACAGTGAGATGCAGTCATGTAGAGGTGACCGTCTCTTTCTGTGGTAAACACACACACACACACACACACACACACAGAGGCACTCAGCTGGGAGGGGTGGGAGTATCCCAGTACAGCAGTTTGGTTACAGTGCTGGTGTTAAAGTTCCTCATCTTTATCTTTTTGTGACTACTTGACCTCCTGCACCAGCTGCAGCTTCTTCCTCGCCACAGAGACACGTGGTATCACATCCATAGAGCCAGTTGATGAAGCTAAGGTCTCTGTATTCGCCTGCAAATGCACCAGACCCCTAAGGCCCAGGTCACACCGAGACCTGTCGCTCGAAACGCATCGCTAGCAAAACAACGTTACCCATGGCACGGCGTGCCTGGCGTTCGCTCCTCTGTTTTTACCACGCGTCATTTTTTTTCTATCGCTTTTTAAATGCGCAAAAAAAGCAGGAATATTCTAAAATTTTCATTCAGTCACACCGCTCGTCAATGTCACACTTGGCCCAGGGAGCCAATCAAATCAAGCACAAGGTGCGCTGTACTGCGTTACACGCGATGGTACGAAAGGTTGATACGAGCGGTTTTTAATTGTGATGAACTATATAGTTTTTTTCCTCCTAATACAGCAGCAGAGCAACAGCAAGAGCGTGGCCCGATCAACAAAGCAAAGCGGGTCGGACAAAACAGCTAATGAGGTAATCTGCGCAACCAGGCGGGGAAACGGGGAAAAAAATGGATCTCGGTCTGATCGGGGCCTTACCCTGCAGGTTGGGTGAGCCCATCCCCTTGTGGGAGCTGTCACTTGAATGTTCGGGACATGTCAGCAGAGTATCATTGACAGAGAGAGGAGAGAGGGTTGTCTTACCTGAATCATAACTTGGAGGTATGATCTCTCCCTGGTTCAGTTCTGTCCCATATTTTGTCTTATGGTATTTGGCCCTGAGGGAGACAGATTGGTTATCACAACGTCTGAGCAGGCCTCACTGGCTTTATTTAGATGTTAGAACATTGTTATTCTTTATTTACACAATAAACGTATTGGATTAAAGTGCTGCTAACACTAAACCAAGAGAGTTGCAGTGTCCCGTCACGTCCTTAATGAAGTCCGTTAATAGTTTTCCCACAACACCCCTCTTCCAAACGCTTCAGTGAACAGCATCCAGACCTGCCAATCAAACGCTGCCAAACTGTGTGAAAATCCGTCGCCAGATTATGTGATTTATGACTAATAATCCCATAAGAGGATAAACCGCTCTTTGAGGTGCAGGGATCAATTTTCACACTGATCGTATTTGTAAATCAGAGTCACTCTAATTCCTTTAAACTCCACGTCACACTTTAGATTATTGAGGTTGGACCTCAGCGATTATATACGTTTTGATTATCGTCAACAAAACAATGAAGTTCTTTGATAAGTAGGCGAAGTTATACAAGTATGCTGTCAATATTCTTATACTGTTTTTTGTTGTTTTTTTATTATTCAATTTATTATAATAATAATTATTATTTTCCTTTATTTATTTGTAATATAAACATGTTTTCTTTTATTTATTTCTTCTTTTTTGAAGCGTATTCTTGTGTTTTTTGACCTAATGAAGCACATTTGAAACACAACACATGAAGTGATCTTACCAACAAGTTTCAGTTAAAAAGAAACTTTGAATCGGAAAGAAAAGATTTTTCTGAATTTTGAAAAAATTAAAAAGATTAAAATTGTGAATTGCCCAAAAACAAAGCAAGAATATATTAAGGGCTTGATTTAGGATTTATAGTTGCATGAGCATGTGTGTGTGTGTGTGTGTGTGTGCGTACTCACCTCTCCTGTTTGAGGGCGTACTCCAGCATCTTGATCCGTCTCACCAGGTCTTTCTTCAGGTTCTCCTGACCTCTCCTCTCCCCCTGCAGGAAGGCGATCTGAGCCTGGAGGGAACAGAGGAAACACCGACTGATGACGGAGGACAGACAGAACGGTGAACACCACGCTTCGTCTTTTTTATCACTTCAGTCCATAAGATTGGATCCCTGCTGCGTGTTTTCTATCAAACACCAAAGTGCAGTTAATTGCGTGAGGCTAAGAAGCAGCGAAAGCCACAAAACCTCAGAGGGGGTTCGATAAAAACATCTAGAGTCCATTAAACATGAGGATGAGGGTGAGAAACCAAAATAAAATCATTCAATCAACAAAACAGAGAATAATTTTTTGGTTTGAACGGGGGGAAGCAGCGGCGGTGGTTTAGTGAACGGTGTGTGACTTCTCTGAGGAGAAGCGTTGTGAAGGACCATGAAGACTAAAACAACTCACAAATTCTAACTTCATCCAAACACTCCCTTATTCATCTGCAACATCACAAGAGTCCCTTTCTGTGCATCATAACCACAGACTGTACACAACAAGTGGACTCTTTGGTTTGTGGACTGATGTTTTGAAGTCTCGAGTGAGTCATTTTGGTCGTCGCCATCTTGGTTTTTTGCAACCAGTGAACGGAAGTGACCATATTTGGACTGAGGAGGAGCGACGCAGAGACGCCTGTATACCTGTCAATCACAATGTAGCCCCGCCCTAAAGCATACGCTGCTTTATGGTCTATTTTAATCTAAATGAGATAATAATTTACTAAATGAACATCATGTTGTATTGAAGAAGACGCATGTTTACATTAGTTAGTTAGTAATTATTGTATTATGACCATTTTACTTGAATAATGTATCATTATGTTTATAATTAACCTTTTTTTTCTACAAGTACATATTCATGTATCCGTCCACGTTCCTTGAATGGAAAAAGCTTGTGTGTGTAAACTGAGCATCTTACAATAAGAGCTTACTCTTCCGTCAGGTCAGCGGGTATCCAAGGGCCCCAAAGCCTCCTGGGAAATGGGACAGGGACTGAGACGTTACTTGTGACCGACTAACACGTCTATATGTCTGATCCGTCTTAACGTCTCCTCTCAGACGCGGGTCGGACGTGAGGAGGCGACTCAGCAAGCAGCGTGGGAACAGACGACATGTGACCGTCTCGGAGTCCAGGTCAACTAGTGGGAGAACAGAAACCCTGAGCGCTACGACTTTGTGTGTCTACGTCTTAGTTCAGTTTGGTCAGAGTCATACATCAGACACATGTAAAGCAGCTTAAAGCTTTTGTGGTCTTAAAACAATGAAATAGGTTCGTCCATGACCGTGAGTTCACTGTGTGTTCGGGCGCTGCAGGCTCTGTGTGCAGCTGTTACCCAGCTGTGTTCATGACATCAGTGCTGACGTCACATCCTGAAACCCTTCTTTACCCCAGAGGTTCAACCCAGCTCTGCTCCTGCTCCTCCATATGACCGTTGTTTGTGTGTGCCGTCGCTTTAAAAACCAGGTCAGCTGTTATATATTTAACAGTTGAGTTCAAAACAAACGGTTCCAGAAAGCTGCAGCGACGTTCATGTTGCACCGTCATCATGTCAACCTTTTTCAACGTGTCCAATACTTCTATTTATGATCAAATACATGCAGAACTAATGACAATACAATGTGTCTTTGTGTTTACTGCCAATCTGCAAACATTAGCATGCTAACCAGGCTGGTCTCAGTCTGCATAAATAGAGCGCAAACGATGATGAAGGATGAGAAGTCAATGTTGATGTGTTTGAAACGCGTTTTGCATACTTCAGTAACAGTACTTCTGTAGTTATTTTAAGTAGCTTTGTTGCCTAAAGCCGGCCCTCAAGTGACCATTTGAGGAACTGCAGCTTTTGGCACTTCCGACATGTCAGAAAATAAGGAACATTTTGAGACTTTTCCTGCTCACTTGAACCTGTAAAACAACAAAACCTAAACAATTAATGGTGAAAATAGTTGTTTCAACGCTCACAATATTGCAGAAAAAGGAGGACCAGTTAGTGAACACATGAAAGTGCGATTCATTGTTTTGATCGGAGCAGAACGGACGCTGCAGGCCGCTGCTCTGCTTGGTGAGCGTCACTTCCAGACCATTTCACACAATAACTGACTGGACTGCATGTTTGCAAACTAAACCCCCTCTCCACCCACCCCCACCCCCACCCCCACCCACACGAGGAAGTAGGACACTCAGCCCCTCATTCATGTCAAACACACATTATAACTGGGTCGCTCCGCACTCGAGGCGACTGCATCTGAATTTCACAGAGATGATGACGCTAAACTTTATTCGGAGCTCTCCGTTTGATCACACAGAGCTGAACATGGAGATGACTCCCCGCAGTCACAGAGATCAAACCTTTTTTTGGGGAACATAACGCACAAACACAAATATCTTGTGACTGCGCATGCGCTCTGGTCGTTTTCATCTCTGTGACTGTGTAGTTTATTAATTGACTAATCGACAGCTGTGCAATGTATAAGTACATTCACTCAGGTACTGTAAGTAAGGTACAAGTACATGGAAGTTGTACTTGAGTATTTCAGTATGATGCTACTTTATACTTCTCCTCTACTACATCTCTGGGGAAAATGTTGTAGTTTTTACTCCACTCCATTTGTCTCACAGCTTTAGCTACCGTTTTTAATCTCCTTTCTGTCCATTAATATTATTGCAACGTGCTGACGTAGAGGTTTGAGAACATATAGACCGTCAGAGAATAAGAGCAGAGGCGCCGCGTCTGACGAAAGACAAAGACTGATCTTTCTACAAATTGTACAATAAATCAGAGCAGCATGTTGCATCAAGTATGGAAAAACGGAGGCAAACAGTTCATCAGTGAGTAGAGGAAGTGGCATTGTTAAGAAAGTTAAATGGACAGAAATGTTGGCATTTAAGTTTCATTTAATCCCTATGATTTAATTACACAAGTCCTATTCCCGTTCCCTCCTGGTTCATTGAGTTTAAGTCAGTCTAGCTGTCGTACTCTTGCGGTGACTACATCGTCCTGTGATGACGGTGAAGTCGGAGGGGAAGGGCGATGTTTAAGGAGCTTCTGTGTAGGAGGACATCTGCAGCGTGCCGGGGGAGTCTTTTTCTCATAATTATAGATTTTACTGAAACATCTGAATGTCATGTTTTCTCAGCAGCCAGTCAAAGGCTTCACAGAGCTGAACGTGGAGGCAGGGAAACTAATCGATAGCAGAGGTCAGGTCACGCTGTGACGACGCTGCAATCACGAGGCTTTAAACCGGGTTTCTATTAAAGCGCTTTGATGACCTCGAACTTCTCTTCTTCTCTGATTTAATCATGTTGTTTTTCACTCTGGTTTCCAGTCCAGTTAAGCTGAAACGCATCTGATGCAGTGAATCTGTGAAACAGGTTGGAAAGCACATTCTGCTGTAAACTAATTACCCTCATGTTCTCCGCACATCTAAATCCCAGGATATAAAAATAAAGACTTTAAATCCCATCAGAAACCAGAGGGAGCCTCGTGTTACCTGCTTGATTATCCTTAACTACAAACACCCATTTCTCCTTCATTCTATTTACTCAAAACCAACCAGAACTAATCAACCACTTCCTGTGTGGCCGTAAGAACCAGACAGAGTTTGGAACAACTCATGAATTGATCAGAGTTTTTTGTTTCAGTGGCTCAGAACAGAAATATGTATTTAAACTCAGGGAGAGGAGTTGAGTTTCAGAGGAGGAACTATCGGTCAGGGAGGGCAGCCCCTCAGAGGTGCCTTCACTCTGAATGCAGGACTAACTGGGTAACCCACTTGTTAAAAATTCCCATCAGCCTTTTTAGAACCAGTCGGTGCTCCACTTCAGATCACAGAAATGCAAAATGTGCCGCTTTGGTTCATAAAAGCTGCACAGAGAGAAGGTTTATTAATAAACAGGAGGCTTCTAATAAGGAGTTTGAGATAAATAAATCTACTTCTGAGACGACATGATGGAACTGGTTCCCAGTGAAGTTTCCCCAGGATGTCCAGTTACACTTTGTACTGGTTGGTATTTCAGTGAAGCTGTGGACACTTGATGATATAACTCAATTTAACATGAAAAGGATAATGTCAAATAGTCATTCAACACTACTTGTGAGCTGGTTAACAGTAACAGTGTATTTATATCATTGTTAGTATGTTGTGTGCTTGTATTGCATATTTGAAGTATTCATTGTTTTTTTATCATAATATCAAAGTCATAAAACGGTAAAGGATAAGAGCTATTGATGTGTTGATTGACAGTGAGATAGACCAATCGATTCGTCTGCAAGCACAACTTAAAAAGTGAGCGGGACGCCCGTGTTCTTCGAAGTCTCCTTTATACCGATGTCTGTTCTTATGGATACCACTTTCCAGAGTTCATTTCTGTATTTAAAATCAATATGCACTTCTGTGCGTTCCCCCGAGGAGCTGCTGTGGAGGGTTTTGCTGCTGCAGTCGACATCTTCCCATCTGAGAGAAAGTGTAAGAAAGGAGCAACACCTCCGTCCTGCTGGACAGGCAGCGTGGGAGGACAGAAAGCTGAGCGGACACGACAAATCAACACCAACTAACGTGGCGGTCTCTCTCACGTTTTAGTGAGAGAAATGCAGAAATGATTTTAGTGGTGTTAGAAGTGTTGCTGCTGACAGCTGGGCTGAAGTGCTTTCAGATCTTAAGAGGTTCGGATGAAAGTTAAAGGGTAGTGGTGGAGGAAGTAACCAGGTTTTTTACTTCACTAAAAGTGTGTAAACACTCCGTCACAAGAAAAAGAAAAGCAATCAAACTGTTACTTAAATTAGAGATGAAATTAAAAATGCAAAATACAATACATAATTTAAAAAAATAATTTTTGTATTTTTGTAAGGCTGGGAGGCGGGGTTAAAGGAAACGTGATTCATGGGCCAATCGCTGCGGATAGTCGAACTTTAGTGCGTCACGCGCCACTGAGTTCATGGGAGTGATCGGGGCGCCTCCAGTTCTCATTATACATCCATGTAGCTCCGAATCGTGGTAAATTCTAAGCCCGCCCACTTTTCAACAGTCCA